AAGGAGGGCTTGTATGTTTCGAAAACAACAGATTTAAAAAGAAGGTATTTATATTATTTTTGGGGATATAAATCTCAGTATGTTCAGCATAAGGACTATCCAATAGCAGAAGTAGAACCTAGAACACCATCCGCGGGTTTCGCCATGTATTTGTCTTGCTATTAAATACATCTTGTTTCATCTGTATTGAAGCGATAATCTTACCTATTGACTTATTTATTGCACACTAAACGAAGTTTTAGAAAGCGGCCAACACAAAACGTCCATATACAGTGGACGTTTTGGGTTGGACAAACCCGCTTTCCAGGGCTTTTTTCAGCCATGAATTGGGCTGTTTTTTCCTCACGGAACATCAATCCTATCCCACGATTACTTTCGGCCGTAACGGAAGAACCGGCTTTCCTTTAAAGCGGCGGACAACAATACTGGTTAAACTACGTCTATCAGCCCGAGTTACAATATGTCAATATTGTGCTGCGCAACCAACGAAAGGTCGAAAAACAAGCCACCTGAACTGCGCAATCTATCTGCCCTATGATGCTTCAAGGACACTTTATTAAATCAGACCGATAAAAGCATTACAAAAATATAACGGGTCAGATGACGCAGGGTGACTGGGGTAAACTATAGTATAAGATAAACTGGGTGTGAAATGAATTAATCAAATAAGGTAAATCTATAATTCACGAAATGATTGACAAAAAAATCTATCTGCCATACACCTTCAAACCAAGTGGAACGAATGCAATAAAACTTTAAGCGGTACCTGCCTAACGTTGTTTACGATAGACCTCTTTGAGGGTCTTAAAGTCGCCCGACTTACCTCATACTCTTTGTGCAAACAATCGATCGCCTCCCATCCTCATGCCCACCTTGACCTGCCAAACTCTGCAACGGAAGTAGGTTCGTTGTTTATGAATTGCGCCCTAAACTCATTGCCACGCGAAGAGTTCGCGGGCACATCTTCGAGCTACTGGAAAGTATTTACTCTCTTCCACTACGTCAATATTTCTCTAGGTCGTTGTTTCGTCATGACCATTTTTAAGGTTCAGGGCGAATACTTGATGACTCCATTTCGCTCGATGAACCTCTTTTCAACTACGATCAGCTGGACGTTGCCTTAAATAGCATCTGGACCTCCAACCAAGTCAACGTACTTTTTACTAATAAGCAGGACAGTCAAAAAAGATTGCTACACGAACTTTACGTTTTACAATGACCTACGGCAGGCACCTCTGCAACGAGCATTGATGCACATATTAGATCTAGGAATGGTGCAACCCAGTTTTATGCATGTGCTATGTTTAGAAACGCGTCTTCAACCACCGTAGAAGGCCCCACTGCACCCTCTCATCATTATTCTCGATGCGCAAACCCAAAACGTTCGTACCTCACATTGGGCTCAGAAATTCGCGCGTTCTTTTATACAAAACTATATTGCGAATCATCGACAAAAATGTCTACTTTTAAAAATTCACAACCTAATATATAAAATAATCCAATACATTATTATACTTAAATTTTTTTTATATGTTACCTTACATTATATTTGCAATCAATTTTGAAAACAAAAGTGTAGGCTAACTTCCATAATCAGAACCAAAATTTCGATATATAATTCGACGTTTAAGTTTTCGACTGGTGTTGTCGTTAAACGTTGTGGCAGGCATGCCTGATGAAAGGCATCTTAGAAGCCTTGTACAGTTCGGTGCAACTCCTTTCGCGGCCACACGTGTCCAAAATTAAAAAGAATATAAAATTTTTTTATGATTACCTTCAGTCTATTTTCCTCAGGGATAGGGTATCCTAGTTCGTTAACTATTTTAATAAACTACGGCCGCGCTTTTCTAGTACGAATATAGGCAGTTTGTTCTGTTGCCAATTCACATGTGTAAATTAAAATTAAAAGTATGTTAAAATTTTAACATACTTTTAATTTTAAATTAAAATCGTAGTATGTTCAAATGAGGCGCCCATTTGTCATGTATCCTTGTTTAGACCAATCTGCTAGACTTTTCTAAAATTTGGAACTTTCGCGAGTGATACTGTATACAAGTGTGAGCCACAAAATAAACTGTAACTCTTGATAAACGAAAAATTGTTTCTGTAAGATGTTATGTTTACAAATGTCTTAATGCAGGATACAAGGTAGCCTAGAAACGCGCTGTATGATATATTCGCTTTTTATCAAATATCCTTTTTTGCAACACCTTACTGGGTTGATAAGACGAACTCGTTGATTTTAATTTACCAGACGGCACGTGACATCTTTGGGATTATGAGATATGCGCTTAAACCATTTCCTAATGAAATTAATTTTACTTATTCAGCAAGATCTAAGGCATAAAAGGTCAGGTTTATGGTAACACAGAAAAAATATAAACCTTTGAGAAGCACTTTCTCACAAATGTTGTTCGACTTGAGTATGTTCAGCGTGTAACGCCGACGTTGTGACTCGAAAAAATCATACGCGCTTTAGATTTTTGGAGATTTGCCATCATTTGTTATTGTTTTCGCTTAGTTGTAAGTTAGGGGGGGGTTTGCCTCGTTTAACTTTTGTTTGGAATAGACCAAGGTCGCTGGTTATGTCCCATTAACGGTATATATCATGCATACTGTGCGAATAGTTTTTATTCTTAAAAAATTTAGAATAATGAAGAATCTTTTGCAATAACGTCTAAAAAATACTCTTTATTGATGATTTTAATGTCTATCTAAGCAAGACAGGCTAATCATAAATTAAATAAACTGCAAAGTACATTTTTATACTGCGATACGCGCCATTGGCAGTCGTGAACCTTTTTTTTTAATATTACTGTGCTCACTTCGTGGGGTGTGCCTAATCATTTAATGGCCTGTGTTTTCATGTACGTAGTTTGTGTGATATAAAAAAAAATCAAATTTACGGAAAATATAAGAAGACGTAAATACTGAATAGTAAGTATCACACACCCCGACAAATTCTATAGAGGAATTTTAAGAGAGCCAAGAGTTAAGCATTTGAGACAATGGTCAACGGCAGTAATCGACGTGAAATTCCTTCTGGTTGAACCCTACATGAAGTTGCCGGTCAAGGTAAAATGAAAATTCTGTCATGTCACTGAAATTTAAAGATTTGCACATTTAAATCAAGTCTCCTCCAAGAATTAGCGTTAAGCCTCTCTGAGCAAAAGATAAAATCAATTCAAGCACCAAAGGCAAATCATTAATGGGAATGAACACAGCGGCCTCTGCTGTTACAGTCTGTCGCACGTACATAGGTTTACACGGTGCATTTTTGTCAGCAAAAACATGCAGCAAGAGATATTACCCAAAAACGCTTTTACCCAAGATCATGTTCGTTTGAATTGGTCGTCTTTGCGAGATACTGAGCTTATTATATCTGCGGTTTTCAATGAAACAACTAGTGTGATCAGGCTTGACGCTAACAGGCGATCTTTCGTAGTCCCTCGCACAGAGAAATAGATCATCGATCGTTACGGTTGCAAGCCGTGGCAAAGGTACCACTCTTCGAGTAAAAACTTAAGGTTAGTAACCACTTCGGATAGAAACTAGTACACAGAAAACAACTCCGGTGGCTTATACATATGTATAGCTGATATATGACCTATCGAAAGATCTAACCAGATCTTTACTGCAAGTCTGTCCCAGAGGTCTGCTCGTCTAGGAAAATACTCAAGCAGTAAGCACGTTTTCATGAGCTAACAACGGGAATAGACTGCAAGGAATACGGAATAAGCTAACGCCGTTATAAATCAGGGCACCTATAAACACGTAAAAAAATCTATTTTACCTTAACTATGTGGACTATAGTTACATGAAAAGATGACATGAACATCCGAATTCAGTAACAAACAAACGGCTGAATGAAGCAACGGGGACCATTTGATTCTCGTCGCAACAAAGTTCTGTTTTTGAAGTCTGCTGGTAATTTATAATAAGTAATGGCCATTTAGTGTTTCTATTGAAACACTAAATGGCCATTATAGCTGACTTTGAAATAACACAATCAAACGCGTATAAAGTTGATTGTAGTTATTTATTTCACTGCGGTTTACAAATGCAACAGTAAAACACTAGTCAAAATTTCACAAACGTTCGACACACATCTGATACTGTTCATTACAACTGAAACAAGCATGGCTAAAAGAATCTCTTTAAACATCTAAAATATTTGAGCTTCTATGACGACTACAATTGAGAAATTTGTTTGTACAATTATGAACAAATAACTTGTCCGATCGCAATAGTCGGTTACGTGCGAGCAACGGTTCCATGAGGCCATCATTTTTTTTCAATCAGCATTTAACTAATTCACTAACTTGACCTGTTGAGTTTTTTTAAGTAGCAAGGTAGCTAACAAGATATTCACCAATAAATGATTAAATATTATGCTGCAATAAGTAAAGACCCGCGAAGTAAATTAGCTTGCATTGGTTATGACATCACTTTTAATTGCACTATATATATATATATATATATATATATAGTTTCATAATCCATCTGCTTCCTCTCAACAATCAAATACATAGAAAAGCACTTAAAGCTCCACTCTACTTTCTTAAAAACATACTACATCTACACTCTGATGTAACTAGCAGACGTCTGCCATCGAAATGCGTGAACGGAGCTAGGAAGACTTTGAACAGCACAAGAATAACATCTGTTAAATGTTTGTCCGATGATTGGTGCCGATTCTTCTAAGCTATATGCACTTTAGTATGTTCTTGATAGAATATATTAGTCCACAAATATACATTTTTCAATCAACCCGTCTACCTACAGATGTAAGCGATGTTTCGACGCGGAAAATGTGATATTTCACACTTTTTCGGCCCGCCCTGTCTAAGGGCTTAAGATTATAATCGTGCGTTTCGCAGAACGAGCATCACGGATGCTTGGTCCAGTCTGTTTGGAGTTCGATGAGGCGCGTTCATGAAGTTGTGGTGGCGACGGTGTAGGTGGTGAGATTACAACACGCGGTATCCTTCGAGGTAATGGTGACACCTCACGTGAGGGGGTATCGCTTCGCCACAGAAGGTCGTTGCTGCGAGAAATTGGCCAGCGTTTTCCCACTCTAAATCTATAAGCGATAAAGAAATCCCAATACCAGAGAGAGGGACTACGAATCAAGAGTGCTAAAAAAAAATGGCTAAATAATAGTTGGATCAGAGATGCAGTTTCTTATCGCGGTAACGTGGTAAAAGAACAAGTATACAAAGGACAACACTTACAAAGTGAAGACCTTGCTCAAAAGAGGTGGAAAAAAAAATAGAAAGGTTATAATTTCCTTCATTTATGGTTTCGGCTTTCGTTGTCGCCTGATTTTTTTACACATGATGAAGGACGAATTTCAAAGTGCATGCAAAGGCGGTAGGCACTGATACAGGCCTTTGTTCTCTAAGTGAAGCTTCAAAGACAGTATTTCTGCATGCAAAAAAATAATGTTACCAAAAGTGTGAAACCATCGGTTTTTATATAAGTATACCTAAGATTCTATTATGGTGCTATGAACGAGTGCAATTTATCGCTTCGAATAAAATGATAGGATATTTTTCACTAATTCCACAGATCGATTCTCTAGACCGTCCACTGAGTGGACAGAATTTTGTGTAACTGTATTTCAATAGATAACATGCGGTCTATGAAGTTGTATGCAATCAGTTCGTGTTCGACGGACGTCCTCCGCCTTGGGTTGATACATCTCTTATTGTTCTCATAAAAACGCAATGGGTAACGTATTAACCCGCCAAGCATAGGAATGTGTGCTGGTCTAAGTTCGAATCCGGGCGTAAACACATTCTTAGCGACTTAATTACCGCACGTAAAACTCAAAGAAGCTTTTTTTGGTATTACCTCCGCCATCGATCGGGGCAAAAAATGAATCGTGTGTTTACAAAATTCTCCACCCTATCGTTCGGAAACCGACAGTATGGTACCTTCTAGATGGTACTGTGTTATGAAGAAGTCGATTTTGAAGTTCCAAGAATGTTGATGGTAGTCGAATAATGCGTGACAGGGTGAATCCAGTGCGTGTGTCGTACGCTTCCACTGCTACACCTATGTAATTGATACAGTTAGTTTCTTCAAGCTGTACACAACAGACACCTCCTGTGATATGCTTGACAGGTCTCAGAAAGTAGCATGTCCAGGAAACACAAATTACGTCCGTTTCTGTCTCTTTCTTCCTTTTCATTGAATTTTCGTTGTTTGTGACAATGCGAGCGAAAAAGTATGGAAAGTCTGTCTGGCCACTTAAAGTTCCATACTTCTCTTCCATAAAGTGCCACTGGTTTCTTTTAGTGAAACCTGCTACATTTCACTTCAAGTATTCGATCTACCCGTCGTTACCTGGTAAGATCTGTTCTCACCGAACAACATCTTTCAGATCCAGATTCTCTGTAGAAGATTCGCTGAACGACCTGTTATCGACAGCCCAAAAGCGGCACGAACTTCGGCGAACTTAAGTTCGAACTTAAGAAAAAAGAAAATCGGGCAATTGAGCCCATGAGAAGATCGAACTTAATGATTCCGTTTGAATGCCCCGTGTGTTTTTCTACCAGCAAATTGATTCGTTTCTGGTTCAGGCCAATCACCAGGGAAACATGAATCACAATGAGCAATAGTCCTTTTTTTTGCGCAGCTCTAACATCGGTGAAAAGTTGTCAATAACGACAGAATTTAAAGAAGCAAAAAACCTGTTGTTGTGTCTTCACATAAGCACATTTATCGATACTCAAGGTAGATTGGAAGACCCTTTATCGCAACGAGCATGAGTTTATCCGTTAATCTTCGTAATAGAAGAAGTCGAGTTCTTTCTAGCTTTGAGACACGTGGTAGATTAGGCGCGAAACCTGGCACGGAGACACTTCGTTTGGTGCTGGGAACCAGTCGTCTGAACGGTAGTAAAGACCGTCAAACTCAAAGGACTTATATCGGGAAAAAGACGAACTGATAATGGCGAAGGCCGAACGTCCATGTTCGAATTATGAACTGAGACTAGCTACTGTCCAACACCTTGACGAAGGACGAGCCCCCGTTAGCATAACGTAACTAATAGTCCTAGGTCGACAATCTACGTTGTAGCCAGCCTCCGAAAGATCCGATCAACATTTTTATGGGCAAAAGCAGACAAACGACGATATTAATTTGATCGATAAGATGCAAGACTCATCAAAGTGACGTAAAAACTCTAACTTTCATTCTTGTAGACATTAAACTGAGTTTTTATTTTTGAAAGGAGAACACCATTGCCAATTGAGTCGTCAACCTAAGCCCAATGGTTAGTTCTTTTTTTGGACTTAAGTCTCTTTTCCAACTTTTGTCGGCTTAATTAGCCTGCGATTTGCACGAATATTTTTTTTTTTTTATGTATTTGGATGTTTAACGGAGGCTTCAAAAAGCCTATGCGTGCCCATGTAACCTTACTTAGGGTTTATACTAAAAGCTATTCACGGATTTAGAAAAAATGAATCTTGGAAATTTTTGGTGTGATGAATCAAAAGTTATTATGTCGTATTCTGTGTAGAGATCTTTGCCTCATCATATGTTATTTTCTTCTTCCCTTTATTAATTTCAATTAACGAATATTGATTTTCCAGAAATTATACTTAAAAAAAAAATGGAGCACTCACAAAGGTAATAAAAGCACCTTTCCTAATGAGTTTTCCTTACAATTTTAATCATATTTTTATAATTTTATAAGCATTTCTATAATCAAAACGAATAAGCATTTTTTGTAGCTAGGATTTGCAGGGTTTGTTATAAAGGTAAAAACGTACTACTGACAGGTCAATACCTTTACTTTAAATATAAGGCGGGGGTGCGCAGCTATTTAAGCCAAAACAGAGCAGAAAAATATCAGTTCTATAGGTGGAACATACAGTTTGCTGTGGCACAGTGAACGAGCTGGTGTTCGTGCATAACGAACTAAAAAATGTCTAAAAAATGGTCCTAGCAAACGAGGTTTCGAAAATGCTACACCTGAACAGTAACGGCAAGGATTAATGGCGTTTACGTTAAGTGACTAAATACTTGAATTGTAATTCGCACTCAAATGAAACGTACGACTAATAGATATTACATTATGCTATTGATTCCATTTTCTTATCAACTTAAAGTTGGGGTTGTTTTTCTTTGGTCTGTGTTCAACTATAAGATGGTTAGAGACGTATTTAATGGTAGGAACTCATCCTCTTATTTCCAACGGTAGTGCCTTCAATTATTGAGTAATTAGTTCTTTTTGAAAACAGCTGGAGTTCATTGGTAAAGAAGCAATGCCTGAACGAGATAATGGGGGATATGGCAGTAAAGTAAAAAGATCAGCACTTGCAGTGCACAGCCTACGTTAGCTTCAAAACTAAAATTTTTCAGTGCCTATACATATATATATTTTCAGACCGCGAACAGCAAAAAGCGTGACGTCTGTAACATCGGGATCTAACATTATTTGATAAGCAAGCATTGAGGACACTCGGCAAAATGACGAGGAATGAAAAAGAAACATTCTCTAGACGACCTTTTTTTTGTGCTCTGCTCGATGTATACTTCATGCATTTGGAAAAGACATTCGGGTTTTCCATTCCGCGTAACTGAAACTTCAACGAAGAATGACGATGCTCCTCATTAGTACTACTATTAGAACAACTGATTATTGCAACGTCCCGTTTCCGCGTACATGCATACCTTTCAGGTGACTAAAAGTCCTCTTAGAACTTAAACCTGCTATTGTAGCACAATAGTAAAATATAGAACTATTCACTTAGTGAGATTTTATCCTACATTTTCTACTCTATTATACAGAAAAATCTAGTTTTACCTTCTTCGAAAAAAAAAAAAATAAAATAATCACAAGATACAAACAAATGTCTTATTATCAAAGTCTTATTTTTACCGCCTCTATTATTTCTGATCTTGATCATTTTCTGTGAATTCTAAATATACCGCTATTAAAAATCGTAGAGTTCGCACTAGAAGCTGGTAAACGTAAAACGTTAAACTTCTATACCTATACATATATATATATATATTATAGTAGAGAAACAATGGAAAGGGCAAACAAAATGCGCATTCATAGTAGGCGTCTAATCTAACGATCGAGTAAATAAAAACATCTTTCTTTTAATAGTAAAGTTATTCTGTTGAGATGCACAAAGGCGACAAGCGAGACCTTGCACACGATAGTCATGAAACTACATTGTCAACAAACACGCAAGATAACACATACAGTGTTCTTACTGATAATAATGATAAGCTTAATTATATAATGTACAAATAAGCGAACCTTTGCTGTCTCACCTTGTTGCCAGCCTTCTGCCTATAGGAACATTTGACGATACCGACTGTAGTGATCAGGACAAGAGCCAGTAGGCCTGCCACTATGCCGAAGCGCGTGCCGCGCGGAAAAGATCTGTATTTCTGGGACCAACAAAGAGACACAAAGGAAAATTATTAAATGGCAATAAACGCACGGAGCGGATTGTGTGGTTAAACGATACCATAAATGGCTTAAGAAAATTATAGGCAAGTAGAAGTGTTGGAGAAAATCTTCCCCAGGGTGTCACTAACAACATACTTTTGTTTAAACGATAAGAAAATTACAAGGAGCAAGTGTGTCTCGACAGCTTGAAAAAGTTACTTGGCATATATATATATATACATATATATATATGCGGCTTGCTATACGGTTGAGTAGTTAAGCGTCTATTTCGATGACGTACCTCTAATCCATTAGTCAAACGCTCTTTGACAGCACACTGGACAGAGTCTACGTTTCTTGCTAAAAAATCGAGCACACGCTCACACTGCGGCGCCGGTGCCCATAAAGAACTCGAGGCATTACAGTGAATCAAGGTATTTCCCTTTACGGACACACAGAAAGGGAAAAAATGTAGTAGGTTCATTGTAACCGCCATCGCAGTTGGTGCTTTCATACTGTATAATTGAATTTAATCTGATACATATATTGCTACCGATAATATCTGCCCATAAGTCAAGAAAGGCGATTTTTGATTTTGGCCTATCTAACAGCTAACTGCATGCGTCTATACGATGTAAAGCGGAAACCGCTTGATGTTATGGGGGAAGAGCTATCTAGTAATATGATGTAATCTGGTACATTATGGGGTTGTATTTACATACGAACTTTCTAAAAACTTCGAATTTTATTAGTTTGGATAATTTATCATGTATAACTGAACTTCCACTTAAGAAGTTTTTAAGCGCTAAAGCATACGCAAAATACAATGCTTTGGTCAATATGTGAGTCGTTCGAGAACATTCAATGTAACGTATAATCAGTAAGATTACCTGACAGATGTAAAGAGCATAAACGTGGGACGAACTTAAGATTAGGGGACAAAATTCGCTATATAATAAAAAAAAATAACCACCTCAAAGTTTTCTGGTTATATCTAAATAAATTTACACTGCTTAGACTTTACCGTTTAATTCAACTAATATAGATAAAGCGGATCGAGCACGTTTGATAGGAATCCGTTGCTTGTCATGAACGCTCACCTTTAGAAGTCGACCAGATATGCATGTGTATTTAACAGAATCTGGGGGACGCATATGAACGCTGGATCCCTCCACAAAAGGAGGCGGCCCACACGGGAAAGGTTTACAGCGAAGGCTTCCTGAAAACAGGCAACAATGTGACCTATGAGAATATATAGCTATTCAATTGAATAAAAAGCGCATTTTTGCTGCTGTCGGGTTTGAGTTGATGCGGAGAGATTGAACATACAAAGCCCTCTCGACAAGTATGACTCGGTGGGGTATTCTTTCTGAGCACGTATATAGCGGTTCTGATTAGGGTAGTGATTATGCGGATGACTATAAAAATGAACACCTTGTCAGATTTATCGACTGTCATTTACGCAGGCAAACTGACTGTGCATTTATCACCAGTGTATTTAGAGTGGAGAATATCATATTGTACTGAAGAAACGAGAGGTGTTACCTGAAAGTGTTCCGTTTTTTTGGCATACAAGACGGTCGTCTGGTGATGAAAAAAACCCGTCTTCACACCTTATGTCGCTCAGGGACTGACCTACTTTGAGTTTATCTGCAAAAAGGCAGCCATTCAACGACAGTGAGAAGTGGACATGCCTATGGCTAGAAGAGGTAACACGCTGAGCTAATAGCCTATCATTGGTTATCCTAACAGGACAATGTAACCTTTCTATTTGTCTTCTATTCTATACTACCTTTAATTATCTGAGGAATTTGACAAAGTCAATAGGAATTTCTATGATATACAGCCAACATATTATCGGCATTAAATGGGCAGATCGTCTTCAGAAAAATATGTCGTAATGAGTGTTAACGGTTTGCCAACATATTGGTAAAATTTTACGTAATTGGTAAAATCTAAGTTGTTGTAGACCACTCGTATAATGCCATCATATAACTCAATCAGTAATGATCCTTGTCACAACCTTATCGTGATCATATATGCGTACAATTTTCGTTGTCACAGAAATTAATAAGACCGTATTCAATGAAGAACTGCTGACGAAAGCAAATATTATTAGAAGTACACGTAAAATATGTCAATTAGACGCTAAAATGTTAACTACCTGTTACAGAGAACTTTCCTTCGCCAGAACAGGAATCGATGAGAGTCACGAACTAGTGCCCAATACGTAAAGGAGATAGTGAGCTTATTTATCATAAGTTCGCTATCCCTAATTAAAATACAACTGAGTTCGAATGCTTTCTACATAGAGAATCCCTATTATCTTCTACAAGCCGATAGATAAACGCAATCGATGCTCACCAAAAAGCGCCCAGTCTCGAAGGGCTTTTGGTAAGGGTGCAGTACCGCAGCTAAGCGGCTCGAATTGGCAAACTACACGGAGACCTTGCGCACAGTTAGCCGGCTCGAATGTCCTTGTGGGTCCGGCGGCGAAACATCGACTGTCTACAGATTCTTCTTCACGGGCCAGCTCCATACTTGGCTATATATTAGAGAACAATTCAATTTGGTATAAGTCTATAGATTTCTACAATTTTCAACCTGGAGTTAATGTTACCTTCGAAACAGGCAACGTTCATATATATACATATATAACGGAAGGGATTGTTCGATGCTTTTGACATCAACTAACTCTATTATATAAGCGTTAGTCAAGCAAGAACCCCTTCCCAGCTTTTGAGTTCGAATAGAACAATGTCTGAGTGGTGAGAACATACATCCTGGCTGTCATCCCAAGTCCACACTCCTTGATTCGAGCTCGCATCTAACCAGAACGGATCCTGACCAAAAAGTTTCGCAGCTCTCCACGCAAGGAAGTGCAATCCGTGACGCTTCAAGCCACGACCAACAAGTCGACCTCCACGATCCTCGCAAATGTTCCGAGCCTCGTTTAAGGGAACGCGTCGTTCAGCCGTATGGAACTCAATACATTTGCCCTGAAACACCGCGCGCGGAATGATGCCCCGTTCAACACGTATGCCAATTGTTTCCCCTATACTTGCTGTACAGATTTCCTATGTTGTCTTATGTGAAAACTAGTAGCAAATTACTTTCTAATCTGTAACTTACTTCAGGTGATTGCTATGTTGAACACTTAAACTGTATGCTACTAAGTTGTGAATCCAATCGTAGTTAGTTATATTACATAATAAGCGTGTTAGATAAAATTGATTTTTTGAGTCTTCGAATATTCACGGAAGGTTAGTTTCCGTCAAAAAGATTCTAAGTAAGCTATCAACGATATAGAAAGCTAGGGTATTACAAAATTTTCCGTGTAACATATGAAGCTGCCAAGACGAATTAAAATACTTTAAAAAATCGTGAGCTTTTCATATGGTTGGTTGGTCGGCAAGCAAACCGCTCTCCTGCGTAGATCATGGAACAGACTACATAATGATCGTATAATTTTGTCTGCATTATTATACATACGTTTTAGAAAGCTGTGCGGTTTAGTGAGTTTTTTTTTAAGTATATGAACCATTACCACGAGGTAATAACAGACAGCAGCATAAGGATGCCAACAATAATAATAATGGTGATGACTGACATGAAATAATTCGACGACAGTATTGTTTACATCGCCTTTTTCGCCAGTGAGATTTGGGCAAGCATCTTCTGGCGCCACACCAGACTCAGAATGAACCTCTACCGTGCATAATGAAAGCGGAGTACGTTCAACGCTTCGAAGGTGGATCGAAACGTATCTGAAACAGCGCAGCAACGATTAGACATTACTAACAGATGTAAAAACTTTCCTAGGGTGCTTTTTCTTAGAAAAGTTCTTTAGTGCGGTCTTTTTAACGGTGCGTTCGCTAGGCACAGGCAAACCAACTTCTATGCAGGACGAATGTCCTCCGCAATCGAAAAATCGAATAGTGTCATAACTTTTAGCGTACAAAACAAACAAGAGAGAGCAAAAAGTACAACCTGTTAAACGACTATTAAAAACATTTGCGACTTTTCTCAGATTGAAAAAAAAATGACAACTTCGTGCTTTCGAGTTAGCATACATAATTTTACCTAGTCTGCATGCTATCGTATTACGATAGAAGTCGAAGAAATGGAATTCAGGGATAGATTACCTTCCTCTGGTAGATGGTTCGTTGCATTTGATGTAGTGTGGTACTTTTGTCTCGAAGTCTTTGGTATCACTCCAGCAAATTTGATTCAGCGCCGGTGGATGGCTATTTCCGACGCGAACCTTTAATAGTGTTATCAGATGTGAGCGATGTGTTGTTTACAGCCTATCATATCACTTATTTTATCGCTGTTTCTTTGAACTAAAAATAGTAAAAGGATATCGACTCGCCGAACTTCCCATGCCCTATATAATAATATATCATAATATAATATACAGAGCAAGGAGGTTGACGCTATTGTTACAAGGCCTAGCGTATTTACATAGGCAATAAAGTAATCCACCGTAAGTAAACATACTGTTACTGACAACATCATTTAATTATTATACTATTGCTATCTGGGCTATATGCAAAAAATCTTGTATGGAAAAAAAAACACGTTTCATTAAACAATGTACTCAGTGCTTCTATTATTAGGCTCATATGCATTGAAATCCCTCGTTTACCTCTAGCTGAGCCTCCTTCAACGAAGTCCCGAAGACGATCTTCAACGTGCTCACGGTCATTTCTTCCAGCAATGCTACACTCCACAATCTCGGATGCCAAGTTGAATGGGTAAAGGAACAAGTTTCATCGTTACCATCGAGGGCAAGACCAGCAACTTGCACAGGCGATTCAGTCCTCTTCGGGTCAGCTGGTTTCAGAAAAGCTGGTTTATCCCTGGCAACATCGCGCACACAGTATGGGACTCCTCTAGCCCATGCGCCCCCAACACAACGCATACTTTTGGGTCCCAGCAACATATAGCCGTGATCGCAGCCAAACCTATCATTTGTACATGGTACATAGGAGTATATCATGTTGAGTACGCCCGTCACCAAGTTGTACTATTATTGGTCTAGGTAGTGGAATGATTGTATCTTGTAAAATTATGTAGTGATGAGTAGTATTTTATCACGTTTGCAATAAGATCAGCGTCTGAACTTGTGACTAATGAAGCAGGCGGGGTCAGACATTTGAGAGATAACTGAACATAGGAACCTGAATAGATGGCAAAGCTTTCTGAGGAAACATTCGCAGATGTTCTGCTGTTTTTTTGCTAAAAAAAGATTGCGTCGTCCGCAACAGTCCGCAGCATATGTGATGCATGCGTCCTAAGTGTTTGATGGTAAGAGATGCTCTATGAAATCAGTTTAGGAACGAATTCAGGACGGTTCTGAGTCGTCCCCTTGAATGCTGTAACATATCAAAACGAAAGGGCTATATATTTATACAATAACACTGCTAAAGTGTAATTAAGCCACGCGTCTAATTATTGCGCAGCCAATTTAACTTTGTTTACAGGATGACCTCGAACGGACATACTTGTTCCGATAGCACTTTTAGCTACCCTTCTAGTCATTAATATGCCCTATTCGCACACACGTAAACATGTTAGTGCTCACTCAATGGTGGAGTTGTCCGGAAACCCATTTTGATGGCGCACTATCCTTCCGTGACGTGGACTTCCCGGAAACGTGCAACGAAGGCTAACTGGGGTTAAATAAGTCTTCAGGCTTGTCTCGACCAGAATTTTTTGTGTGGTCACCTCCTTACCACAAACCAAATCACAAGAAATGAACCCCACAAGCCATGCTAACAAGTACGCAAATCGCATCGTTCCAATGTGAGACTACTCGAATCTATCGGGGTCCGAATCCTATAACTCGCTTGACACTAGCCGTTTAATACACGCAGCACAATGAGCCAATGACATACAGCATTCTAGACTCTCTAGATCCTGGTAATGCAACCGACGCTTAGGAAGGCGCAACATGATGCCATGAGCAGCGGGACGTGTTTGCCCAGACAGGTTACTATGCAGATTGCTGCGCACGTGAATTGTCGCGCGGGTTACACTTGAAAGTTTTCGTTAGAGAGCTAATGTCTCGTGTCGCCAGAGGCATTTATTCTATTAAAAATGGGTAGGGTTTGCTCCCGCATCAACACAGAGAAACTCGCCTCTTCGAAATTATTTTCTATGGCATCGTAAGATCAGGCACTATTCTAACAATTGTATTGTAGGGCCTAGGACAGAAACGGCCAAGGGCTGCACCGGCTTTTTGGGATTACATATATCAGACTTTAAAATCAAACGTTACCGAATGAAAACACGCTTCTGTCCCCCCGTATGAGGATAGAGAAAGAGGAAAAAAAAATGGCGAATACAAAAGCTCGTTTATGTTCCATTGAAAAAAGCTTCACCAAGCGTGACTAACACGCATCGATTTGCCAAATCGGTCTCACAAGGATATTGTTCTTGAATCCATCAGGTAATTTATTGGCTGGCTCAGTTCCTAGCGATGTAGTTCGTTTGCCTTAGTTGAGAAATTCAAGTTCGACTCTAGTGCAAGCTTACATCGAGACGACCTTTTTTACTGAACGCTTGGAGATCTACACATTTTTCGGCATTGAACATTGAGCATTTGGCATAAACTGGAGTTCGTCTTGTTGTCCGGAATAAAGACTCAAATGCGCAAAGTGTGATGTCCTTGTTTGTCTTCAATCCACCTCGAATACTTTGTCCAGCATCTATGAGCATAATTTCCTAATCACTGAAGATGGCTGACTTCGACATAAAATCGATGTTTCCCCTCTTTTGTATGTGTCTATGTAGATAAATGTTTCAATTACGACCCAGTGCTACATCCATTACTATCCATTCGGATATAAGAGCAAGCCTGAAAAAATCAGCTTGGGTACGTTTTTTCAGAATATGCGCCTCATCACTTTCCCGTACTCATTTCCCATATCATCCTGATTTAAGTGATATGAGATGTGAGAAAAAAAAAACTATGAAAAGTAATGGCGAGAAAATTTCAGTAAAAAATAATACGATTAGCTACAAAATGTTGGATGCGCTGGACTGATGCGATGCCTTATGAGAGATACTGAACGTAGAACTTAAAGTATTGCTTCAAGTTCTCGTTTAGAAGAACGTATTGTTGGACGAGGCCAAACAAGAATTGATTATAAAATGGATTTGGCGTATATGGCGATTAGATGTTAACTTATTTTGACATTTGCCTCCAAGTACTCATTCTATTTCTTTCTAGATCATCACTGTCTCAAATTGGACTCTTCATCATTTGACAGTCTGCCGATTCTTTAGTTTTATCGAAATAGCAAATAATCAACGTAGCACGCTAGCCAAAGAAAAGCTCGTCATGAAATTGCTTTTAGGTTTTTATGACTCGTTAGCTGACCGTCAATATGCTACAAGGTTGAAGATACGCTTTGCTTGTTGACGACGAAGCTAACAGGGTATTGTTTATGTGATACTGATAGGAGGACGACGTTGAGCTCCCGAAAGATCTTGAGCTGTCGTATTTATTGAAGGACTCCATATCTATTCTCAGTATTGACCAAAAAACAAACACCTTTGGCCTCCGGACCGACTGCTTTAGATATACAATGTTTATTCATGTTGGTTATATAATAATAATTGGTAATAGATTATAATGCAAAAGCTGGTTGCTTCGAGGGCTAAATTTCTGCGCTTGAGTCCAGCGAATTTCTGCTTTATTTTTCTATTGTACTACGCAATGCGACTCGAAAATTAACTATAGATATAGAGTAAAAACACACAGTGATGCACGCAGTTCTCTCATCTATCTTTAGCCGAAGATAGCCTAGATTAACGGAATACGAGCAATCGACTTTATTAATTGAGGCCTATTTTTCTGCCTTCTTCGACGCTATCTTTTAGTTTTCAACGAAATTTTTCGTTGCTAGTATCCGACAAAGGCGAGCGAAGTGAAAGTGTCATTGAATCAAAAAGAAAAACGACGTGAATCTGGAGATACTTCAACTGTTGTAGGCAGGGCACAGTTTTACATGTATACTATATGCTCCTAGCAGCGATAGAACAGTACAACTTCAAACAGAGCTCTGCCTAAATATAGCATCTTTAATAATGCACGATATACTCTTGCATTATTGACAGGTGACTCGTACCAGCCACTTCGAGGAATCTGCACATGTTTATTATCATAGTATATACCACGAATATTTTGATGAAATGATTTATTATGATCAATGGTGACGTCGATAATGATTGACCACGGTATTACTATTAGAGGCTATTTTCGTGCATGGATATTATGGACATACCGTTCGATCAATTTCACCATGCAGACTCTGCAGACAATAGATATTTTCAACAGTACACGCTTGCACGTGTATGACGACAACATTGCTAGTGCACCACTTCTGTTTTAGTTGGTCACCAAAGCCGGAAGGACAACGGTACGTAGCTCAGCAGCCGACTGTCACTGACTGGCTTAAGACCTGATTGGAAGCTGAACCTGTAACGTTTGACAGTAAAGACGACCCGTTCGTGCGAACGTTTTTCGGCAAACATCGTTCATCGAAGCCAGCCATTTCAGCTAGACGGGCAGAGGTTTTTCGTCGTCGGCGCAGCTAGGCGAAGCGTTCCGTGTTTTGGTCGCAATGTCCGTCATCCCATCAGTCCCAATCTGTCAGTATTACGGTAGCGCATAGCCTTATGCGAGATGCACCGTCACGCGCTGTTCCGGTTCGACTATGGCAGTTTTACTAGCGACAGCAACAATAGCTAGCAACATCATACTGTGACGACAACGTGTTGATATAGGCGGCACTGACAGCAGAAGTCCTATCATTGGTAGTCGTTACTAGCTTAGGGCGTCATCCATAGGCCTAGTCGCCTACACGCCCCTCCGATCTGTGCGTATCTAATCTATACCGATGATTTGCTCTGAGGCGTGGTTGCCTCGTTATACTGCATTTTCAGCTAACGCAGTCGAAATTCTCGTACCACGATTGCTTTTGCTGTGCCTACCACCATAGGCCATGCAGCACTTACGTTTACTCGTAACTTCAGGCCTTCCGCTGTTCCCAGGAGCTGCATTCCTTTACAGCTTCGCCCGCACACACGCGAAAAACAGACATACACACAAAGATATTTGCGCAGATGCAAAGATCGACCCATACATGCATAACAGGTAAAGCTTCCCGTCACACGCGGGCTGCTGGCCGACCGGCCTACTGGCGTGGCTTGCCTAGGTATCTAGTTTGATAGGCACTACGGCGCGTAACAGTAGCAGGGTGCGGTTTGCTGGTAGTTACTAGGCTTGATAGGTTCCGTGCGTCAGTTAATAAGTCCACCCGTTTGTGGTGCTGCTAGTATGGTAACTTGCTGGACGCCTGTGGTAAGCAAGAGGCGGGGCAAGCTGTTCCGCGGCGTAGAGGCCGAGTTAGTCAGCCACACAAATACTCTATGAAGGTAAGGTAGATAGACCTGCCTCCGCCTTTACGGTGAAAATTCCGATTGTCTTTTTGGTTGAGGGAACTGGTACATCCACTTCTGCTGTCATCGTGACTGTTGCCCATCGTGATGACGATGGTAGTGCTAATGGTAGTAGTGTTCGTAGTAAAAACAAGTTGTCGCTATTCTGAGCTCGGCACGTCGATGCCGTGGACACGCGGGGCTGCACCATAAATATTGACAGGCTAGTTTCGACCTAGTGCGTGGCAAGGACTTAACGTTACAGTGCTTCTGTTGATGGCGGCGGGAACAGTTGTTTTTAGTCTGGAATTGCACAAAGTTTATTGAAAATAGTGTATTCTGAAAAAAAGTCTACGTGTGGATTGGCGTGCCGGTGTGCAGAATGGAGTGAATAGAATACGACGGATTATAAAACTGACACAGGAATAATCCCATTACTCGATCTAGATAAATAATATAGGTACAGGGACGGCATGCAATTGATATAAAAAAAAAAGAAGGCTTCAAGGGAAAAAGAAGCACCAGGAAGCTGATAGCAATGACAATAGAGCAAGCCACCTATATCGCCATGACAAACAATACTGTAAATGTATCTACGCGATAGGCAAGAGCCTACCCTGCAAAGGTTCGTCACAAAAGGGATCATAATTAGCCGGTTGAAGTATTCGTAGATTTCCTTGCCATGATTTTTACAACCATTTGAATCAGACCAACCACCAAACTAAGCACTATTCACAGTTTCCTCTACGCATACAACTTCTGTCTTTTAAGAAGGTTTATTCTTCACATGGTTTCGTAATCGTCGCAAGTCGAAGTAAGATATGTGACTCTCGACTAAATTTGCCTTTGGAAGTGCTCAGATAATCAAACTTTGTGTTCGGGAATTCCAACCGGCGTCTGCACAAACCCCTTCATTGCACTCGTTGCTATGTCGGGTATATTTCCTCTCGGCTCCAATGCGGTCGTTCCAGCTCCGTGTGCCAGAACATTTTGCTCAGAATGTTCGTCTCTGGGGATGCCTAGCCCCGTAAGCTGTTCCGGAGGTTCCCTTGGACCGACCCCCACTTTCGGCTTGCTCGGTCTTCCAAGCTCCGTGATACCCCCAGGTCTTGCCTTCGCTCATGTCGTTCCGTGGAAACAGGCCTAGTACGTACAAAGGAAGAATTGATCACCGCTAATCTAGACCATGCATGATATTATAGTATGTTAGGAACTTAAGAGATAAATCAAGAAGGGATAGATTCTCTGCTGCCACCTTGGGCTTCCACTATAGCCTCTGTTATAGCTATAGCTTGTTATGGTTATTCGCTTATTACAATTTACAAAATTTCATAACTTAAGTGATCAGTAGTTTTTTTTACAAATCAATAGCTTCATTATAAATTACTGAAACATCTGCTATTCAATCCATATTATTTACGCGGTATATGTAAGCACTTTTTTGCGGAGGTGCTTTCTGAATTATTTGAGAGTTGTTTTAACGCAGTCCGATCTAAGGCCAGTGCCTTACATACAAGCTGGTTCCTATCTCGCTATGGAAAATTATCTTATTTATTTTTGCGTTATACACTGTGCGTTTTTTTTTTTTGGTGACATAAGTGGGATATTAAGGACTTACTGAGAGCGATAGCCAGGGTAAGTCTTGCTGGATTTCTTCAAATTTTCCCTAACAGACTTATGAAACGGCATTACAATCAATTTGGAAATTAACGTATTGAAGAAGCATTAGTGCTGAAAGGTCTAACTTATCAGGATCAAACCAGTACTATCCGATGTATTAAGATGCGCAAACTTCAAAGCCAGCGAAACGATATATATATATACATAAGGACATTCAGTCAGTATAGGATATAAAGAATTTGTCTTGTTTGTAAAGCTTTTTCTGCCTTCAAAATAAACAAAAACCTTCGTCTTGAATAAAACAGTATATAAGGAAAAAGACTCGGGACTGTATTTTAGCTGACTTCGAAGACAATGTGTCGTTGCTTCTCCTCTGATTCGCAATTTTACGAACTACGAAACATGGTTCAACATACAACGTCAATATATACGCCCGCCGCTTAATACAACCAAATTGCATCCTAGAGCTTTTTTTAGTTATTGTTCCTTTGTCTATGGAACGTTACGAAGTCCATACATAAATAAATTAGTACTGTAAACTTAAATCATGGTACGAGACCTGATTCACTATTGTAGCGTTAGCTGTATCCCATTTTTTGCTTTTCGATTTCTCTCTGCCATAAGTGGTATGGAGCAGGTTTGGTTGGGTGAATTCGGACAACTGTTTTCGTCGTACTTACCTCATCGCTGGAGTCTAGTGCCCGTGTCGGGCACTCCACTCGGATCTTGGAATCAATTCGTCGACTCCGCTAAGGTAGAACCCGAACCTAATCGAAAATATAATAATATAGTTATAGAGATAAGTCATCTTCGATTAGATATCCTATCCTAGAATTCTAAGCGAGTAAGAAAGTGATATATATATATATATATATATATATATATAAAAGAAAGAAAACACTATGGTAAAGATGGTGCCATCTTTGAAAAAGCCAACTATATTTAGAAAACACCTCGGTTTGCTCTAATGCGTATGATATAAAAATAACTGTTTTTTTTTAACGGTGTTTTTCTTTAAAACTATGAGCGAAAGCTTAAAAGCCCGCGAAATGTTATTAGGTAAAAGTTGCCTCGTTTTGAGCAACAGTCATAGAAAAGGACCCGATATAGAGTCATATATAGTATTTTCATAAAACGATTGAACATTTATGCAAATATTGACGTCTTCACAACTGGTTTGTTAACCTTTTTTGTGTGCGCGCATAAAATTTGGGGAATCACGGCCATTTCGTTCTGAGATAGCAAAATCATTGCATTGGAGTCTATCCGGATTCCTTTAATGGACCTATTAATAACAATAATAGAATAACGGGTTAATTGCAAGGGAATGATGGACAATTTTCATAGCGAAATAGCTGAAGGAGGAAAACATACGCGTTGAGAGCTCTTTTTTGTACGGGCTGAATTTCTGCTATGGGCAATACGGGATTGGCTTACCTAAATAACTGAAATATACTGAAAATGACTAGAACAATGTATGCAATCCACTGAAAAGACGTGACAGAACAGCTGTACGAACAAAAACAAGAGGTGACCCTGTGAGTTGCAATGCGATGCAATGGAGAAGCAAAAAGGTCTAGGGTAGCACATTAGGCTCGTGTTAAGGCCAAACAGATTTCAATTCGCTTCAGGCTCGATTGGAATATGTAAAAGAACAGTGTCACTTAGGGTCTTATCCAGTGCACAGGTTGTGCTGGACAGAAAGCAACGAACAAGTATCTAAGCGTAAGAGTACACAGCTACTAAAGACGGGCGGATGTCTGCTGCCGAGCTGCCGGAAAAATCAAGGATCGGCAATCACTTTTACTTTTTATATATATATATATATATATATATATTGATTTTAATTCGAGGAAACTTATTCGGCGGCCATAACTGACTTTGAAGTAACAAAAGAAAATGAGCTACTTGTTTCTTGCTGTCGATGTTCTTGGCGTCACCCCTTGGGTTCGGCGTGTTTTGTAATAACGCACAGGGAAGTACATCTCGCCTCTATTAACCCCTCAGCGAACAATCACTCCGTAAGAACGCTAGTTATCCCTGCCAAAGTGGTGGTTAACAGTGGTTATATGTCATTCGGTCTGATTGAATCACAGGTACGTTTTTGTTGCGAAGAGTGCGGTCACGGCTGGACATCGATGAAAGGTCGGGTGGCTTTCTGGTTTGCCCAGGCCGCTGGGACAGCCGGCGCAGGCGTTGTCGCCTTTCGTCTATACGGCCAGCAGTGTGAGCGGTGCAAAAGTGGCCGCTTTCAAGACGCTATGTGGTATCCTGAAGAAGTAGTCAAGGTACTTTTCTGTTCGATATGTTCCTACAAATATCCAGTCAGTCAATCGTTTATAGGCTTGACTGAGTATAATGCACACTTACCCGCCCCATCAACAACTTACTAGCAATGTACTAGTTATATCGGACGCAGAGTTCGCTTTGTAAGGAATGCGTATATATAGGAGAAGCAGTACATTTCTGATCAATTAGCATCAAATAATTTTGCAAAAAAAGTACGAAACGAATATTAGTCCTTGTTTGCTATGTTCAACTAAGTACCAGTCTCTCTAAACTTGCAACTGTGTTCAATAGGTGTTAATGAACCTCTACAACCGTGTAGGTCAAACCTATTACGGATTCTTCGAACCGCCTATCCAAAAGGCGCGACGCACTGGAAAACCTCGAACACCTCATAATGTACAACTATGCCAGGCGTGCCACGATGGGGTGTGCACTAACGAACACAAAACGTCCCCACAAGCGAAACTGTTGTCCTGATTCTGAAAGCAGTACTCAGCCGAGCAGAGTTCTCTACTTCGGAGACTTTGGCGTTATATTTTCAGCAACGTCATGGCTTACTATAATGTCATTTGGTGCTGCACCTATCTAGATTGTGTGACTATATCAAATACCGATACGATATAGGCTTTATACAAATGAAAATAGATACTATTTATAATAATAGAAAGTAATAATAATAATAATAATGCTAAATAAGCGATTCAGCAAGTTGCACGTTCACAATGATGACGTTGTTTCGCATAATTTTACCAAATTCACTTGTCAAATAATCGCATTTCTTTTTAACTTAAACCTTGTAAGCGTCCCTCGACGAGAACAACCCGACGTTAAGGAATGAGCGGACAACTTTTAAGAGGCATCGATTGGTTCTTAGCGGAACTTGTTTGGTGACGCTACAGGCTTTCATTTCAAACATTGTTTTTGCCTATAAGCAAATTTGAAGACTCTCAGGTCTGCAATTTCCGTTCTCTTTTTGCTGGCAAATCTGAGGAGATGATTACATAAGGTACGAGACAAGCGTTTTTATAAAAACAAAAACGTTATCAATGGCCTATTTAGCGCCATAATCTCTGAAAAATCACTTTTGTAAAATCCTGTATTACTGTCCGGCCGCCATTTTTCAAGACCACACCCAATTGAGAGCGTAGCCACTTACAGGAGATAATCGCTATGTTTTATCGCTATTTACACCCAGACTTACATAAATCGAAACGAATTATCGTGCGGAAAGCTTCCCAGTAAGTGTTTTACGAGTGCGCGTGCTCCGCAATCAAATTTGCCCTTGAAACATTAATTACCTTCGTCTAAGTATGGTTCAACTCGATCAAACGATAATATAATCGAACTTGAATGATAGTAGATGCTTGTCGTGCACAATGTAACTTTTTTTCTAACTAGAGAAGGTAACGTGAATTGAACTTGTTACGCACGATTAATATCCAGCTATGGATGGATAATACGAGCTTTTACAGCCATTATCACTATAATTTATCATCAATTCAGTAGTTCGTCAGGACTAGCTTATTCAAGATCTACGAACATGTAGCGCCAAACTAAATTCAGGCAGTGGTTTTAGTAATAAATAAATAATGTAAAACCAAGTGGGATTATTTATACATTTGGCCTACCTAAGATCGTCTACTGTTTATAGTGCTTAAACGAGCGTAAATCAAATTAGCGCTTTCAGAGAAAACCCAGTCGTGAAAGGATTTACTGGGCCGTTAGAATCATTGAATTGCTAGTTGTACCTACTCTCATCTCCGAATCATTATACTTCGCTCTGTTACAAGCCCTATCAAACCATCTCACACGTAAACATGTTAAAAGGCTAATTGTCACATGATTGACCGTTTCGCACAGCCCCGGACAGAATCATGCACAGGGCTGACTAGACCGATTCATCCTTGTATGATACAAGATCCCAGGAAGGCCAGACGCTGTGTGAATCAGTTTAAATGGACGAAATCTAGCCCAGGGTTGTTGTGACTGCCAACCCACGTAAAAGAGCACTGTTACCCAACCAGTGGTGACGCCAATGTGATTCGATCTTCTTTGCGGGTTCATCATTATCACAGACGCGTGCACAATTTTGTGTGTTTGCCATCTGGTTATTCTATTGTGTCGCCCCTTCTCCATTCCCTCTCAAGCTCAGAAAACGGCATTAACATCACACAGTACAAAGTACTGATTTGTATTTACTTCGCAAGGACGTCCTAAAATGACATTAGCGGGACTGACATAAATAACGCGTGTGTAGCTTCTGTTTTTTTGCCGTTGCTTCTATGGTCACGTTAGTGAGTGTATATGGGGACGAATAAACGAGCATTGTCATTACAAGTACATTTCACTAATAACAACTAGGTAAGGATACATTGAATGCCATTTGCATAGCGATGCAGGCGGCTCAAGCGTATCTCACCTCATATCAACTAGCGAAGCTTTGTAATTTGCCAGAAACATATCGTCACTTCGTGCGCTATAACACCAAATGTAAAAATGTAAATACGTCGAACAGATGCTCGGCGTCGTTGGCCTAATAATTAACGAGACAGCGTCATATAGAGCACGAGCTGTACTAACACGATTTAATAAATTAGATTAATAAATAGTGACAAAGATAATACGATAAAATGTTGTTATTAAGTAAGAATGATAACAAATCTTAGGATTGTTAGCTCGTCACGGCCGGTCTATTTGTGTTGCACTTCTCCCGCAAGTTTACCTCTAACGGTAAACTTAGATGATTCATTGAATACTTTTTACAAAGTGACTTTTTATGATGCAAGCTTCTTTTCTGTCGTTTGTTTCCCTTCCGACTTATATCCGAAAAATAGAAATTAGCCATACATACGGAAACTGAACAATGTAATATGCATAATTGTCACTATCTCATACGACTAGCTATACAACCTTGTGAAAAAGTCTTTACATGTCGAATCTGTCGTACGAGATCGTCAAAAGCTAAACCGAAAAGGTGTCGCTTCATCATTACACTCACTGGCAATTTCTGTAATTTGTACATTCGCCGTTTCAATATCTCTAGCTCCCGTTTTCCCGACAACTTGGAGATATGGTTCGGGGTCATGACCCAATGATGCCGAAGGGGGTTCCAGGCGTAACTCCATTTCTTAACTAACTTTCGTTCTCAGAATTTCTTTCATTGTCTACGAGACTTTTCAAGCGGCTGCAGAAGCTTTGCGATAGTAGGGGAATCCGGTGACACTTCGAGAGGGGTATGCTTCTGCCATGATAGCGGCTTCTGGGCCCGTAGGGGCAGTGGAGTGAAAGAAAACGTCAGCAGGCGAGTTGGACTCGGTACCCAATTCATTCGTTTCAATAGCAGCTCGAAAGCCGCCCTCGTCGGCAACATATCTGTAAGCATTTGAACGGTACAGCCACTATATTAAACGAGCATTGTATAGTAGTAAGACAACAGACGCCTTGTTTAAGCAAAGGGGCAGAACCATATCCAGTAGTTCTAAATTGGGTACTGAGAGCATACCTTTCATTGGTTAAAGTCAACAAGTAGATTTGGAATGCATCCTTAGCCTGAAGTTAAATCCAACAATAAGGCGGTTCATGGACACAGGATAGATGTAAATGCAAAAGCTCACTAACGTAATAACTGTCGAATTTTAGGTTTTGCACAGCCGTTAAGGATTGCTTTAGATAGTCCTCTTCAACTCGAAACAAAGCGTACCTATTCCGGGTTTTGAACCTCACATGCCCTTATGTTTGATAAGAAAACACGTAGGTACCGTACTATATTATGGGGACCCACTAACTTGACTATTCGCCGACGTCCATCAGCAATGTTGATCGTGTACGAGCCCTGGCGGCGATTGGCCCCGTCAGCTGTTTCTTCGTGGCTGTGAGCACCCTCCTCGGTGACGGTTGTGTAGGCAAAATGATAAGGCTGAGGGGGGTATGCAAATTTGGCATGCGCTGCGACTACTGGAACGGCCACGGGAACGTGGGAGACCTGCACTGGTGCTGTTGAGACGTGGGCAATCTGTACAGGCACGGGTACTGCTGCCACTTGAGTAACCCGACTTACGGGAGTAACTACTTGGGTCGCGGGGACGGCGATCGTGGTGATCTGAGCCCACTACATCAAAAAATGAAACCACTGAGTTACGCGATTTAACGCGCAGCGTTACCAATCAATCGTTCATTCGCACTCGTTTTTGATCAGATAGACCCTCCAAGTGATGTCGCAGACTGCGTGTATTTAGCGGCGCATTATCAAGCCCTGTTATTCTACAAGAGCTATGTATACATACATATAGAGTTTATTCGATTTAGCATTAGGTAATCAGTATGCTGGTACCTTGAACACAACCCATAATAAATGACGTATTGTTCAAATTTGCTTAATTTAATAAATTTATTCACAAATAAACTTGCTAAGTGGACTGGTTAGCTGTGGCAGTAGGTAGAAACCCTTCTTGAGTTAGAATTCGTTACAGATAGATAGGAGTACATACACAAAAGAAAACAAAACCACAGGAATTTACACTTGTTAGTGATAGAAGGCAATATTATATTAACCGAAAATGCATATTATCGTTTGGCAATCGTATAATGAGTGGCCGTGAGGGATACAATATTGTTAACTCAAAGTAAACTCTTGCAAACAGGATTGAAAAATTCCAAAACATCACTGGTCAACAAATTAAGTAGAAAAAGCGTCCCACGGATACAATTATCCATTGGAGTCCCAAAACAGCATAACGGTAACCCTCAGTATTTCTCGTAAAAGGCGTTCTATTTTTTTTTAGACATCGGTTTAATGCATATTGGCGCTGCGCGCGATATCTACACAATACGACACTGTAACACTCACAGCTGCCATGGCGGTGATGACGAACACGAAAAGGACACGCATTGTGTATCTGTCAGCAAATATCTCCTTCCAGAAAAATAAAAACGAAGGTAAAGCTGCTGACTGTACTGGAAATTCAATAAAGTTGAGGGACAGACAAATGAGCAGGTATCGATGTATCAGCTTAACAACAGATAGCTTCTCGTACACTGCGCATCCCAAATGCCAAGTGCTAGATGTTACCAGATATCGCCAGCTTTTTAGTGGATCTCGCCTGGCCTTGACGCCCTCGCGAAAGACCCTCGTATCATGGAGCAACTCGACAGCGCACGCCCATATTGATTTCGGGGTCCACCGTAACCGCACGCCTGCAAGGGCACCCCGCTTAAAAGTGTGCATATCTAAAATAATATAATCGCGCAATGCACCAAGCTTCACTCTCCATTTCAGATCAGGACATACTTGGAGAGGAAGACCAGAGACGAAAAAGAAATCAGCTTATAGCGATCCAGCCAAATGCCATTAGTCACAGTTCATTTTTTGAACAACAACAACAACGATAACGGCAGCGGCGTTTAAAGCGCCGCCGCCGCCGACGACGACGACGACGACGACGGCGGCAGCGGTGAATGTAGCAGCAATACCGGCTATGAGGGCGACGACGACAACTCATTGCTTCGTTGGTTTCGCTTAAAAACGGTCAAGCACAGTGCCTGTGAGGACCAATATGGCCACACACATATATTAACGCACGTAGCAAATACGTGAAGGCAATGACATTTAATTAACTATGCAAATGTTGCTGTCAATGGAAAAACAATAGCAGAGATGTAATAATCTTAATAAAGATAGCATGTCACTAGTGTTTGACCCAGCGATAACGGACGAGTCCAACGAATGCCACAATAACAGGAGAAGTAAGTACATATAAGAGGTGCTTGAATCACGAGTCGATTACCATAAATATATTATAAACTTACTGATTTATTGACCAATTAAACATGCTGTCCGTTGTGCCGGCTTGCCGCGTGTCAGTTATCAATAAACAGGGGCGGTCATAAAAGAACGCGTTGTTGGACTCCACTCAATGTTCCGCATTATCGCTACCACAATTGTTTTAGCCGCCGTGAGTTGGTAAGTATACGCTAGTGTCGGCGCTGGCGCTTATCGATGTTCATTATCATGCTTACGTGCTAACCCTCCACTATCGCACGTACGCTGAGACGGATCGCAGCAGAAGCAGGTCTTATAGCGGCAATCAAGACATGTCACATTTAGTGGTCACGTCCTAACCTCCAAAGTCAAATCTCTGCGGAAGTAATCAACGAAAGAAGGCCGATTCAACCTGGTGAAAGATCCAAATTTAATTAATTAGTAGTTGATACAGATTGTAGTCTCTTTTCGTCTGGCACTTTTTTCCAGACAGTAATTTCTGTCGGGAACTGACTGCTGATATCGTCGCTTTCGTGGTGGGTGCTCTCGCCTGCATTGCCTCCAATATAGATCGCTGATTCGACTATCGTTCGCAAGCTTTCCGCTTACTTCGTCGTTAAGGGCGATTGTAGTATTTTACTCATCATGTAAATCATCATTGTTATCAATACCATTTAGGTAGGGGCGCTGGGGGAAAGTGGGCGGTACCGCTGATAGAAATGTTTCAATGTTAAGAACATGGCAACCGTCGAAGCGAAGGCAGCTGGCGCTACGCTGCAAAACAACAAGTCCAATGAGAAAAACAGGGTAAACAGAAATCAGTACTCAGCGTGTCGTCCAATCGGGGCCCGTGTGCACGTACGTCATCAGGCAGGTGTATTTAAATTAGCTAACTGCGGACTAGCTTGTACCTTGAAAAATCTACTGACTCAATTAATATTCTACCTCTGTCTGTTAACCCTTTTGATATTTTTACAGTGTCGTTGAGCGTCGCACATTGTCGCTAACGTATCTATTGAACGATATATAGCTTAATATCTACCAGTCAATTAATTCGTGCTTGTTTTTCTTGTTGGTTTATTTTTAGCGTATTGACGGTTGGTGACCCACCACTGTAAGAAGGAAATGGGCACTTCATCTTGAAACAAACTTCATGATTAGTGACAGCTGATCGAGCGAGGCTATTGAGGTTTGTTATTCGTAACAATTTAATACCAAGCATTGAAACTATTAGGACCAAGCTTCTCAGTTGAATGAAAATGACAACGTTGAAGCGGTTATTTTGTCACTGGGATTTCGCTTGCCTAAGCACTTTATCGGCGCAAACTAGGGATATCATAGAATAGAGCTCAATTAGTTTCTCCCACGAGCGATGAGGCTAGCTAACGAAACGAAGGCGTATTGGTAATGTTTTCTTCAGTCAGCTGTTCAGCTAGGGAGACGTGGTCCTAAAAAGTGTAGAAAAAACAAGGGCACTTAAACATATAAATAAAAAAAAAACGTACACAATAGGTAGATATGCGCTCGGCAGGCAACGGATTGCTACTTGCAAAATTTATAACGAACTTGGGTTCGTAAACATTAGCCTAAAGAGGTTGGCTGGAAGCATAGACCGCATATTGTCATGCTTGCAGCATATCTTCGTTATTGGTGTCTAGATTCTTATGGGTTTTTATAATCAACTTGATTAGATTAACCAGGTTAAATGAAATGGAAGATATTGGTTTTCAGCTATTTATCGCATAGTCAAAACTTAGGAAAGATTTAAGCTCTTACGTACATTTACCTTAAACTGCATTTAACGCGAATTCAACTGCAAAATATATCTCAAAACACAAAACAAAACATTATTACAAAAGCTGACAGTCGCAACTCGAATCAAAATCATCTCAACTTCTGAGAGTTATTCCATTATGACCCACTTATTTACTTGAGGCGCAAATTTTGCATACGAGCACACTGAACTCCTAAATGACATTATCGTGATTATAAGTTGAGGGTTCGTGGCATTAGAGCTATTTGATTGCATTGTATGGAAACAATGCATGCGCCAATTCATACAAGGTAGGTAGGAAACAATTATATCCAGTGCACAAATAACGGACGGGTCTAAGGACAATACTCACAGTCGAGATAGTGGATCAGTGTTTGATGCTTTGAAACGAATGCAGCTTCTAATGCGAAAAATATATAATTTAACGATAATTATATTATTTGATTAAGTTATTATCCGTGGCTGATGTAAGCACGTTCTTTGGTCAAGAAGAAGGCAAGGATCTTAATATAGATATGAAATTTTCGGGGTCTGAGAACACACATTTGATTACATACACTATTCCATGGGTAGCTATAGTGAAGATTTATAATAAAAGAATCCATGATCTATGTTTGACTTAAGCAAACAGTTCATGGATTCGCTTTCGTTTAAAGCTCTACACACACGACGAAATATTTGCAGGCCATTGTGTTTACTGCAGTTTTTTCGCGTGCAATTTTGCAACTGGTTTCCACATTTATTTACTTTTTCTTTTTAAAGGGGTTTGAGTAGTGCCGGTCACGCAAGATTAGCCCCCAGAGCAACGTCTACCTAACGTGACCAATAAGTGTGGGTCTCAACAACGACGAGTGAATTATGTTTTAATGAGAGCACTAATTCAGTTTTTTTTTTATCTTACACGCCACTGTAACAACTTGGTCCTTCAATTTTCTTGTATAGAGTAGAAAGGGCGACTGAATAACCCGGGTCATCTCTGATAGGTTTTTACCCCCGCCAAACAACTATTTTTCGAAGATTTAGCTTAGAGCATAGCTGTACACAGCCCATGTAAACAAAGAAAGCTAACAATCACTTGGAAACTAACAAACGCACAAAATACCTAAAACAACTAATTACACATGTCACAAACTTTTCTAATTAAGTGACAAAATCATTGGTTATAGTGCCTTATTAAGTGTGAAATTTATTAAGATTTGTATTACATTTATTACACAATGCTCCCATAAGGAAACATGCACACAGATATGCATCGCAGTCAGTGATGTTTTCATCTTTCCTTAAATTACATCGCAACTTTTCTGTGATACTTCTCTACAGATACCACTGGTAGATGTCACACACGATACATACAACACGTCCTCATCCATCCGCAAGTACTCCTAATCATCTTAGTCTCTAACTCCACAGGTCCCTCGCTCCTATTTAACACAGTTCAAACGTCCCAATTTGTCACTCACTCATTTTCGTGCACTGTCAACATCGTTAAAAAACCTTAATTATATAAAACAATAATTTGCTCACGTTTTCCCTATCTTCGTCAAGCGCCAACCTTATTCAACGTCGTTCGCATGCCGTCGTCGTCGCAAACGATGAGCGGTTTCCATCCCAGGCGACCTCCTGAGAGATGACAACCTCCAATCTCTCCTTTTTACTTAAAGTCCAAGCCTTTCCAAAAATATCACGTGTTCGACATTTTCACTTACTTAGTAGCAGGCCATTTTTCTCAGTCTTGGGTGAATTGTCTAATATGAGCAAGTCGAAAGTAATACGGCGCACCCCATCCTTCTAAGTATATATCGCTTGACACTATGAACCGGACATTGGCAATCAAGTTAGTGCTAACTAGCTGTGCCGTTTCCGTTGTGTATTTCCAGCTCTGCAACCACGCGTGTTCTTCAACTCTGTCACCTCGTCTGATTCTCTCATTTTTTCCAGCCCAACAGAGCTGCTATGACTGGTCCGGACACGTACGTTGAGCTCAGTCGTGAAACAGAGATCGATCAAGCTGATTCTCGTCAGGCCAAACGGCCTTAACAAAAGCGGTTTCAGGCGGGCCCTTCAATCCACTGAAGTTCAAGAAATTCGAAGCAGTATCGATATAGACTTTTCATGTCATTAACGTTAACCGATCCGAATTCGATTTTCTCATGTGTTGTCTTTATTTTTTCTTTTTCAGTAGATCATCTACATGCGACTGATTTCTTGCTTCTACTTGTTTCTGACGTTAGTTCTATTTGTAGAGTGAACACCTGCATATACCAATGATTTATACCTGTTGGTAATTAGCCGAATAGTCTTTCTTTTATATACGAGTTGTTTGTTCCTGCTTACCACTTTTTCCTTTTGTTCTACGTCGTGTCATATGTAATATAATTATGCGTTTTTCGGCTTCCGCTGCTTTGGGCTGTTAGGTTTCGATCCACCCTGCTTTAGAACGCTTTGCGGAAGCCAAGCATAGTCAACGTCACCATCCTTGGTTCCAGTCTCAGTTCTGCCTGCGCCCTTTTTGCTGCTTGACATGCACTGCGCAAGGAGGAACAAACCTAACACAACACAGCTTGCTAGGAAAACATACAAGAAGAAAGTCTCTGCGTCAAATGTAACCTCGGGCTCTTCAACTGTCAACGTCGAGTTGAAGACGGCTTGACGATAGTGGCGCCCACCGATGTCATGATAGGTCAGTGACACCTCAAGACCAACCGGCATCCCACTCAAGACATTATCCACATGGAACTGATAAAAGAGCGAAGCTTCTTGGCCTTCTGACAACTTGCGAGAATAGTCAATTACTGAGAGATTTTGGATGACAGAGTTATAGTCGCCGGCGAGACGAAACGACGCGTGCAGCGTATCGAGAAACAGATCGTCAGAAGCACGATTAATGAATCCTACGAGTATCTGTAAAGAGCAGTCAGGAAAAACGAAAAAAAAAGGATTGTTTGGAGTACGATTTTTGATATCGAATCCGGATCAATCCCACAACAGGTATGGATTTAGATTTCATTCTGATAGTTATTTTTTTTTATTTAGCGAGACAGCGTAATGAGCCATCTGCGTGTTTGAAATTTGCCAACATTATACACAGTTATAAATGATCGACTTGATTCAAGGCACAGTAAAGCACAACAACTTGAATCACTAGGCAACATTACCTGAGCATCCTGGCCTGAAATAAGGCGCACTCCTCCGGGTTTTGTAAACAGAACATGCGTATCGGCCCCGGGATGCTTTTCCAAGAGCGGATCTGCTGGCAACACGTCCTCAATTGTCTCAACCTGCTCGGCCTTTGAAACAATTTATGAAAGGTACGCATGTTGGTATCAATTAAATATGCATAAAAACTATACTAGTACCACTAATATATAAAAACTATATTATACAAAATTGAGGCCTCATACTTGAATAATCAGCTTTCAATCAAATATTAGATTGAAGGCTGGTATCTGTTTATAAAATCCAAAGAAATATACCAGTGTCTATTTACAAAAATAGATAAAGTAAACCGGCCAACTTGATATTTAACCTATCATTGTGTAACATCGATACCTTTATGCGCGGCAAACGAAATCCGGAAGTAAGGCGCCAAAAAGTAAGCAAAACTTTGGCGCAGTCTTAGGTCATATCTACTTGCAAAATCACTATGTAAATGGCCTTTGCTCATTTAACTCGTCCGACATTCTGTTTATAGTCGATAGAAGGCACCGTATTTGAAAAAAATTAATCAACAGAAGGTATTCAACATAAGTTCGAACTTACAAAAACGATGCCGATTAACGTTATATTATCGCCGCTCAATGACTTCAGTGTTTATTGCCCTACAAAGTGCCAAGAGAAGGAAACTTTGCGGATGCCATGTAATTAACACTCCCGGTTATTTACATTTTTCACTAATACCGCTAGCTACATACTGTTAACAAAAACTGTTCAAGACACTACATAACTTTTATTCCCGATTATTTTCGTGCGTTAGTAAAAACTAGTCAAGAAGGGCCAATTTGCTGCAGCTGTCTTTTTTTTTATGAAACAAAATTATTATCATAATAATGGACTTATTGGTTTTAAATCAAGAACAGCACGGTATTATTGGATATACCTATTTTAAAAAGCAAATGTGTTAGTTCTCATTTACTAAAAGTGAGCGGCACATTTAATCTTTCAGTGTGTGTGTGTGTGTGTGTGTTTCTCGTTGAAAAATACTTTCTTAACACACATACTTTATACACTTGGATCGTAAACTGCATAAGATCAGCACAATCATATCTTTTATCTTGGTCTCGCTTAGAGACTAGGCAACGTGGCCAGGTAGCTGGTTTACCATGTCCCCAATGCACTACGGGACGCAGCGGATGGCCGGTTATTGCTGCTGTCGATCGACTGATCAGAATATATCGTGAGGGGAGTTGGTTTTCTATCGTTCGCTAGAAGCAAAATTTCGGACAGCAGATAAATAATGGTCATAGGAGCCATCTCTAGTTTTAACTTAACAACATACAAAATTAGCGCTCAGAAATTAACTCAAATTCACTGTCTCCCCCCGGTACGGAGAAGAACTTCCATCCATCAACCACAGGTGAGATTCCCGTACTCGCTTTACTTACGGATTCATCATCTGTGGCGCGAACAGCTGCCACTGCCAGAGCGGCTAGTAGCAGATGAAGAAACTTCATTGCCTCAAAAAATTAATAGCTATAACAACAAAATTTTGCGAAGAACTAATTGCACCGTTTACACTTCACTTGTTCAGGTCGAATGCTGCTCGTTTCCTATGGAATATCACAGCCGTCTGCCAACGTTAGCGGGCAGATACAATGGGTACCTCGCAGTTATCGTTCGTGCACGGTATTCTTTTATCCGGTGCTGCCAACTTGGCTAATAACATGACCAACTCAACATACGATGAACGCATTGCGGCCGATGAATGCGGGCCGTCAGCCTACTTTTGAAGCCGGGACACATGCTTAGCTGTTCAATGGTAGGATAGAACGATTCCACGCCGAACTTCAAGATCTTATATATTGAGGCCATCCTACATATGAATAATGGTCATAGCCTGACCAGGCACTAAGCTGAGTAGTGACGGTACCCAAATAAAGTGGTAGGTGAGACTCAGGGATCTCTTCGAACTAGTTCACTAAGGAAAGTCTATCAAGAAAACGTTCACTCAACTGTAGAAAAAGATATCAACAATCTGGAGGGTTCAAAGTGTTATTGATAAATTTATTGGAATGTTCAATGGAAGGCAAATGTTTTTATTACACAGTGAGGAAGTACAGGTCACTTCAATTTTAGCGAATACTTGATTGACGTATTCGGAAGGCTGTCTGGTGTGTTTGCCCATTACACTACGCTTTCACAGATTGAAACTTGTTACTTAAAGGCCACCCCATGAGAATAGTCTCTGCCTATATCTTCAGATTTTTTCTTGCCTGTATAGTAAATAGCGGTCATTTTTTTCAGGTTATTATTTGTTTTGTACCAATAGCCACCCAACTGAGGCAATTACTTTCACATACCTGGCAGCACACTTTTAAATGTATGTTTCTTAATCCACGCCTAATCTATTTATTTAATATACGAAAAAGCATTTAATGTGTAGGAGTGAGCATAATCCAAGATACACGAAAGGTAGCAAATTATCATCGTGAGATTTTACATGTAGACTGTATGAGGAGAAACTGTGAATGCACATAGTAACACTCCTGTGTTTTCAACGTTTTAGTTATATCACGGTTTACATTTTGAAATAATAAATAATAAGTTCTAACAATAAGTTTGCGTGTCAATAATAAAGAAATGTAGGTCAACATTGCAAGAATTTTCTTAGGACGGACTGGGCTACTACTTTTCAGTATGCGTATGTTTACAAAGAACGTGTTTTATAAGGCATTGCTATACATATACATACACGTAAACAGAATAGTGCGTTGAAATTGGGAATAATCTTTTACTTCAACGGGCATGCGTTCATCCGTTGCGGCTCGTATATATATATAGCTTAGTAATTACGTCACCATCGGACATAGGGCATCTTGCCGGCTTATAATCTTAAAGAAATTATTTTGCTTTACTTCGATTGCACGATAATTCAATAAGTGTGTGCACATATTGGTGCTGATAACAGTTTATAATTGTAGATGTAATCTCAGTTTATAGTACTAAATTTTTATAAGGTTTTGAACCACCCCAAATCATAGAGTATAGCTGCCCTATCTTGAGGAGGTGTTATATAACTCATATGGTTTTACTCGTCCAGATTTATTAATTCGAATATTCAATGTTCTATATAGCACGTTACTTTATGTATACATATGAAGTAACGTATACGCGTATATATATATCGTACAGGTGTCGCTGCATGACTGACGAAACCATGACAGAAGCGAAAACAGACCAGATCAAAAATACACAGTACACGTAGCGAAAAAAACTGATCCGCGCCCGCTAATCAAGAAAGCTCATTTCAGACAAGAGGGGCACCCAATAGTCTGATTACCTTCCCGAGCATTTTTTGATAGTGAATATTGCAGCAATATTCACGACAGAAATTATCACTACGACAATATTTCTTGCCCACATGTTTTATGCATGAGGTTGGTCTTTATCAAATGAACCTGTTGGCTATTAACGATAGTGGATACAGCAAACTAGTGCAAAGATGACGTTCTTAATTTGATTGAAGATAATCTTCTAAAAACCTTTGATCAAGTACAATATCTTGGTTTGTAAATTTTTCGACTCATGTTCATCTCAGCTGTCGCTTATCCGATACGGGTACTCAGCGTGTTCGTATACGTTCATATTTTTGAACGTTTCAATTTTCAGTTCGAATACATCCGTTCATTGAGAACCACTCTGTCTTCGTGAAGTAAGCAGATGGGAAATACTCCTTAGTTATAAATCATGGAGTTGACAAAACGTTTATAATCTTTATATTCCAGACTTTTTGTTTCTCGCGATGAGTTCTGATTCATGAAGTTGTAACGGGTTTTTACTGTAATAACGGATTTATCGTGTGTCGGGCAAAACTGTTGGCATCACCGAAAGGGCTAATAGTCGACTATCGAAAATAATAATCTGTTACGTGTGTGCTGTACTCTAATAGGAAATACGCGAATGGGACGTATCTTGTTAGAGAATTATCGCTGTTCCAATTCAGCGACATCTGACGCAAGCATCAAGTCACCTATTAAGCCATAACTGGATCGTTGTCTGTTAACAGATAGCAGACTGATCTTTCATAGTCACAGTAACAGAAGTGGATCCAACTCCTTCTATTCGATTCCTCAGTAAATTAATACCTCAATAATATCTCAAAGTACTCAATAAATTAATCCAATCTCATTTCAATAAGAGATCCCATTGTACAGCGCCGAAAAAGGTGCGTGTTGGTGAGCAAACAGGATATTTTAAAATAACATATATATGTATACCTTATGCAGTTCATTAATAGTCACATGTAAACGTACATACAATGGTTGGTTCTTGATCAATCATCCGAAATCACGCTATGAAAATTTTTTGGTCAGTAATTCAAATTCCACTAGATATTTTGCGAACTGAACCGTAGGCTGAGTTCAAGGCGCTAATTTCGATGGCTTTGATGATTTGTGTGTTGATTATTTTAGCGAATCTTATGTAGATTGACAAAACTAAAATGACGTTTTTTTTTTTTGTAGGGGCGTCATATTCTATATCGAAGACGTCAATGCAGTGCTTCGAAAAATAGATAAGTATAAGCTTTCCCACAAAACCGTTTAGTGCTACGTGCAGAATAATCTTCTAAGGCTCCTATTGATCCCAAAGTTATCTATATGGCTACCTTATAATGTTTTGAGCTCAGTCTTTGCGATAATGTTTGGCTCTAAGGTTTTTAGAAGACACGTTGCGAAATGCCTATCTTAAGCGTTTGCAGAGAACATGATGCGGAAACCAAAAGGGTCACTTCGGGAAAGCCAGAAGTAGTCTAATGGATATGCGTTTTTAACCAAGTTAAACCTGTTTACTTATTCTGCTAACAATCCGTTAGAAGGTGATATGAGAAATATTATGTGTGTTTTAGAAACAGACATTTTGTTCTTGACTTGAAACAAAGCATAACTATTAAAGATAGTAATAACTTGATTTGCTTGAAACGCAACCACAAACCATGTGACTAGCCCCTAGTTACATATACGGAACCTGGTAAACTACTAAGATTTATTAACAACCAATAAAATGAGTGAAATCAGAATATGAGGAAGAAGACACAGTATTGCCCGCCATTGTCAGGATTTAAATTTGGCGGGCCCTTTCCACGCACAACGTCCTCGCCCCCAACCACCGCCATGGCAGTCCCGCCATCTAGGCGACATTTTGGGAACTTTTCTCGATTTCTTGGTGCAACTACTAAGAGCCGCCAAAACGTTCGAATTGAGGTTGATCCGCACCGAGTTTCGCGTCGCTTTCAAGCAAATTTCACCGGCGACGAGGTGTGCAGGCCCTGTGGACTAATAAACGTTGGACGTTTCGTGTGCAATCGGTGCATTGTGAACACTGTCGCTTACGATAGACTACCTATCTAAGCCTCTCAGCTAGCCACCGACGAAGCTATCCTTCAGCTAGAAACTATACGGCGCTCGCTTCACAAGGTAAACAAAGAGACGAAATGCGATTCGCTTCTTGCGACTAAATGTTCCCCGACAAAGAAACCAAGTCGATCCTATCTGATGCGGGCAATTCATTAACCAACCATGGTTAGATATCTTTCAATCATGTCCGTTTCGGTAAAGCAGTTTCGAGTCCAGCTAAGTGGAAGGAATCATTTTTGTGTGTGCTGCCGGTCACCCAGACCTGTGGGTTAACTACTAACACAAGCAACACCACACAACGTCCGGAGCATCAGAGCGGACCCAAGAGCTACTTCTCCCCGTTTCGCAAACGAACACATAAAGAGTTACCCGCCCAACGACCCGTAATAGAGAGAGTTTCAAACATCTCGGTGCAGTCGTGTCAAATATGTCCTGATGCGACATAAAAAATTGTTGAAGTATCAATGTAGTTCCGCTAGATACGATGGCAGATGCGACACCGTCGTTAACTGTGTATGCCTTTCTCTATTTACATCAGAAAGATAAACACAGAAATGGAGCCCTGTGAGCTGGTTCAGTGAGTTAAGTGTACATCATCAATTGCAAAAAACACCTTAGCTCACCCGTCTTATTTTTTTTGTTTGATTCGATTATTGGCTGTGTATTGTCGACAAATGGATACTGGCAATTAGTTAGTAAACTGCAGGTTGGAAAGACTGGGAAGAAAGAAGGAACTAAAATCCTTCCTCAATGATAGGCCGAAAATGATATCAAACCAGCATCATAGCCACTAAATAGTGTGATAGACTGTTTGGACAACAGTACCATATTATTCTAAAATGTTTCCGTGCCGCTGCGATACATATCTATTATATAATACGAGTGACCTCTGGGTGGTTTCTTCGACTTAATGTACAACAGCAAAATAGAAAAAAATTGACGTTTCTTTCTGGTTTAATCGGAACGAATGGCTTGTGCTCAATAGCAATAATCTTCATAGTTTCCGTGACACTTGCAGCGACTGCTGCTTCCAATGGACAGAGTTACAAATGAGTGTCAAATGTGATCTGGGGTATACAAAAGCTCGACATGCTTTCGACGCAGTAATAGCTCCTAGTGTAGTGTACTTCAACTGGCTGTGAAGGCTATCGAAAGGATCGAGTAGTAGTTAGCCTAGTAGAATAGAATGATAGAGAAGAAATGACGAACTATAAAATTACTACACTGTCAAACTAATAGTGATTTAATTAAAGTGCCATTAGGGGATTACTGAAAAGAAACCATCATTTCTACTCGAAAGCTGTGTTTTATCAGTCGTAAAAACAATAATAATAACTTATAATTGGATCGGTAAAAGAGGAGAATGTATGATACCAACCTAACAGAGATAATCAGCTCTAACCCAGATTGTGTCAAAGCCTGCTCCGCTTTGTATCTTTTGCTCTCATTTTTCGTCAAGTATTCTATTTGGCGTGTTTTTCGGCGCCTGGCGATTTTGTTTCCCTAAATAGGATCCGTGTGGTGTTTACGACGTGTCATTTTTGTTCGTCAACATACACAAGGCGATACCTTGTCACTAGAAACATAGTGTATAGAAATTACCTTATCAATTCTGTCTTGAAAAGCATATATTAAAAGCTTATAAGCATATTACGAAAGTTAGATGTTACAAATGGCAAAAAAGTTAAGGGATTCCCATATACGTCAGCCGAAATTGATATGTTGGCTGCGTTTAGTAAAAACGGATAGAAAAGTTACTGTGAATGATGTCTGTTGCTAACGCAATTATGAGACAGACAAATCGAATATACGAACTTGCAATAGAAAGGTGATGTAATCGCCTGTTTATGTATCAGCACAGCTGGTATTGGTGGCGTCGACTAGTGGAATTAAATGGGTAGCTAATTATCTATACGCTAATAGCTTAACTCGATGGTTACATGACGACGAGACGTGCTTAAATACAATTACCTATTTAGAGCGATTTTACAGTTGGGACGTAGTTCCTCTATGGTACGCTCACAAGCGTACCATAGAGGAACTCTATGGAGCTCTTGTTATTCTTGAAAATCGACTCCTTTTCGTGTGAAAAATGCCAAGTATAATTCGCATATTGTTAGTGAAGTAATAAGCAAATAGCCTTGCAAAGCTACGATGACGACGTGAACATTAGCTCCCGAATGACAATAAACCGACATTTAATATATCGAATAAAAAATAAAACGTCACATAAACGCTACGTCCAATAAGTTATCAAATTGTTAAAACCTTGTTACTTGAGACTATAAACTTGAATTTAATTAAACTCTTTTGATTTTTTTGCTAGTTTGGTAAATTGTGGTAAAGTCGATTTACTACTGTCCTGGATTGAACTCTAGAAAAGTGTAAAAATTCGCCTATCGAATTTAGCTTGCTTAAGCTGGTTCTAAGGCACTTTGACCGCATGACGGCGTTTGAATAAGCTTAGCTTAACGAAAAATTATTTAATCAATATAGGACCATTCACATATTTAATGACTGAATGATTACGAGACCTGAGCATGCGCATTTCAGGGCTTTCATAATTGTGGAGCTTAAAAGCTTGAAGTTATGATTGTATATTCTAGGAGAATCGACCAAAAGTAATATAACCATATCCCTTGCCGTTCAGATAGAAACAGTCAGATCAACAAATATTTTTGCATACTGTGCCAGATGGCCTCTACCTCAACTTAGTATTGGCACACCTCCAAGCAGGGAAGGTGATCGTTGACCTTATTACGCGAGCTGTATATTTATCATACAATCTCGTTACTCGACGTCATCATTCGGCATTACATATGTCAAATACAAGTCGCTTTATGACGAGACTTTCGCTAAAAAGAAACTGTTTCATTCATTCAGGATGGTAACGTATATTATATAAAACCGTTTGCTTTGCTACACTACTTTTTTCGTTAAGATTGAGCAGATACTTTCAGGGGGTAGATGCATAACTATTTGTGTTAAAAGCGTTTAATTTTCCGAACACCTCTCCTGACGAGGCCTGCTATACGGTCTGATTAATGCTAAAAGTTTTAACGAGCAATCTAACATGCAAGTCATTACTAAACTAACATCTTAAGTAGGATTTACAAATGTACACGGTCTTGCGTTTGGTCGTTGTTGCTTTCAAGTGTTAGACCTTTTACAACAGATTGTCGACGTAGCCGACTTCTTATTACCCCTCTTCTTTAGAATACATTCGATGGTCAGGAAGCCGCAGGAAACAGCAACTTGAACTTCCACTTGTAATAAAAACCATTTAAAAAAATACCATGAGCTTTAATAGAAATGATGTGCACAGTATATATGTCTTAAGTTGATATAAAAGTAATGACCATTTTTTAAACTAATTAAAAAACAGTCTCTTGCCCAAACGTTAGCAATAAATTATCTAGTTCTATCGCTCAATAATTTTTATTTAGAAATTAACTTATCATATGTCTGGTATCGAAGAACCTGTTCAACTGATTTTTGAGATTTTTTTCCTTTACATGTTAAATGCACCATTCTGAATTTTATTTGTAAGTGCTCGAAAAAGGTGGTCATCCTTTAGCGTTACGTATCGGAATGTGGTGAACGAAAAACCTAGCACTCAGGCTCTATAAATAATCCGAGTTCCTTCGATAGGTTCTTTGATGTCGAAGCAAAGTTTAAAACTGCGCTTACTTTTTGCTTGTAACATTCATCCTAAAACGCTATTTCAAAATGAGATTTCGTTCATCATAAAACAAAACAATAATTAATTAATAGTGCCGAAAACGTGTATAAACAGCGGAGAAAATGCGATTAGATATGTGCAAAAGCTATTCTGCACCAATCTAATCGAAATCATTCATGAACCTGAGTTCGAAAGACTATGAAAAAAAAAAACATTCTGACGTCTCTTCGTCCAAGGTGCATACAACTGGGAAAAAATGTAATCCGTGCTATTGTCTAAAATACCTTTCATACGGAAAATTTTTGTGGCATAAACCTGTCATTGTTTCAAGACAATGACACAAACTCCATATTCGGCAGGGTTTATACAAATGTAAATATGTGTGTCTGTTGTTTGTGACCAGGTCAAACCTCATCGATGTTTATACAGCAGTTGGCTTATTATTTCGAGAATTTTTTCCCTGGAGAATTGCATACAACAGGTTCGTGAAAAAAGTATGTTGTTGATTTACGTCTTTACACACCTCATTTATGAGATACGCCAAACCTTCCTAGATGAAGGATCTTTAGAACACATGGATATTGGCGTTATTATTATGAAGGCGAGATCCTAGTCATTCAGCCCTTCCAGCAGGTGTTGCTAACCGGGTTCGACATTCGGCCAAATCATATAATTGATTTTAAACATACGGTGCTTCTTTTTCACGTCTTACAGTAACAGATGTACTCAACGCCTTTTCCTCATTTGTTATTATCCTCCGCGAACACCTATTTCATTTTCTTGTAAATGGTACGAAAACGTAAGCACCGGTGCTTTCGCATCTATCTACCAGTATTTCCAATTTTCTATATTTATTTTTAGCAGTTTTAGAGAAGGCCCATGAAGGTCATCACCATCGCTAAAGCTATGGAGAATGCTACTGATAACCAATAGACTGTAATTGAACCCGCTTTATTTACTTTTGAAATTATAATATCTGGACGAGTAACTGTATATCAAATCGTATATACATCGGGGGTCACTAAGCTTGAAATGTTAAAAAAAAGCTTGATATGGAAATACTAGCAAAACTATAAACTTGTCAAGGCACTAATAGCTAGGTTTACGCAGAGATTATTTGGGTTTTTGTTTATTGATTTCTTTTTAAAATTTGCTGTTTGCTAATCAAGTAATATATTTCGTTGGGGAAATCATTATATTCCTTATATGTTTTAGTGCGTAATTGTCCAGACCAAAAAACTATTTCCAAGTTTGAACTTTAACATAAATCTATTTTTTAAATTTCCAAGCTCTGATACTCCCAAAAAAATGAAAATCCTATTTAGCGAAAAGGATCTTTAACATATACAGTAATTAATTTGGGCCGATGATAAAGATGGAAAATCCGGCTAAAAAACGGCTGTTTAAGAAAAAGGTAAATTTTATTATTAAAACAAAACCTTTAAGAGGTGATGAACACATAATGAGCATTAGGTAAAATATAAACAAAAGAAATCGAAACAGAACTCGTTAATTTTGAATCGCGTTTAAATTTTATTTAGTTTTTTTTTTCGATTAAATTCATTTCCTTAAAAATTGGTTGTTAGTAGCTGTTGTATACCGATGAGATGGTGTTTATTTATCATTTGTTGTAATAAATATGCTTTTTATATTAAATATAATTTCTGTTTTATGAAATGCCAAATTGCCACAGTTTAAGAGGTGCATTCTCTTCAACGCCTGAACTCATAATAAAATTTTGTAACTCGGAAAAGAAACTTTAATTTAATCAATCAGCAACCGAAAAAAAAGAAAGCAGTGGACAAAAACAATGCAATCCTAAACGTCTACCCAATATATTGTGAGATATTTTGTTTATTAATAGGACATATTTGTCTGGCTTATTGCTCGCACTGTTCTGATAATATAGCAGCTTTATAGTTTAATACGATAGCAAGCGTTCTTCATGACCCGAAACGATAGAAGTACGTCAATTGATAGCTTCGCATATCAATCGCGTGCCCCGGCTTAATAATATTTCATTGAAAAGCTTCATTATTTGCTTGTTGTGCAGTATGTCATTGACGAAGCCTAAACCAAAGATCCCTGGCCATCTCAGCCAAAGGTTTAGCCATGATTGTGATCTCTCAAATTTGTTTTTACGGTGATTATCTCAGTATTGACTGCATCATATACTTTTTTACTCTCAAAATGTCACTTATTGAAAATAAATTTCAACTATACTATTTAATTCCAAAAAGGAAATACTGAATTCTAAATATGGTAACCTAAAAGTGAGGCTGATTTCTATATAGCTAATTTTTTAAACTATTATTTTTTTACAATACTTTATACAAAACTACCTTTTTTTCTTACATCTACCATGTTATGGTAGCCCTTGTACGCTTTTAGCGAAATCTCCAAAACGTAGCAGCGGTAGTACAGGATCATGATATTCTTTTGGACACATTTACCATCAGGATACGTTTTAACTTTAGTGTCTTCTAATGTCAATAACAATTTCTATTTCTCGTTTCCTTTGTTCTCAAATATATCGCAGTAAATGCCTCACAGCTTAATTCTATTAACAAGTGTCTTTTCTTTCCGCAACTTTTCCTGAGCCAGACACGAGCCGGCATGGCGCTGCCGGCTGCGCGGCACAGATTTTGGGCAGCCTGATTTGGGAATCGTTTGCATAAGGCATGCGGCGTGAAATCGGTGAGGGCAGCTGTGCTGAATGAGGCACGGTCCGACAGTCATACAACGAGCGCTAGCAGCTACCCCGCCAGTTTTTTTTTTACCAAAATCTATCGTAGCGGTAACCTCGAAAGCGACTCGGATCCCGATCGGTTACAATGGCTAGCACTCAGATGAGGATTGTCTACCCGCCGGGCGTTAAAGATATCTATGCCGAGCTTCCGGAAGATGACTTGGCAAGGAGACTGAAGGTACGTCCATTTTCTTGCTTGCATGTCACTAAAATCCAGCAGCTCAATCAAATGTAACTGCAACAAAATGTGCGTAATAGTAGTTTGTAAATATTAGTAAGGTCACATTATTATGTATATGACGCAGATAAAATGAAGCGGGGTGGAGTATAATGTATGTAACTATACTCAGAGCAACTAGCGCAATTGGAGCTAAATATTTATGTTGGTTCCAAACGAAACGCCTCTAGGTGTAACGGATACAGAATGCTTGCTATTCAGTCTGTGAACCACTCGGCAAACACCTTAAGATAAATTTCGCTCAATAATATGAGCGTTCGCTCTTGATTCGATATTTTCGAAAGTTGTTTTAGGGCTTCGTTACCTAAAAGTATAGTTTGGAAACATAAGCAGGTAAGAAAGAACAAGTCCTACAAGTACGCTAAGTTAGCCCGTGAAAACTGTTGTTTATCGCATAGAAGGGGCATTATATGCTCACTTGTTCGCGCCCGCACCTGGTTCATATTTAAAGCTAACGCGCTGACGCAGAGCTAAGGCTTGGAGCTGAGAAACCAATTTAATTCCATAACATCGTAAGTTCATCATAAGTTGAGGTCTAACCACCATTCGTTGTATACAGAGGCGTTCTAAGCCGCTCTTTCTGGCCAGATCTTACTATTTCGTTCCAAAGGTAGAAACCGCAAGAACCACTAATGTGATTAGATTTTGGCCAAGCACCAAAATCGCTCGTTGCCAGTTACAGTTTTTTTACAACACTAAACGAAGAATAAAAACCGAACACATTAATGGAACGTAACCTTGTCAGAGTTGCACAATGCAGCTAGTACCGTCATGTCGCAGGAGACTGATAGATGCTTGTTGCTAACTGAATCATTTACAGGTGCCTGATAAACCTAAGCCTACGGCCTAAGAGATCTATGCTATTCACAGTTTTTGAAAATAATTTTAGCTTAAGATAAGTGAATAGTACAAAAGTGATAAATAAAGGAGCAGCGATATGAAAAGCCGTCGAATTCTCTACTACATGATAACGTTTTTTTTCTATTGAGGACCTAATTATTTTGGTGATTGTCAGTATCATAGCATTAGTTAGCACGCACATATCCATAGACAGCAATTCTTAGCGATTGTCTCGGACGTAAAACGTAGATATCAATAATTAATTCATGTCACGGCATCACGTTATCAAAAAGCATACATACGTCGATGATGGTCCAAATAAAACTAATGGTGAAACTCGAAATCGTATTCACTCGATTCGTGTTTGTGTAATTTTTGGCAATCGCACAGGAGTGCGCTCAAGCCTTCCAGAACCTGAATCAAGAAGACGACAACTCGCGGTACTCTGAACTGGCACTGCATCTTGCTTCCGAGTTCTTCCTTGAACATCATTCCAGAGATGTACGGTTGCTCGTTGCCTGTTGCATTGCCGATGTCTTCAGGTACGCATATACAAATCCTATCATTTCATTTGATTATTTTATATGCATGAAAAAAATGAATCGCTAACAGGAGATTCCATTACTCATTTAGGGCTAACTTAGCAGGCCAATTCTAATTATGTGTTACCCTATGCAATCACCAAAACCATTATCACCACAGTGATAGTGGTTATACGAATATATATGTTCCGTTGGAGCAACATGGGAGCTGCTTCATATCATTATACTCTTATTGTTTTAGGGTTTTTGCACCCGAGGCTCCTTATAAGGACCCGGAACAGCTGCGGGCCATCTTTGAATTTTTCATTCAACAACTCCAAGGTAGGTGTTTTCACGTGTCCTGACCTTCCGTCACACGCTGTTCGAAGTTAACTGATGACAACAGCTACTAAATTATTAACATAACCTATATTTTGATTGGCATATAAGCTCAATTTGTAGTACGTTATTTGTTTCTAAATTGAATTTTTACTGCAACATTTTTTCTCTCAGGTCTTAAGGATCCGAAGAATCCAACATTTAAACGTTACTTCTATTTATTGGAGAACCTCGCTTGGGTGAAAACGTTTAATATTTGTCTTGATCTCGAATGCAATCAGACCATTATCTGTAACCTCTACACACTCATCCTTGGCATCGTCAAGTACGTATAAGAACAGATTACATACGCCGTAATCTACACGTATCTTGATTCTTATTGATGTTTATAATGCCTGGCACAGACGTCGCTGTCAGTTGTGGGCGTATTAGCGCTGAGGAACCTTTATAAAAAAAGCAATTATACAGATTGTACATGTTTCTGACCGAATTACTGTGAAAGCCATCTGCGTTTCAGTCCCAAAACAACTGCTTAATTTTGATAATGATGATAATTATTATTATTGTATTAATATTATCATTTGTCAAAACTATAATATATTTTAATACGTCTTGAAAATTTTATTGACATGCATATTTATTATAACGTGTTTTGACTGAAGTCAGTCATCGATTTCCGTGTTCGACTGGGCTAAGAACAACAGATATTTGTACTTGTCATATTGTTGCAGCGATTACCACAGCGCAAAGGTTCGCTCGTTCATGGTGGAAATGTTATGCCCACTGATCAACGAGGCTGACGGAGTTTCGCAGAAGCTGCTTGACACACTGCTTGCCTACATTGTTCCACCCAAAAAGTCGTCTCATAAGGCATGACGACTTGGCTTTGATCAGCTTACATAGGCAAACATTAAAAAAAATGTGTTTGTAGGGAACTATATGATATTTTATATCAGACAAGACTGTAATACTACTGGTTAATAGCATAATTCACCTTTGCGTTTCCCTAAGTACGATAATAGCAAGAAAATCTAATTGAGTGAGGCTATCGATATTATGAATGGCTAACCGGAACACAGCCATTGCTTATTCTTCGTCTGGTTTGGCTATCTTGTAACTGATTTTCGATTTGGTCATGACTGATATTGGTTTTTGCTTTTACAGGTAGCATCGCAACTGTCACGTGAAATTCTTAAGAAAACATCATCGGCCCTCGAACAGCACCTGCATCTGTTCTTTAACAACTATTTAGTCCTGGGCAAAACTGGTGGTTCAACTCTCATTCCGTCGATGTATGACATTATCTACGAGCTGTCACATATCCTACCGCAGGCCATGGCAGGAGTTCTACCTCAGCTCGAAATGAAACTCAAGTGCAAAGAGAATAATGAGAGACTAGAGGTTAGCAAACACAACGACAAAACGATGATACTTCAAAAGCAATAGGACTTATGAGACGAGGGGTAAATGTGTGACAACAATTTGGCACATGAAATCGTCAATTTGTTTTCCAAGAAAATAATAATTCATTATCAATACCAAATCTCAGAGTTAAGGAATTTATGTGGTCTTTCATTTCTAGACCCAAAACTCGGCATGGTTGAATCTAAAAATTGATCAGCCTAAACGAATCCATGTGTACACTTAATCGATTAACGTTCCGCGGAATAGATACTGACCCAAGAGTTGTTAAACAAGTAGGTAACAAATTTTAAATCATTGCTTCTTGTGGTTACACAGGTTACCAAGCTGGTCGCGCGAATGTTCTCGGAAAAAAATTCGGAATTAGCCGGCCAGTACCCCGCTTTGTGGAACGCTCTTGTCGGCCGTTTTAATGATATCAAACTGCAGGTAAGCGCTTCGGATTAGCAGAGTGATTTATACTAAACTATTTTTTTATTAAATGGCTCTATAATTATAACACTAAGTAACCATTTAATCATTTAAAGAATAGGCCTGATTCTTGTAGAGCTGCATACATTACTTATCTGCCTCTTTGCCGTTTATAGGTTCGAATGCGGTGCGTCCAGTATTCAATGCACTTCTTATTAAATCAGCCATCTTTGAGAAATGATATCACGCAGGCGCTGAAAACGAGACAGCATGATCCCAACGAAAGTGTCAGGTACAGAATTGGTCAGCATTTCTGTGTCTAAGATGCTGCCGTTCGCGTACTTAGCAAGCGTTTCAAAAAAAAAAAAAGGACAAGGGCTATAATGGGATAACATACTATGTGAGACGAAGTTAATGGTGGACAAAACGTGAATTGATCAAAAATTGTACTTGGGTTTTGATTATTAGCCCAAATTAACTTTTGGTTATTGGTGCATTCTTTTAATGAACAGATTTGAGGTCGTGATGGCGATTGTCGAGGCAGCGAAAAAGAACTTCGAGTCTGTCAGTATTGAGCTTCTCAACATCGTCAAAGAACGCACCCTCGATAAAAACGTGAGTACTTCTTTGCTTTCTGCTGTCACTAGTTTCTAAACAATCCTTGGTGTTGTAGCTTGGATGTCTCTGTCTAATCAAGACTCGAGTCGCAAAAAACGAAATTAAAAAAAAAAATGCGAATTTTATCATTGAAGTGCACAAAAAGACTGATTTTGAGATGAGAAGATTGCCGACTTTAGTTTTCGAAGGCTGCTAATTTGAATTTGGTGTCACCGCCGATTAGTGATAAACCCTGAGATGAAATTCAAGGCTATCTGTGAACTTAATGTTGGATCTATATATTTTATCTTTTCTCTGAGCAGTTCAAAGTTCGACGGGAGGCGCTGTTAGGTTTGGCGCACATCTATAAGAACCTCACATGCGGCTCGCATGAGACAGAAGACCCCAATATCGTTGCATGTGTGGCCTGGATCAAAGACAAGGTACGACTACCTGAATGAAAAGCGACCACATTCTTCAGTTCAATACACTGATCATCTACTCTGTAGTAGTTCGTTGCGCAAATCCTTTTCACATACGCTATCCGGACGGTACATAGCTAAGATTAAGCTCGAAGAGACAAACAATCCTGATTTGATACCACTTCAGCCCGCAGTCAGATAATTCAGCCGTACCTATCTTTGAACAGATACTAAATCTTACTGAAATACTCCCTCTTATCATCATTTACTGAATTGCCTCGTCTCGCTGGGCTAAGATTTTCGGTTTTTTTTCTTCGTTAGACTCTATACTAGTATAACTTATTCAAATCCTGCCTGAATATAAACTGGATATCGTAAACTAAGCCATGCAAACTAATTAGGTATGACGGATCAGATTCTTCTTCTTTTCATTAATCTTTGGCTTGGTGGTTGGTATAATAGCATGTGCTGTCCTAAAAAGCTTTTTCCATATTTTTACTTGTGTTTCTTCTGGGCATTTTTATAGAACTAACATTTTTGAGGCCAAGGTGTTGCTTCCACAGCTGGGTCGTTCATTGAGGCGTATCTAAAACATCTTTGCTGTCCTTGCAGGTGCTGCACGTATATTATCAGAGTGAGCTGGAAGACCGGCTGATTGTTGAACGCATCCTACACACTTGCCTTGTTCCCTACCAGGTATACTCAAGCTGCTTTAAGTGATAATATAAGTTATTCGTATTGCCTCAAAAGGCTGTTTGCCATGCGGGGCTGCGCTGCATTTTTCGTAAGATAAAAGCGGTGAATTTGGTTCGTTGCGCTTCCTAGTACATACTTTATACCAAGTGGATATTTAATAGGTTTCTGGAATCGAAGATTATTCTGAATCTTCTTAGTGTTTTCATAAATAAACTGTAAAATTTCACTATTAAGCTACGTTTGTCATTTTTCTTAGTAAATGTGGTGGCGTTTTATGCTTTATGTCTTTCAGTTATCATATGATCTTCGAACGTTTAAACTGTACCAGCTATTTGTAACGTGTGATGAACATGCGGTAAAGGCACTCATCGAAATTCTGAAATGCCAATGTGCCATTCGGCAACAAATCAAACAGGTATATTTAACTTCTTTTTCGCTTACATTTAAGGCGAGTGCTGCTGATTAGGCCACACATGTTCAACACTGATGATTACTTGACGCAACTCCAGTGCTCATTGATAACTGTCCCACTTTTTACACTAGGTTGTTCACCTGTTGGGTTCCGGACCCATGGACTCGGAGAAGCAAGAAGAATTAATGAAACGGGTTCAGCACATGTCGAGGAATCTACCTGAACCAGTTCGAGCACAAGTGAGATAGTGCTTTTTTCTTTCCTGCCCTATTTGCAGTTACGTGCTTCGATATGAATGCTCAATTTGTTAGCGATTGATTTGAAAACCTTTAGCGCGACTCATAAAATGGAAGGCGCATATCAAGGTAGCTAAGTGACTTGCGAAATACTCACCGTTATGTCTCGTTGATTTTGCTACTAAGAAGCCCTAGATCATAGTAGTTCCTCTGGTGATGAACTTTACCAGAATGATGATTTCGATGCCTGCATGTAGTTGTTCGCATATTTTCTAAATGTCTTAACCTCTTCTCGAGATTCTAGGAGTACCTGGTAAGATTCACAGACCTTCTCCGGGTGAACCCTGCTATATATCAGCATATGGTTCTGATTCTTGATGGCGGGGCAAGTTGTGCCGAAGCGGAAAAAAGTGTGGTACGTTTATGCCTAAATGCGCTTATATTTCTTAAGTTATTTAATTTTTTTACGAGTTTGTTTATAGTATGATAATCAAGCTAAGTTCTAATATACATGTTTTAAGAATTGATTCGGCTAGTCGTGTGGTGTAAAAACAGAGTCTTTATTTAATCTAACATGGTTGTTCAGTGCCGTCGATTGCTATTACCGTGTTCTTGGACCAATAGTTTAATACGAAGTTAACACTCAAGACGGATTTTAATTTTCTGCTATATTTTTTTTCTTGGACATAATTTTGCAGAAAGAGGTTCTTAAGTCACTCGGCCTGCCCGTACAGACCAACTCGTTCTTTGTTACGATCAAACAAATGCTGGAACGGGTGGCGCCAGTTGTCGTTGATTCTGCAGGAATTAAACAAATTTTAGGATACGTCCAGGATTCGTTGCAAGGTGATTACCTTGAAAAATAGAGAAAAAAAAATGTTTATTAAACGACACATCTTGTCAAGAGTAAAAATGAATAGGTGCGCATATAAAAATCAATACTTTTCTCACTTCAAACGATAAGCCACGCCTTCTTTGTGCTTTGATGACATCTTATTATTACCCATCTCTCAAAAGGTACCTCTTTTTCCACCAAAATTAACTTTTCTTTCTTAATATTGGTTCACTATACTGTGTAGGGACGGGTGAAATAGACATCCAGTGCAACGTGCCACAATCCGCGTATCGTGGCTTGGAGTTACTCCACACTTTGAGTGGAGTGTTTCCAAACGCGTTTATGAATGAGGAAATCTTCGAGACGATCTATCATTTTCTTGGGTTCGACTGTTCTAGGACACAGGTACACCTATACGTCGCCGCTGCAATTACCATAAATATAACATCGGCTAACTGTTAGACAACGAAATTGCTTTTTTAAAGGGATCAATGCCGATCGTTACTTGAAATTAATTTGCGCATCGACTTGATCTCTATAAAGATTTCAATAGAGAGAAAATAAATAATGGAGTATTCTAAAAATGATGATCCGTTTATCTGCCGTTGAAGGTACAAGTACTGCTGGTCTTGTCGAATGTGGGAAAAGATCTGGAGACGCATTTCCCTAACATTGCACAGTAAGTAGGCGGGTATTCTATGAACAATGTTTATATGCATTAAATTTGGGAGCTTGATTTTCTCTCGAGGGCAGGAAATAAATGCTAAGTAGTTTGATAGTTCAGCCTAACGAATAACAGCTAACAAACTTCTGTGTGGCTTTCCAGGCGCCTCCAGCCCGTTGTGCAGAATTTCGTTGAAAACGGCACTCCAAAACAAGCGAAATACGCCGTGCAATGCCTCTACAACATGGTGTTTCACAAGGTTTAATATAAAAGTTATTGTTTACTTATCCCGAAGCCTAGGGCAATTTTAAGATTGACTTAAACTGGAAGTTTTGTTTTTCGAATCCCCTTTTAAAAAATTATTAGACAGTAACTCACGTGCATTATTCCAGTCGCGATGTTCAAGTTAAGGGTACGCCATAAGTAACAACCCAGTAGTGGTTTAGTGGTATGGTCTTTGCTCACTAAGCTTACGGACCTGTAAGATAGTCCAGGTTCGAGACTGAACACACACTCCGTTTCACACTGGTAGGGTCCAGAAATTCAAAGCAAAGCTGTAGGCAATGCAGTACATAAAATTACTTAGATTTATTTTAGACCATTAGTAGAATTAGTTACGCCATCTTCACACGTTCAATGTTTTGCTAAAAGCTGAGAAACCAGTTACGTATAGCTTCTTCATGAAACTTTCTTCACCGTTGTGATTCCCGTACCGTTTATGTTTATTTTCGACTTTTAGGAGCGTGTTCTAGGTGTGGTAATTGACCATTTGAAACAGCACCTTACCTTGGCATCGGCCAATTTCGAAACGGCCCTTGTATCCCTTGGGCATATTGCGTTACTCCTACCTGAGACGTTCTACCAGCAAATGAAGAGTGTCGTCTCCAAAGTTGTTGTAAAGGAACTCTTGATGTTGGATCAAGAGGAAGCACGCATGAGTGAACTTCAATGGTGCGAATATGAAGCGCTGCCGCACGAGACACGATGTAAACTAGCTGGCATAAAGATGATAGGACGGTGGCTTGTCGGCCTGTCCAACATGCATCAGGTAAATTTGTTTTTTTAGGACACTCTTAAATGCTTTTTATTACCTTTAATCGTTAAGTGATGCAACCTAACAGCTCATGCACGATCGAGCAATTAAAAAGCCTTTATCTTGATGTACCGTATACGGTGAAATTTTTGGTTTTATGCACTACTTTGGTATTTTATTATATGGACTCGCTTCGCAACTAATGTCCTACTTTACAGGCACAACAGCAGGGCAATTCGCAGTTGCCGGAGCAGGAAACAGAGGTAGAGCAAAGTACTCAAGCTTTGACGGCCAACGCAGCGAGTACATTGCGCCTTTTGATTACAATGTTAAAAAATCAGGGCGACCTGATGGAACGAGAGCACGTGAGCGACTGCGAGAAAAGTTATCTCCGTCTATGGGCCGCTGCGGCAATTCTAAAGGTTTGTTACATTGACTAAATGAAACGCTATTGCATATACAAGGGAAAACGAAAGTAGGCTTACAGTAGGAAACAATGTCAATATAAAAATGAGAAAAACTAAACTTCTTGTTAGAAAAGAAATTAAGTTACTAGCTAATACGAATGCCGCTTCAATTGTAAGCCCTATTTTTAACAATTGTAAGTTTAACACTTTCCTAGCTATATACTTCGGTTTATTTTCCCTTTGAGCTTATTTTTGCCCTATCCTGTGTCGTAATTTAGCAAAATACAACGTAATTTTATTGTGGTGCCAGGTTGTCCATAGATATAATTTGGAAATATCTAAAAATGTGTTGCTTAGGATAACGGTAGCGGAACAAGTCATTAATATTTTTGTTTTGACTGTTATAGGTGTGCTCGTGTACGGTATATGCGGATGTTATCACGCAACCGCAATTCCAGCGACTTGTAGGGGTCATAACAGTAAGTCATCTAGCGTCTCCCATTAACCGGAGCGAGATAGCTTTTTACATCTAGTTTTAAGGTGCCTTGGATAATGAATTCATATATATATATTTTTGTATATAAAAGTATGAAAATACAAAATTCCATATGAATAAATTGAGTTGTACATTTTTCCTCGATGAAAAATTATACTTACTTTAGTATCTAAGAAAGACTTTATTTTAAGTAAGATTAATTTTTCATTGTGTTTAGGATCCGGTGGACGAAGTCCGTGAACGTTTCAGTGCGAAACTCCATAAACGCCTGATGAGTTTGCAGCTGCCTTTACAATTTATGGCTCTGCTCTCCTATGGAGGCATCGAACAACGTCGACCACTCAAGGTAAAAGAATGGAAAAAAACTGTGTTTTCCTGAATGTGAAAAAAGCTGTGGGCTTGCAGCTTATTTTGCCCTGTTTCTAATCTGGTGAAAAAATTTCTGCATATCAACGGCAGTACATACAAGTACGTAAGTGTACTTGTAATAATGCACTGGCATATATAAATACACATATGTTCTGTACAATGTAGTGGTAAAATAAATTATACTTTGTGTTCTTTGCTCTCTACGTTCCATTCCAGGCGAAGATGCGACACTATCTTCTTGCAAACATCCAGCGGCGACGGGAGTATCTCAAGGCAAATCCAATTGCGGCTTCACCAAAGTTGTTGACCGTTCTGCCAGATTACGTCGTAGTGTATGTCATCCACTTGATGGCACATGATCCACTGTACGAGGAACCGGCTGATGTGGAAGCGCTTAACCGTATCAAGGAATGCCTCTGGTTTCAGCTTGAGCCGCACTGCTCAAAAAATGACAATTACTCATTTTCTTACTTTAAGAAACTGCTTGAAGGTATGTTTGCATCCAGCTTTCATAACATTTTACTACATTTGTCTGATTGAGGGTTAGTAAAGTCCCCTGTTGTAACAGGTTTTTGAAGAGATAGCACAATCTCACTTATGGTAAACCCTTTTTTATTCTGACTGAATTGACATCAAGCTGTTTGACTTGGCACTTATCAAATAAACAATTATGAAACGGTATAGATGATTGTTCATGAAATTTATCAAAATAGAGAAACTAATATTATTAATTATCAAAGTATGCGATAACGAGGCAGGTAACTTCTTTATGTTTTATGTACGTCAATAATTTAGGCATCAAACGTTCGAAGGATCGGCAAAATCCAACAAATGAAGCAGCAAATCATCGCCTTTATGCTGTCTGCGACCTTACGCTAGCTCTCATAATGAGTAAGACTGCAAACTTTGGCCTTCGAGAAGTGCCTCAGGTAAGAAAATACCCTAATAAAAAAAGGTTATCGCCATTAAATATGCCCCTATTTTATCGCAACTTTCTATATTGACATAGGTTTTATGCAGCATGCGACATTCGTCGAAGTCAAAATCTCCCTATAAAGGTATCAAAGAAGTCTATTGAAATTGGTCTCTGTGATTTCGAATTCGACTATAATTCCGGAGCGAATAATTTTCGATGTTAGACAGGAGGCCATACGTGTAGAGCGAAAACATATCGAGTAGAATTGTGCTGCTTTAAAGGCTGCTGGCTTCGACAAACACTAAACGTCGAGTAAGACACCCGACGAGATTTTTTGCCGCTTACATTTCCATTTGCAGTCCATCCTTGAGATTAAGCATTATGACCTGAACAAAATGATAGCAAAAGCCCTGTAGGGTAAACAGAGCTTTTCAACGATATATCAAATTTGACGATTCGCAGACGCTGAAATTCTCAACTTAAACAATGGACGAAACAATAATGTTTTGCTCAACAACCGAAAATTCATGTCTCTCGAATGCCTATTATAAATTTCCATGTAAAAATTAATATTTACTACATATTTTTATACAGAAACGTAAAGTTATTTTAACCGCTTTAACAGAGTTTCACTCTCAGTTCACCTTCACATAGTTGGTGACACGCATCATGTGCATGTGTATTTTATAACGTGTGCGTATTGGCATGCGCCTTTCAGGAAGCTAGACTGCCAGCAAAACTCTTTGTATTACCAGATAAGAGTACTCCATACAATACCAAATACTACCTTCCTCCTGAGCTCGGTTTTGCTCCTCCGAGGGTAAGTCGTTATTGGCTAACGGGGTTATGATATTTAAGTATGAGACGTTTCGTTCCGTGGAGTTCACATAGAGAAAGGCTCCATTAAGTAAACTTCCCTACTCGAGGTGAATTCCAAGTTATGCAGTGCGCGCACCAATTGTTGTCTTTTTTAACAGCTTGTGGTTTTGCTGTCTTCTGGTATTCTGATACAGAAAATTCAAGACACATCGAATCGAATGGTAGCAACATCCGCAGTCACTGCTAGTGGGGTTGGAAGCAAAAAGGATACGCAGCAGCATCAACAGCAGCAACAGGCGACAGCTGTTGCGACACGAGCGGCTGTAGCCGCAGCCACCACAGTTACACAACAACAGGTAGGTTAACCAGAATGATGTAAAGAACTCATGACGTTCAAGTCGAATTGTATAATGATTGCGTGGGATATAGAGTGCGTTATAAGCACTAAACAAACTATATCGAGGGTTTTTAATGCAATAGGTAGTGGAGTGCTTTGATTTGTTCTCAATCAAAAAACCGTGTTTTTTTTACGTGATACGTATGTACTCGGGAAAACCCAGCTGTGAGACTAAGATTTCATTTTCATTGCTACGACTGCAAGTTGTATGAAAATATAATGTTTATTGCCAGCATACTATCATCATAGAAGAATGCTTTTACATTAGCAATCGTTTAGCACACAGTGTATATCAACTGATTGATCAATCCATTTAACAGAGTGGAAGTGGAGTCGGACTTGAAGCCACGTTGGATGGAAATCAAGTGAACATCATCGGCCAACAGCCGGGCGGTATGTACAGCTTAACAGTGACAAAAATAAAGCCACTGCCTTTCTAGCATACGCGATATCGCGCAGCTTTATAACTACGGGTAGATAGCATTGAGGCATTTGAGATTTTGACTACGAACTGCACCTTGCACAGCCATGTACAAATTTTTTGACGATCGTAATCCTTTCTTGATGTTTTCTCTCTTCCTGTAGGCACTCTAATGCAACTTCAGCAAGTGACTGTACCGACAGAAGTAGCTCTACAAAGCATGGCCCAGGGTCAGGTGGCAACCATCCAAATGCAAACCTCCCAGTCGACTCCTACTGGCGGAACCAAGCGATCATTGGACGCCAGCTCGATGGTGCCACTTCAACAGATGCAAGGCTCGGCGAGTATTCTCATCACCACCGATGGAAGCCATCAGCAGATCGCGCAGGTGGAACAGCAGCAACAACTCCATCATCATCTTCAAGTAACGACGATTCAGGTTGATCAGCAACAAGCTAGCGGAAACATGCACCTTCTTACGCCGGACGGCGCTTCGTCCGTGAAGCGATTATGCGTTGAAGCGACCACCGGTGGGATCTCCCAAATACAGCCATCTGTACAGGACAATAATTCTGCCAATCAGATCGATCAGTCGCATCAGGTAGGGGTAAGTGCGCATTGTGTTGTATTTGCGAACTCAAGGCTTTAACACACGTCATCTAAAATTATGATCTATGGTAATAATCAGTAGATACTTAACTTAATTAGTTAATTAACTAATTAAATTAATTAATAGTAATTCTGGAGTCTTGAAAAACAGATTCTATTACAGACTGTTGAACTTAAATCGAAACGTTTTTTTTTTTTAACTATGCTTAATTGACAATAAAATATCTTCGTCCATATAGAAAGGTAGGGATTACGCTTAATCTAGCTTAATTGTGTAAGGAATATTGCAAGAAAAAAATATCGTTTCTTTGCTATTATTGACATCTTTGTCCCACTGCTGCTTTTAACTGTGGCCTGGGACAACCTTCGAGCGTAACTACTTCCTACTGGTATACAAATATTATCTAAACATGTTCCATTTGTTTTATGATTTGATTATGCATGATGTATTGTAGAAACGAATGACCCGATCATCCCACGTCCAGTGAAATATGTTGATCGGATTTGATGCAGGAAGCACGGCGCAACGATCTTTGCGGCATACCAGTGACTCTTGGTGACGTCAGCCATGCTTTGGAGATGGCAACCCCTCGTTCGATCATATCAACAATGTGCGATCACCTCTAATCATTCTAACTTCATGCGCCGCCAACTGTACGATCTAATTCAATTTTCCTGAGACAGCTGACAATGTCGTCTGCTAGAGTATGAATAGCTTTGACGTCGAATATCAATAGTCTCAGTCAAACGGTTGAGGTGGCAGTGGTAAAGCTACGGATAACGCGTAGCGAGCGATACGTACGAAACACGAACATCACAGCACAAAATGATACCAGAAAAAGGGCTGCTCACAGCCAGATTTGGACAGCCAAGTAACTCGGCCGCAAAAGGAGTGGACGCGCAAGCGCGATGTTATGACGACGCGGTGTATCTAGGCGAATTTCGCAAATCACTATTATCGAGGCTGACCTGTTCTACCCCATCCTATCAAACAATGGGTAGGAACGATGATAATATTTCTGCTGCTTATTTCAATACATTGTGTTTCTTCATCCACAAAAAGAGCATAATAGGGAAGATGTTCTGCTGATATAAAAAGGCCGCAACATTTTTTTTTTAATAACATTGAGTAATGACACATCTTCAATAACACATACAAACCAACCAACAAAGAAACAAGCAAACACACACAAATAGTCATCGATTCCGAAATTGACACTTAAATAGCTAGTATCGGTATAAAGTAGTAACACTGTGTTTGTTTTTGAAATATAAAAAATTCGATTTTTTCGGATGCTATTCGAGCAGATGAGGAGAACTATTAGGTTCCCATAGCTTGACTGAGCAATGGACTCTACCACTGAGAACAATCTGAAAGGTTACGAGTTAAAACAGCCTGACAGTGATACCGATCGTATTCTGACAACACCCGCAGCAAAGCAGATAAGCTAACGTAGCTCAGGAATTGTCGGTAAATGATTCTGCTTTTTGTAAAAAGACATCGGATAGAGGTGGTTCATAAGTCACAGTATATGAATGTCCTGCCAACCGGATGTGCTACCAGAGCGAACGAGTAACGTAGGTATGCCTCTAATAGATGAAACGTGGTGGTTTCGCATGGCACTTCGACCAGCCATTTAAATGTGGCTGCGATGAGTGTTATACGCTGTATGTCTGAGTGAACTGGACTGGAGTTAGAGCCGACTGAAAACAACAGCGGCGTCTGCACCTAATAATGTTAATGAAGCGATTGTTGTGTCGAAACCAATCGGAAGGATGGGCGGGTGGTTAAATGCCAAATATTCTATATACGTCATTACCACTTTATGATGCTTTTTCTTTTTACGGGTCGTGTGCTCTTACCATCTTAGGGCGCTTGACGACAGCGCCACTAAGTTTCAACAAAAATTGACCCCGTTAAAAGATGATGACATCCTCTCTATATATATAATAATCCCGAGCAAATACGATTTATAAGCAGACAGGTAAGGTTGCTACGAGGTTTAGGTACTAGAGAGTAATAGATACCCAAAGTATGACGTCAGATGTCAAATACGCCACTGGTCAAAACAGTGCAGGTAAGTTAAAGACTACTTGTGCAGCAAACGGTTGGTGGAAACGCGTTGATGACTGAGTGAGTGAATTAATTGCCCTAACGGTACGCATCGATTGCATATGGATGTCGCTAGCAGCGTGTTCAGGGAGTGAGTGATGCTTGAACGCTCAAAGCTCGCGTTCTCATGTGAATCACCGTTCTGCTGGTGAGCATTACTGTATTATTGACTATTCAGCGGAGATAATTGATTCTCGACTGATAGAAAGGCGAACTCTTTGAGGCGTTGTGAGCAATCTATTTAATATTACTGACACACACACACCCCCACACACATAGATACATACACAGAGCGACATGGACCGGCCAAGACTCTTCTATATTCATTCAACCGTACCGAGGATCGTTCAGACGCAAGAGCGCACGCAAAAGCAGAAACACATCTCAATTTGCGATGAAGATTCCTTACTACATAGAGTAGACGTAGACAAGATGGCGGCTGTCCTTCTATCTCGAGTTTTGAAAGTAGGCAAGGCCGTTACAATTGCTTAACTGCAAGTTTCCATGGTAGAGAAACTTCGCGAGCAAGAAAATATCACACTGAAACGATTGCATTGTAGATTTTCATCACCAGAATTATTTTGACCCGGCCAGTGACGCTGTTTAGCAGAACGGATCGGCAGATACATTGCGAAGGCGAGATTAATGGCCCAATTTATACATTCGATGTCATTTAATAAGAAGTCCGCATACAATGGTCATTTGTAGCATTAATGGAACGATTTGATTTGATACGTGACTTGAACCTGATTCAAATTCAGCAAGTAAAACCAACCCACGGCTAAAGCATTGTGCGTTTTTCATTAAGTCACTATAATTCATTCGCTATATTATTTTACTAAATTGTTTATTATACTGCATATGAAAAAATGTAAAGGACAGAATTCTTAGCGAAACAATTCTAGCGACATCACATTTAGCACATCTTTCTAAAAAAAAAAAAGCTATTTGTTTTTCTTTTATGAGTTGGCGTTAACGTGTTCATGTATGCTCATCAACCCAATCATCATTACCAATAGAAAAATACGATCGTATACATTAGTAGACCAACGAAGCTAGAGCATAGTTACCGGCGATAGCTGCTTTTCCGACGACATTCACACACCGATACCCACATCTATGTGTGGAACTCCTATAACTATACTAACCAGCTAATGACTAATTCATCTGATTAGACAATGGAATGAATTATATTTCATGAAACGAATTTAGCCGTCAATCAACGATGTAATGTAACGAACAGAGCAAATATTGCGCGAGTGACATAGGGATGAATGCAGAAAAAAAAAAAAATATTTTCAATCACCGAGCTATTTTAGCACAAAGAAGACAAAGGCATTTGTTTGCGACAAGTTCTGTAGTGAGAATGAAAGGTTGAATTATTAGAAAACCAGAACGTTTGATAGTAGATACTAGTTGAATATAAATGCGCATAATGAAAGGAAAATAATATCGCAAAAGTAAATATTGCCCTTGAAAACTAAAAAAAACGATTCTCAAGCAAATGGATATAGCATCGAACTGAAATGGAGGCGATTGTGAATCCAGAAAGTGGAATGGCTGTGTATGATCGCGGCAGTAATAATAAACATATACAAACTATTAACTGCATGACCAGTGCGATATTGCCCTTGATAACAGTGAACAGACACAACAGTATCAATGCGAAGGTGGAAAAATCGACAGATCGTCGATGCACAGTGGCCGCGGATAGAGATTAACGATCGACATGATTAATGCGCGGTAACGACGATGGTAATAACAATGTGAACCACGCAAACGAAAATATGGGTACGAAATGAAAGATAGAAGGTGGTAAAGAAAAAGAAACGAAAGGCGATAATATGAGTAGAAATATTAATTATATTAGTAGTATGTATTTCTATTTATTTTTATTATTATTTGATTTTTTTTTTCTGAAATATTAATAGTGAATGGACATTCGTGAGAAAATGTGGAACGAAATCACTAAATTATAATAAAGTGCGAGTACAGGTTGAGCAGAGTTTAAAGGCAAGCAACTACTGCAGTACCAATAAAGCAACCACAGCAAAAACAACTTCGTGTGATATCGTGGACTGAAGTTCGTGCTATCACCAAGCAGCAGCTCTCAACAGCGATGGCATGCAGTTCCATTAACAATATTGACGAAGCGAGAGAGATCCGACGCTAGGAACTCGAATTGCCGCGAAAGATTAGACTACGGTGTGTTCGATAACTGTCGAGCCAGGAAAATGTAGAGAAAGAAAAATGTGCGAAAACGATGCAAATCTGATGGATGGCAAAGGTAAAAGCAGACGATTATGATTGTAAATAGACATTATATAAAGAGAAAGACAGAGAGAAAGAGACGGTGTTGTCTGTACTGCTATGGACACATAAGTTGACGTGTCGTTTTTCCCTTTGTATCGTATAGTTGTATTGCGATTCGGCTAGTTCATTATTCTAGAATTTCATTGCATAACTATAAACGAATAATGCAAAAAAGGTCGACTAGCTTGTTTAACTACTATGCCAGAAGTTCGAAGCTTTTGTCATCACAAAAATCATTTGATTATTCCTCGCACCTGGCTTAAAATTCCATTTGGGTCATTGGGGATGAGCCGTTTCTGTCGTTACAAAATCAACTTTGTACAAATCCTCTTAAATATTAGGTAAGGATGGCCTTTGATGCGCTTATACCAACGCCCTCTCAAATTGATGTCAAGTAATATTAAAGAAAGCTTCAATAGACGAATATATGTCTGTTAAATTTTTAGTGTGCTATTCTATGGAGAGACTGAATTCAATGCATAGTCATATTGTTTCGGCGATTAGGAACCACGTAGTTATACATTCTTATTTTTCAGATGAAAGAGACACTGTCTGCTTTCTTTGATATGGAGAATCTTTCGGAGTTTTTTTACCAATTTTTTTTTTAACGAAAATGTCAATGGTGGGTATCCAAACAGAGCAGTTTTGTTCTCAAAAGTCGCGCCAATCAGTTTCTTTGAAATGCCGCCAGGATTCTTGTATTTTTTTAACGTATTTATTCATTCACAGCAGATGCGCATGATGGTGTAGTAGATAGGTGTTTGCCTGCTGAATATGTAGGAACCGTGATGATTTATATTTTAGGCCGGGCGCAGACACATTACGTTTCTCGTTTAAACTCGAAACACTTAATCGATTGACACAAAAACTATCAAGAAATACTTATTAATAATAATGAGTTCATGATATTAGTTGAAATGTCAATAGATAGCTGATGATATTGAAGGTTCACATGAATAATAGAAAAAACGATAATAAAGAGGAGATTTAGACGACCGGTTCTTATTCATCATCAAAACACGCTTAAGAACTTTACTGCGTATTTTGAGAAATTAAGTAAAATCATGTATTTAAAGGAAGGAGAAATCTTCAAAATCATTCTTTTATCTAAAGAGATGACTCAGATTTCATCAGATTTCAACCATAAAAACCCATAAAAAACTTTATTCCCAAACCCAACTCGAGGTCTTGTACGAGGCGCGAATCTGTCGTAAAGGCCTTACCTAGCAAAAAAGCTCATTCATATACTAACATATTGACTTAGGATCATCCAGTCTTTCCTTTTAAGTCCACTCATTCTCCCGTTGAGACGTTTTTAAAATTCTCCTACCCTATTGAATTTGTTTTCTAATTACAATAAATCCGTCATAAAGACTATTGACATATTTCATTAATTTCTTCTTAGCAAAATTCCTATTCACAACAGAAAATTTGTGACATTTCTTTCGAGACTAAGTTTCTTACTCTGTGAGGCTTGAAAAACAGATAAAATATTAACCTACAAGAAGGTCAGATTCACTCTACTGGGTTATTCGAAGCCGACAATTCACACAAACCGACACACCTTTAGCACTGCGGAAATAGATCGTAATTCATGTTTATGCACTTCTCTGATGCTTTTTTGAACCTAAATCTAGGGAAAATCACGTTACTCGAGCGGAAAATGCAATGTACCGATATATATACATAAGGTAAATAAATAAACGATATAAAAATACATAATTTTCTTAATTAAAAAAAAATACTTTATTCTTGACTTCCACAGATTGGTAAACGACATTACATCCCTCACGAATTTGGTTTACCTTAGTGAGAATTAAAATATCCCAATGTTTCGATTCTTCTGGATTGATAAGAAGTTTTGGCGTAAACATTTTAGCTTACCTGTAATAGCACTGCAAACGTCTCCATTACATCCGCCTACCGCAACCTCTAGGTCTGTAATCACACTAATTATTCGGTATCAAAGATACCTCATTTCTCTTACAGTTTAGCGACGTAAACGTCTTTGTTTTCTTCGCGCTCGCTGCTACCCTGTATTTATGTCTCGCTGTTTGTATTTACGACAAATACTGATCCTATTTAGTACAGCTGTTCTGACGCAGCAGTTCTGTTTATGATGACCTAAATAATTTCCCTGATATGATTACAAAAACTGCTCAATAGAATGCTCACAATAGAGTAACGTCAGTTATAAACCTCCATAGTCATGTCACTTCATAGATTTCGTGTCAAATATGATCAAATGTTTTTAGTTAAAGCAGCTTATTATTTTGTGCAAAATAATGAGCCTTGATAACATGAGCTATAAGAACGTAGAATTAAGAGATCATTAGCATATTGTTATGTCAGTGAAATGGCAATACATAGTAAACCGCCATGATTTTTTGAACAACTGTTTATCCATGTTTTTCAAAATATCGTTTATTACATCTTTTTTTTTTCACTTTGTTTACCATTGTTTTCAACAATATCGTTTATTACATCTTTTTTTCACTTTGTTTACCATTGTACAAGTTTCATGCGTGCCTGCATTAGCTCAATATAAGATGTATGAATATCCCAATTTTTACACACGGTAGAAAATATAAATATTACTCCCGAGCGCTTGTTATGAATCGACGCCTGTTCGCACAGAGGATTATAGGAAGCAGCTAGTAATGGGTGCTGCTTGAAACTTAGGCTAGCTTTAGCCTCAACGCGTCGTGTGTCACAATATGGATTTATCACATCAGTTAGATAGCCGAACACACACCGGGCCTAGCACGAGTAGATCAGCATTACTGGCAACAACACGATCACGTAAAGCAGCAATCAATCTTTAATTGACGTTTTTGAAGTACTCAAAATGTAGCGTTCACATATTGCTGTAAATATACCAATCAATCTCTTGATTTTAGGAAAATAGTTCCTTATAGCTATACCGTATGTCAAGTCCCTACAGCCCAAGTAGATTTTCACGAATTTACACGAACGGATGAACTATGTGCCTTAATTCAATAGTGCTATGTGCCAAGTGATATCGACAACCAGAAGTTTTCGTTGAAGCGTCTTTTGTCGTAGTTACAACACGCGTAAACGCGATTTTCTTCGAACGAATCCACACGCAACTACAATCAAGACTTCTAGCTGATGCACTTATCGACTAAATTTTTGTGGATATTTGTAAGTGAATATAATATTTATTACGTGAAATCTTTTATTGCGTCCTCTTAATGTTCAACCACCATTCGTAAGTGTGTGTGTGCGCGCGCACGTTTGTGTGAACGTGTGTGCATCCCATCTTAATAGTTGCATCTGAAAAACTAATGCTCTTACTTCCTTGTTTGATTCCTTGTCTATCTTTCCTGTACGTCCAGTTTAGCTGTGCATTTTGATTTTGTCAAAAACTAACAGAGGCTCTCTGAAGTTTTTTTCTGTTTTATTCTGAAGTTATTGTTTTACTACTGCATTAGCCACTGCTAAAGTCAGGTTCGTGCAAGTGCATAATATTAATCCAATGTCTATTTTCACTGGTTATTATACGATGCAATTTAGATCTAAAGTATGTCATTCAAACGCGTTACGCGTTAGTTTCTTAGAAAAAAAACAATGAAATTTTCAGGGCTCTACCTACTCACCATGTGCTCATCACACAAATACATTTGATAGATCTTCACAGAGCTGTTCATCTACTTAATTCATGTAAATCTTTTCCGTGCCCTTGATGGGTTTACGGCAGATTGGGCATTCCTTGTGGTCACTCTGGGAGAGGGATCGCGCACAGCCGCCGCACAGGACGAAGTGTAGACAAGGCTTAAGGAGCGTATCGCGGAGATTCTCGAGACAGATGACGCAATCGATTGGTGCGCGGTCAGAGTTATTTCCGCTGGCTTTCTTTTGCTCACTTTTGCTTGAGCCGTCGCCCCCATCAATCTGGTTCGCGGGCGCCTGTAGATGAGTCGTGATACCGACTACCGATAGTTTCTTCACCGTTTGCATATCAAACACAACGCGGAATTGTACGACCGGGTCAACGTAGACACACTGAAGCCATTTCTTATTAGCGTGCGAAACATGTACAATGCCTTGCTCGGAAATCACAACGGCTATCTCTTCTCCGGCTGTTGTAACACCGCTCTTAAACAAAACTGTATATGTTTTATCATAGAGATCGTCAAGGCTATTGAAGCGTCGAATTTCATCAGTTGTGGCAGCTGACAGGGCGAGGTTCATTGGCACTTCACGGTGGAGGTCTGCCAACTTTACGATAAGTGCCTGACCGGCACGCAATGCTGTTTCTGTCATGACTAAACCTCCTGGACAGTCCATTAAACCATTGGCTACATTAGACGACGCCTGAACGTGACTTGTGTTAATGCACGATAACTGAGCGGGATGTAAAGCGATGTTGGCTGCAAGGAACACACCAGAGAAAGACATTGCGAGGATAAGAATGTCTGAAGAACGACTAGCGGCAGCACCGAACTAAAAACCTAAAACTAAAAACCTATAAGGATCAAAGACTTCCTCGAACTTCCGGTTAAGGGAGTTTGTGCTTATAGCATGAATCAACCTAACAAAAATACTTATGCACGAAAGTTTATTACATTACCGATGTTAGTAAGGTTATAGAGATCCATTTTCTCTTGTAAGAGAAAAATGCGGAAAATATTAGTTAAGCAGGCGACATCTTTCTCTTACCATCTACCGTTTACGAATTCGAAAAGAGCAGCAGCGCTGTGCAGAAGTTCACACTTTTTACGTTCTACTTACGGAAACACTCGCTTCGGAGGTTCGTATTGTTCAAACGTTGACTAGGAACTAGAGTAGATGCTGCATTCCTTACGGCTTGAGTTGTTCCGGCTGGAGTTGTCGAATTGCGCAGCTGTACCTCGCCCAATTCAATACCCAGCGTGTTTCCGTAAACATCGAACAACACGAAAAGGGGCACTCCGGTACGAACTCCTGTATACAAATTAAAAAACACCACTGCTGTTATTGTCTAATGTGAGAGTAAGGGAATACACCTTTCCAAGGACGAGCCGCCTCACGGGTCGGTTAGAGTCCAAAATTTTGAAAGTATTTAACAGCAAACGAACAGCTAAGTGCAGACTTGCCAACAGTTGCAGCTCATTATTGGACGACAAGAATAAATCCTACACAATGGTTCTATACGATTAAGGACAAAATATTCTGTACAATCAAGCATCAAATGAAGTCTTACCGGAAAGAAATACTCCCGGATCATTACTGTTCACCTTCAACATCACATTTCCTTGTGATGTGTAGAAAACCTAAAACGTACGTAAAAAAATGTAACATTAAAATGTTTTTTTTTATCAAATTATGTTTTAGATAAATGAACAATGGTCTAAGATATGCTTTTAAATTACGTGACAAAACTAAGAGGTTGCCAATCTGATAGTTTCATTAACCTCTACGTCACTTTCCAGTTTTCTCTCTAAAAACTACCTTAATTCGCTATTCAAAATACGTCGTTAAGGGCAAAGCGAAACCATGATGTTTACCTGAAGTACATTATTTTCAAGAGCATGAGCTTCTTCAACAGCTTTTCCCCAGTTTCCAGGTTTCATGTTGAGGTCAGGACAGCAGTACTTCGGGAGGTTGTCCTCGAATGTGTCGGGATCGTGTATCGTTACGCCTACCCGAAGCGTGCCACTCCATGCTAGAGAACAACCACAAAAGCATATTTATTAAGTATTCGGGCCTTCAAAAGGAAGGTACGGATAGGATTTTCATAATCCCCGATACGTATAAGAAGTCTAAGAGAAGGTTTATTGAAATCGGTTATGACACAGGTTAGAAGTTTACGTATATGGGGGTGCGTAGCTTATAGTGACCGCTGCATACTAACGATCAAGAAGGTATAAATGAAAAAGTACGAACTCATCCTTAGCAGACTAAACTTACCTCGTGTAACCCGTGAAATACGAAAGGTCAATTTTTCGTTGGCTCTTAGCGGCCGATCCGTAAAACACAAGGCCTTATTAAAACTCTCAACACGCATAGCTGTGTTGTTGGTAACGCGTATGTTTTCCCCTGAAATTTGACATTAAATTTCAGCCACCAATAAACACTTATCCAAATTACATTTTCTTGAAATACCTCACTAGCAGGTATAAGTACAGTTTTTAGCAATAACAAAGATCGTGTAGCAGTTCAGCTGTCAAAAGCTCTTTCAGTAGTTTCTCGAAGCCTTATGGATATCCGGATACTATAAGTGAGAGTCATTCTTTAAGTAAGAATCTGACATTCGACCACAACACAAATTAACGAAATGATAACTGCTCGTACAAATATGTAGAGTCAGCGACTGAATCAGTTTTCGGCAGTTAGTGGAGCTTGCTGTCAGGAACCACTATACTGAAAGCTAACCCTGAAAACACTTTTCAGAAAAAAATTAATAAGTAGCCAACTTTCAACAGCCGAAATCAACGGTATACAAAATTTGCGCAACCAAAATCGCTACTAGTACTTAGGCAAATAGTTAAGTTAAATAGTAACTTTTAATGATATGCATCTATTTTGTCGCCATTTAGGTTTTTGCATTTGAGCGGCGTCGGCAACTACATACAAATAAGAACTGCAGCAGTAGCGGTGTAAGTTCCAAGCTAAGTGCTTACGTTACAAAGCAATTCTTGCATGAAAGCATCTACTCCCATTCTAAGATCCTTTCATTTTGTTGGCAATGGACACCGGACGTCTTCATGCACTTCATTGCTTTACTTCGAACAAATACAAATAAACTTTCTTGTTTATGATATTCAATTAATCATAATTTATTAACACTTCCATCAGGTAAATATGACGAATACAACTAATGTTGCTGGTATTGATAGTATGATCTGGCAAGATAATGTAATAAGCGAGATAACAGAAAAAAACGACACGAACAAACCGCAACGAAACCCAAATTTAAGGTTAAACTAAGCGGTGACGCCACTCGGTACTCGATACAGAGCGTTTTTCAGTTCTAATTAAAACTAAAGAGAAACCGCACACCAGTTTCAGCCTGCAGCTTCTTAGTACGTTGACATAAACATTCTTTATACGACGATGACTTGCTTGGCCGGCTCGGTATCCGACGGAAGTCTAGTTATCTAGTACTCAAGTGAGCAATATACACATCTATAACATCTATACTTTGTCACATTTATTTCACAGAAACAGTATTGCTACTGATTTAGCATGTATTCGAGTGTCAAATGCAAATATACGACGGACTTGTTCCTCAGTTGTTATGTGTATAATTCGACAGATAATATCCCGTCGCAGGACAAAAATATGACTGTTTCAATCAGTTATATATTATATATTAATTATTGTTTGTTTACGTACAAACAACACAATACATACGGGCGCAATTATTTTTTTGTTCAATTTGTTGGGGGTAAAATTCGATGTTGGAGGAGTACTCAAGCTGTAACTGGAGTGACAATACGTTTTCATCCTGGACAAATAAATGCCCAGGGCTCTTCTTAAGCATTAGCATAACTGAGACAAGTTCATGTGGAAGCAAGAATTCATGATTCACCGACCGCTACACACAAGCAAATATTACGGCAATGGCTCTAGAATTTTACGCTATAGAATATATTTAGAATATATTGATACTGCGTGCGATACATGTTTTAAGAAGTTGCCTTGTAAACTTTTTGCAGAAATCTGAATCGAAAGGTTTACGATTATACGCGAAATTCGAAAAGATATGCTACCTATTTCCATATTGAATAGCTTTCCTTTATGCAAAACAAGGCTGCATGGCCATCACTTGCCTTTATGGTCTTATCTAAGGTTTTGACTGACATTTTACTACAGGTACCGATGCAAAAAAAATTTATATATATATATATATATATATATATATATATATAAATTTTTTTTGCATCGGTACCTGTAGTAAAATGTCAGTCAAAACCTTAGATAAGACCATATATATATATATATATATATATATATATATATCACACACAGTGAATCAGAATGTTTTTAATTTCATTTTATCGGCACAGTATGCGTGAAAACGTTTCTATTCCATCTTTGAAAGCAATATGCAGCATCGAACGTGTCTGAGGACTCACAAGGACTATTAAACTTGTTTTTTTTCGGTCGAGCGCGAGCTGCTTGAATTCTCACAGTATCTTCGTGTCAGACGCCCCACATTTCCAAGCAGAACCATGACAAGGCTCAGTTAAGAAGGTTTGAGTTGCAATTAAAAATGACTGATTCTGCTGTAACTTCAGTTCTCTTAACTAGATAATAATTGCAACATACGCGGACACTTAATCGTAATGTCACTTCACGTATTGCTTGTTTTTCGCTAGTTCTGCATGTATCAATACTGAGATGGATGGTTACCCTCAAGCTATTCTGAGATTTAACCGCTTCTATTCTACGCTACGAGATTCTTTGAATTGACGTGATATTTTTTGGACATTACTTCGGCTATATATATCAAGGAAGAAGCACCTCTGGGGCATAAGCTATCGGAACCACCAACCAATGCTCAAGAAAACAGATCATGAAACTGAGAATAAAGTAGACTGTTCGCCCTTCCTCTACACCGATGTTCAACATTTCTTGACCTAAGTCTACCATGCTCGATGTTCTAGTCAGTCGCAGCCTTTGCATTACCAATCCAAGGTGACACATTAGATACTGTATGCCAAAATCATGATATGATCAAGATTGAATCTTTTCGACAATCATACTCCAGTTTTACCCTTTGAAATCCTACGTCATCTGCACAAAAACTATTTGCAGGTCAAGTACTCTTCAGATTAAAGAATGCCGCATTCGAAATGATTTTTTTAAGGATTTGATGCCATATGCGCAAACTGTGTGCATTGTCATTGCCGAAAACATTATGTTCAGTCGAACACTTTCTATGAACATATTAACATTCATTGCTTGCTGTCATAATAATTTTTGGTCGGCTGTTTTCTACTCCGGTTAGTAAACATTCGTTACATTTCGCGTCTATACGGTCATTCATTGTCATGAGAAAACAAATACATGTAAGTCGCCCGTGCCTGCTCGCACTCGTCTATGAGATCCATCACAATGAACAAAATCATATTAAATCTATATATACATATATTTCGTACGAAGCAGCCGCCATATTCGCTGTGCTCTAGTAATTAAGGATAACTTTTTATTGCGTACCAACAGCAATTATTCAGATGGCAGCAGGAGCACAAATGAGATAAGGAACATAGACTTGCTCCAGCGGAAACGCAATAGCAAGAATTAAATACGCTGTTGATGAAAATATACGAACATGACAGACGCAGATTTTCAAAAACATACCTCGCACCCTATGAAATCCGATGGGTCCGACCGTCATCGTGGAGAAATGCAGCGGAGACGCACCCGTTGTTGCAGATTATCAAGCAGACAATTCGGTCACACCTCAACTACGACTTGGAAGATTCCGGAAGTTCAGTCCGCGCAGAGAAACCTACCAGTTTCTTGGAACAGTCCACTTCTCAGCACCTAGTCCCTGTATGTCACACAGCAACGAAGTTTACTATGCTGCCGTTCTCGCAGACCGTCTGCTCTCGATTGTAGCGGGTTTTCATCCAACTGTAGGTTAATTTACGCTTTGTTACAAAGTCTCTGTTCATTCTCTTAGTAAAACGATAACGAAGAGCGCTAACAACTACGGACGGAGCCGTATTTCGAAAAAAAGAATTGCGCCCTGCTATCAGTCAGGCACCGGCTAATATACTTTACTCATAGCTTACCCTTAACAAAAGCTATAGCACGCTTGAACTACAGACACCGCTAACGGTGGCCGATTTGAATTGATTTGCGTGCAATCAGCGGCTGTCAGGCATCTAAGATCTACACACACAGAGATTATCTTCGTAACTTCAAACAAATATGTCATACATATTTATGCATGAAAACACCAGTCGTGCCGTATGATATGCTATATAATATTGTATTTAAATTGTTGTACTTTAATGTGCAATATTAAATATGTGTATATAAAGAATGGGGTTATTGGGAAGTTTCTCTAGCTTTTCTATATATATATATATATATATATATATATAAGGCAATTGCTTCGAAGTTCTGCCCAGGCACTGTTTACCTAAGTGCAGCTTAATTGCTAATTTAAAGGGCGCGATGAACATTGCAGTTAGCTTCATGTTTCATTTGCTAAATTGTCTCTAAGCATCTAAACTACAGATTAACTAGAAACAATGTGAGTACATTATTGTAATAATTGGGTAGACACAAATCTGCAAAATGACGTTTCCCGCGTTAAAGGCAAGTTTTCAGTGTACTTCGAGTGGTTATAAAAATATTGAAATCGATAATTGGACAATGCTTTTACAGCCATTAGTTATAGTAAGTTAAGTCAGAAAGGTTGAATTGTAGACAGGCTAAATGCGATACAGCTGTTCTGATCTCTGGTTCAGCTGTTCTGAAGGTTCTGAAAGATAACGTTGTGGTTCTACGTTTAGAATCACATATTAAGGTAACAAAATTTGCTCGGCACGGGCAATATTGCGATCTCGACTTAATACTGCGGAGTCATATAAGGTTGCTTATTTATTATTACGATTATTATTATTACGATTTTATTTGCTACCTACAATATCGGTGGGCGAGGGTGTTTAAAAAAGAGAGCCATATTCCTTAGCGCAACGACACAAGTGCCTAACATTCGACTATATATGGACACGTTTGAGATGCTGATATATCCGAAATAACATCTTTTCGGCTCATTTTGCAACTCAACAATGCTCATTTTTTCTCGTTCTTTTCTGTACCGTGACACTGCTCAGTTAATAATTATTCGTACGTTACATCGAAACATGCAAGAGACCCAGACACGTTTGGTTTCCGTCTGAAGTAACGCCTATAGTTTAAGTAGTCGGCGTAAGATATGAAAAACATCGTACACCATATGTTGAATAAACACACCCAGCACTGCGGTGTCGTCTGCTAGCACTAGATATTTAACTATTCGGGAATATTCTCTAAATATTTCCAATAAAAATATCTTTACACATGTGGCGTGCTCATCATACAATTATCTCACTAACTTGAGGCAATTCAAAGATAATTACAATTGATAATCACAGACAAATTTAATCTTGATATTTGAAAGAAGCTAAACAGAAAAAAAAAACACAAAATTATAATGGTTTATCCCATTGCGACTCGGCGACGAGCCTAAATATAAAAGCATCCGAAACAGTCTGTGTTTGAAATCCGGTGAAGACACAATTCGCTTTGTGCTAACAGAGTAAAGATTCAACAGGATATTGCATGCCTTTAGGCGTTCCAGAAACTATGTTTTAAGCATATGTTGTGCGGGAAGCAAATAACCATTTTCGTCCCTCTAACACTGTCGCATATTAAGGAACTCTAAGTATACTTGGAAGCCTACTATAATACATCACACTGAAATATCCAAAGGGGCATTGAATGTAAGACAAGGATGAGGTTTCCTTCAAAGAATACTGTTGTAGAACTATAACAAATTAATAAATCTATAATATCGATCGAGCCTTCTAAACCCACCTAGTTCGCCTATCGCTCTACACCAAACTACAAACATCTATTGAAAAGCCGCACTGAATGCAGTATCCTTCGCAGGAGCAGGGCAAAACTTGAGCTCTTAAGTGGTCCAACTGTGGACAATCTGGTGGAAAGATATATTAAATTACAAATAGATAACGAATTAACTTAGATCAGCACATTCATGATGTGCTGCGTCAAACGCTTAACTCTTTGGCTGAGAAAGCCGAACGTTGCTGGTTCGCCGGTGGCACACACACTACACTACACATGTGAGTATATAAAATGAAAGATATATTTGGTTGCTTATGCCATACGAGCTATTTAAAAAGTGGCGCTATTTGAACCACATAGTGTATATGTTTCGAATTTTACGTCTGATATCGCTGTTAGGCCGTCCATCAGATGGCTGGCTCCCTGGCACGTATACGCCCAAGTTCTAATTTAGACCACAACAGAATCACACAGTCCGAAATCGCTCAAGTTGCCCTGGTAGGAAAGCTATAATGATTCGCTAAGGCGATCTCTACGGTAGTATTATAGAGGAAGTTACCATAATGATTCACACTGAATAAGAGTATGAAATCTGTTTTTTGGCGATAACTGTATAAGACAATCCTTTTTCAAAAAAATGAAATTAAGAAAAAAAGGTTAAATGCTGTAGGTACGGCCTCGAACTTACAGACATGGCTTTTTTGGGCTGAGCCTGGCGATTTTTCCAAATTATCTAAGCGATTCATATTTAGCTTCATCTTACAGTTACAGGTACGTGGTATAAAAATACATTTATGCTCAGTTCCTATTATTCGTTCGAATTTAGCCGCCAATTAACCATAGGCAGTCTGATGCGGGGATATTCCAGTCTTGATACGATAATACGGCTGTCCCCGGGAATTTTAACAAAAAAGAGTTAATTAGCCTTCTAAAGAATGCGGCGCATCTTATAAGCATATCTCAATGGAATAAAAATGCATTGGAAATATGACTAAAATAAGTTTCGGTATAATACTAAATCATCAGCGCTCTAACTGACATGCGGGAAATAGAGCTTTGATCCGCTTTGAATCGCCTCAATCTTCCCCTTTAATCTTTTAAAAATATGACGTGGAAGTGGAAAAATACCCGGAAGCGGTGTGGTATTTCATCTCCGTATAAAATTTTGCCTGCAGGAAAGATTTCCTAAAAGCTTTTCGTATCTCTAAGAATAGGCCTGAAAAACTGTTATGATATTTAATTAATGCTTGCTGATGGTTAGTTTAACTCTGGAAACTCGAGGAAACAAAATAAAGTTACTGCAGTGTTATTGATATTAACAGACAAGAGAAGTTGTGTTAGAAGGCTTACGTAATCTAATAAATCATCGATGGAATCGCTCTACTTGAAGAAAATCTAGCGGCATAGACGGGTTATGGGGAATACCGCCACAAATAGTGAATATTCTTTGGTCGTCCGTTAACGCTTCATGGCGTTATTTTTACTAAAATATCATATTTGAGTAAATATCATCATATCACATGAGCCACATCGTGCGTTGGTATGTCGGAAACGCCCGAGTTTTTTGTTTGTATGTCAGCTTGTACCACAAAGGAATTGCACATTAATACCACAGGACGACAAATTCTGCAAGCTACAATAAGCTCCCCAATGGTACTAGCAAAACATTTATTTTGATATCTCTGGAACGAAAAATTCGAGCCCATATCCCTGCCAATGTACGGAGCCGCGTGTATTGTGCTCTGAGTTCGTTCTGAATGAAATGTCGTGTAGCTTACCAAAATATCGTTAATGGGGTATGCACTTTTAGGTCATCTACACGTCGAAATTCTGCTAGCTTTGATCGAAAGGTCTTCCACCAAAATTTCGTGTTGTGTTACCTATTTACTTGCGTCAGAAGCTGATTGCAGAAAACTCACATCGCTGTTTTGGACTAGTCGCCAAGAATCTATACCTATATAAAAACATTACGGAGGCGACTCAATTTGTGGGCAAGATTCATTGAAATTATCATAGACATACATTGAATCAAACCATTGCATAAATCATTCGGACTACAAAAAAAAAGATTAACTATTACCTTAATCACGATAAATGTGTATCTAATTTTGTCTCATGTCCATCTTTGAGGATTTTATTCTTCTAGACCACTCGTATGTCATTTGAAAGCAAACATTTGAAAAAATAAACATCGATTTTTCTTCGCGTTGCTTCGTATTCTTAAGGTGGGCGTTACGGCTTGCACCGCTGTTACGGCATGTGCATGTTTCCTACAGGATGACAAAATGCAAACGCAAAGCTAGGTAAGGCAAACCAAAACATACGATAAAAATAATCGGGCCTCCATAAAAACATAGAAGGCTCAGTGTTTAATTTGATTTTGTCCTTTATCACATAGAATCCGATCCATTGCCGACGGCTACTTCGCAATCGCCTGCTCCGCTGCTTCACCCATAAAAGAGCAGTCCATACAGGCAATAAATAATCGAAGAGCAATTGGTTCCGGCCGTGTCATGTCGTAAGCTGGAGTACTTAATCCAACTATACTCATTTTATCTTTAGAATATTTGGGACCATATGTTCAAATTTTCATTTGCTGCGCCTGACGACAACCTTCACGCATGATCACATGGTTCAATAAACGGATGTGCACATTATGTTGTTCTGTTGAATCGTTATCGACACGGACAGCACACGCCAGGCTTTAATGTATGTCGCACATTTTTCCGCACAACTTTCGTTGAACTACGCGATAAACCAGGACTCCACAAGTAGGACAGCTTGAGTTCTGACTAGGGTGCTCCTGGTGTGCGTTATTAGCATCGTTCCAAATAGACCTCAGAAAGTAGAGAAGCTTCTTTTTGTATATCGGGCACGTTTTACTGCGTTGATCATTGATCACTGTACGCACGCACGTTTAGCACATTGTCGAACGCTTACGAGAATACGCCACCGGATGGTCGTACAAATTTCACTGGAGATTAGTTCCCTTATGTACAAGTGAATGGTTTTAAGAATACAAAAGCTCGGGATGTATTTTATCGCGATCTCGGAAGTAATAGCTAGACAGTATGGGGCGGAATAGTAACAGGCTTTACGACGAACATGTTGCCACTGACGGATTTGATCGTCCTGCAAAGACTACCTGCGAACCCTATTAATCCTCTGACCATGATCAATGGTCGAAAAATGTTCTCCTGATTTACGCCGAAACCAGTAGCGGCTGAAATGCCAATAGAATGAACGAAGTTTGAAATCTAGCTAAGTTTGGCGGAGTGAAATCGTCACATCGACTGGATACGATGAGGCGATGCTCGTTTGACTGAATAACATTTACCGTATGCATAAACGAAATCCAGCCGTTTGCCGATCTGGTTGCGCATCAGTACTGACAATTCACCGTTTTACAATAGAGTTGGGCTTTGCAGCGCGTCTCGAGAGGAACTCAGTCCTATAGGGTTGAGAAAAAGCTAACAACCTTACATTGCTTACATAGTATTTTCGGTTCGGATATTGCAAATTCATTGCCGTGGAATTGCATTGACTTCAAAAAACTCCGTAGTTTTTAAGATAATGCTACAAGGGTGCATATGTTAAGATAACGAACATACTAAAACATGCTTTAACGAAAGGATTTTTACTTAGTAGCCATGTATTATTTACCAAAGCATGTTGGGACTTACCGGCATCAAAGACTTCTTGCTGAAGTAAGACTTCGTGGCAACGGTGTAGCTGTACATGTATGGAGGTCATGTGTTTAATTATTAAGTCTCTTTAGTTTAATAGGTAGATTAGTTAGGTAATGTTAAGTAAAAGAAATTAAAAGGTGATTAATTATTAAAAAGCTTAATCAACCCTTAGAAAATGAACCAGTTATATCTCGGATTCCTAATTTTTCTAGAACAAAAAAGCCACGAACTCGTTACGGCACGCGTAACAGGTTTGGCTACGAAAAGCGAGTAACAGCTGTGCTTAAATGCTTTTGCGTAGGATTAATTTTTCTAGTTACTACGTTGTCCGTGTAAATGTTCTGTGTTTTTGTAATGATGGCAATAATTATATGGCGCTAGTAAGTTAAAAATACTAGGAAAGGAGAAGCAGTCCCATATTTTTATAGGGCTTCAAGACTATCGGTGTCGAAACAAAGTTAAGATGAATATACCTAAAGGACAGCCTTGAGAATATTGACAGCTTCCACGAACAAGCACAAACGCCGGAGCAACTAATATTGTTTCGTAGGGTCGACAACGATTCCCAATGGATGCTACATGCCCTCATTCTGTCTGTGCAACATCCCACTTGCTCCGATTATTACATAAACATCAACTCAACATCAACACGCGACCACAGTGGGCGCACCGACTGAAAGCGCATGTTGTGTGTGGAAGAAAACAGGAAACGTCGTACAACTTCATCCAGCTTCCTTCTGGAAAGAAGCAATCGCAAACATACGCTATACAAGTCACAAAAACTACGTATTTCTGAAGATACGGATGGAACTGTAACGTGCACCATCGATAACTGTTGAATATTGGAAGTGGCCCGAAGGAATTCCGAACCCGTGGAATTACGGCAGTTGAGCACCAAAAGCATTTTTAACTGAACCAGCAATTCCTACATCCTGCGCAGCAGCAATGTAAACCACGGGACCGGGTTAACGATTGCTTTGATTAATGTCTGAAGAAGATTTCACAAGTTTTGTAGACATGCATAAATGGCACTTCATTAAGAGAGCTTAACACTAAAGTTGTGCCGGAGCGGTTAGCATGTGTACGCCCTTTGGGAGATTAGGTTAGGATTGCAAGGTCTAGTGGGTATTCAGGTAATGAGCTAAAGCCATCACACAAGATACGCTAATGTATTCTCCTGATGAAATGAACAAAACAAAGGTGTAGTGATGAGCCTGGTTGAATGATTCACTAAGCCGTATTTTAGCATTGTGACCTTCACCGAATTCTTCGCGAATATTTGTTTTCTGCCTCGAGCAATAATAGTTGATTGAAGCTAAGCAATCTATAATCACATTTTATTGGATGCCCTTATTCTTTTCCTTTTCAGCTGTAACGACGCACGACCGCTTGTCTAGCAGATATGACAGACTACACAAAGTGGGATCAAGTGAAGTTGATTACACTAAGGCACATTCAAACCGGCAACAATATGTAAGTTGAAGCCTCCACTTATATAGATAATTGATCTCCAATATAGACCATTTTCTGACCAGCTGGGTAACTTTGCCTTGGAATTTAGTCAAAAGTTCTAAATAAGTGTATCGACGTTCAAGCGATAGCAACGTCAACGGTAGTCCCCTAATTCTACTGGAAATGTAAATAATCTATACAAAAATTACTATTCAATTTAGTTATAATTCGAAGTGTTAGAATTAGCAAGTTGTATTTGTAAAGATCCTAATGTTCAATGGCTCGCCCGTGGAGTAACATTTGAATCTTAGCGTACGGCTCACGACTGCTTTCAATAAAGAATTTAGAGAGACGAGCGTCTAAGCTGATAGGCGGCCTAACTGCTCTACATTGTTAGCTTGACATCGAAGCGTTTGACGATTTACACAATAAGAAAAGAACGTGTCCGACACTTGCACGACACAGGTATTTTATCCGTCTGCTATTTTGTACCCAGTAATACTCCTCCAATGGGTCATAAATTCCGTTAGCAAATTATTAAAAACGCAATATCATAATTTACCCGACATGTTCCATAGCTGCCTGGGTATAACCAGACCTACAAATCATTTGAAACACCTACAATTTCGCATTGCGCAATATCGATAGGTTGGTGATCGTTCAAAAAATATCCCCAGGGTATATATATATATATAAGCGTATTATAAAAAAGTCTTAACTCCTTTGGTCCATTACACCACTGTTCAAAGAACCACTGGCTGTTCCTATAATGTTCGACGTTTAGCTCACTTTCGAAGCGCATTGTCATATCTATGGCAGCCGTTTTGTCCTCTGTTTAAGATAGTAAGTAGTTTATTAGTATATTTATTATATAGTTAAAAAGAGAAAACATAGTCATATAATGCAGTTATATAATTAGCTCGGCACTTGTTCATATTCACCGCTAGAGTGAAACTCTACTGCAGGACAAAGTTAACTAGAGGTACTAAGTTAACTAAATAGGGTAACTAGGTAATTAAGTAACTAGGTAAGTAAGTAGGTAAAGGGTAAACCGTGGAAACGGAAAGCAGTCTATTGGTTTTCTTACGCTTTTTTTCACAAGAACCCCACAGAACTCGAACGAAGAAGTTTTAATCTTGAACAGCTAAATTCGTTACGAAGATTCAAGATATGGCTGACATAGTACAATCGAACAAGCCAGTCTAGATAAATCCTCTAGACCCCGTAATGTGCGGCCTTTCGAGAATAGTGAAAAATCCACAAATACCCAATCATCTATACGCGTGTTCATAGCTTTTACAAAAGTGCAATGGCTATCGTTTTTAATTACGTTCGGAGATTTACGTCGTACAAACATACTTGTGTGGCGGACTCAATAATATTAGTATTGCAACTCTCACTACTTATTTGGAATCTGGAAATCAAACCTAGAACCTTACAGTAATGAACTAGTTTTTCGATTGGAGACTATAAAGTACGAGCAAGTCCCGTATCCCGTAGTACAGCCTCGTATTTGTTGAACATTTATATTTTTATAATTACGACATGAAGGTTTCCAACACAATATAATGCAAATATATTATGATTTGTTGATAAGGATATGACATGATAGTAACGCTAACACAGTAATCGGACTAAAATGTTAATGATAAAGACTTAATTAATTATAGGCGTTCACTATTCTTTTAAATAATGCATCAGTAATTACTGAACAATCCTTACCAAAATTAAAATATCTGCTGCCAACTCGTTTTTATTGTTTATTGTTTTTTTAAAAATAAATATTTGTATTGTAAATATGAAACAGATACTTATCCAGATATGCTATAATTTCTAGTAGTGTGTGCAACATGAAAGTAGTTATATTTAACATGTTACGAAAGCACAATATTGTATTTTTTGATTTTAATGCTTTCCGTTCTACTCTAAAAGTTACAAAAATTAAACCTTAGTTTTCTTACTTCATATCTACTAGCATTAAAAAGTTTATAAGTTAAACAAAAATAGCACAATTTAAAAATATACACGTTTTCTATATTCAAAAAATGAATCTACACCTTCAACACCTTCAAATTTCGATTAGAAAAAAAAAACTATCAAATATAACCTAATACAGTAAGAGCGTCGAACTGGGCAAAGCAGATTTGATTAAGGGCAACAGAAATTTATCTATATTTGCAAAATTAGCTCTAGGTATTATGCTTTAGTTGCCTACTATTATATATCTAATTATATATATAGAACTATATAATTATAATGTTTGATTTTAGTAAATACTTAGGTTAATATTTTCCGGGCCTACTTCAGCATATGCTGAAGCAATGAGGTTGCGCAATAGAGTTGCGTAATGGTATAATAATACTGAGGGAGTTAGAAAACGTTACAGTCCGGCTGTTCACTGTACTTCACGTTTAATGACTAATACTTCATTATTTACACACTCGAATTATTCAATAGAAATTTTATTGGAGTTGAAAATCATACCATAGCCTTGAGCTATATGTTGAAAACCAAGGTCGCGCAAGTTTTCTTCTACACTTTACATATAATTTTGATTATTGAATTAGTAATAATAGTGCTTATTTTTCAATATACGAATACAAAACAAGTTGGTGGAAGGTAGGCCAACTGGGTTGATCGGCAAACCTATAGTATATCTCTTAAGGCCCCCCTGCGCTATGCCTTACATGGTTTGGCGGTAGCTAAACGATGTAGCTTGATTATATTTTGACTTTTGCCTAATTAGCACATTATATATTGAAGATAATGGAGACCAAATTAGCAGATACCCAGAATATTCGAACTAATAAAAACTGTAGGTTTCCATTTTGTCATTCGTGCAACCATTAATTTGTCCACATATAATACACAAATTTTTCTACAGATGTATTCGTGCTGCGCAGATATCGTTATGACCTTTTCGAGAACAATGTGTGCGTAGTCCTACGTGTAAACAAATTAGCACATTTTTTTTTGCCAAATGTAAGAAGGCATTCCGTTTCAACAATGAAACAGGCGTCTCTGGCTGAGTCAAAAAGTCCAATTGTTTTTCATAAGCGTTTGTCGACACGTTCTGTCTCACGAAACACCCGCATTTACAGCAGTTCTGGCTTATGATCCGTCTACCTGCATGGACAACTTGAAATGTGTCAGTCGTATTGTTATCTGTGAGTGATTACCTGAGATCAATAACGCTTCGTACTTCGTACATCAAAAAATTGTTCGACGGATGTTCAAAGCCCGGAGAGTCGGACCCTGAATATCCTCAAACCAAGTTTAGGACTAGGTTAAACAATTTAGTTCTCCTCTCTGGCTTATTTCTTTCTTCTGTCCTTTCTATTACTGCGGTTTCGTTCAATGCATCTCAGTATCTGGTCAATACAGTTGCAATTCATATACCGATCAATGCATTTTCTGTTTCTGGCTTAGTTAAGCTTTCCTGACCGTACAGTCTTTTTGGTGTTGACGTTCTTGCCGATAATACATATTGTGTTTTTGTTATTCCGTAAAAAAAAAAAGCAAGCCTTTAGTTGATCTGTTCGCTTGAAATTTCTTTGAGCTATTTATTTTATATTTTTTCGTTGTAATTTTAGCTTTGTGATTTTGATGAATGAAAAGCGAATTCGACAGACGGAACCAGAAGCATTCGAGGATGGTCACGTGTCACGGGTCAGCTTAGTGTTACATTTCTAGCCTTAGGAAATGATTTAGCGATGAAGTTGGTTAAAATACGCTTTATCAAATCTGTAAACATTATCTACAGCCCGCTAACATACACAAGGCAACCGCACTAGTGTTATGAGTGCATCGGAAAGGGGCAACCCAGAACTGCTTTTTCTTTGGGTTGAACGACGGCCCGTTCGGAATAGCATAGACTAAAGCATGTATCATATATATATATATATATATATATATCATAGGAACAAGTTTTTACGGTACCTAATTTATAAATCTGTCAAGATGTGATAGAGAGTTGGTATCAGTTTATCCAGTTCTCAGTTAAGCGTCGCAACGAGCGCGAGTGCTCGCCTTACGGCTTCCATAATGACGATTGAGGCTTGAGCAGAAATGAGCCCGAAATTGTGAGCTACTTTAGGTCAAAATTGGCCGAAAAAAAAAGATTTTTTTTACCAGAGATACAAACTGGAGTCTGCATGAGACATGGGTCAGCCTTGAGATTATAAATTATATATAACCTATTGAATCCTTTAAAAATCAAAATATATTTGCGACGCCATGTGTTAAACATAAGACACCTGGCAGTGAATCTTAGTGGTCAATTTAGACATTGGAGCTCGATCATTAATTCAAGTTTTTTCAACAAAAGAAAAACTATAAAAACTTGTATGCCGTTTCATGTCTCCTAACAACGGTTGATTTAGTATAATCATTAAGCAAAGGCGAGTTCTAATGATCTAGCATTTTGAGAAAACTTTTCAGTCATCAGTATTGATACTTATCTTTGCTGTGAGGAGCTGACTTTGGAAGCATTCGGCATCAACTAGAGTGAGACAAATTATTTCCTAACATCTTGTAGACGATTTTTGCAACTGCGTACGTTTTTCATCCTTATTCATGTAGAATAAGAATTACATGTAAAAAAGACGCTCTATAGCTGGAAAAATTGCTCTTAGCCTAAAATTACCCTAATGTATACAATAAAACAAACCTTCTTATACAGTGCCTCGAAAAATGTCTAGCAACATCATTACGTTGTCAAAATAGATGCTTTCTTTATGTTTTTATCTAACTTTATTAGAACAGTGACTGGCTGTACTTCTTATTATTGAAAAAAATTAATAATAATTATTATTATTATGACAAAGATAGCAGGTAAAAACCAGCAGGAAAGAGTTGTGACTCAGTGAAACTGCGCACGCGAGAGCCGGTAAATGCATGGAGATGACGATAGAAAAGAAAGTTAATTAGAGGTGAATGAACTCACTACATACAGTCCTTTTCACATGGATTAAGTAGCGCCTGTGTCTACAATAAAAACCAGCTTCCACCTCTTTAATAAAGAGTATTATTACATTCTATGCAAGTATTCTGCTTGAAAAATTGTTATTTACCTTCTTAGACGGCTATTAGTTATTCTCACCCAAAAAACAGGTGTCGTTTGGTAACATGAAGCATGTTCACAATTAGCTCTGGATTCGTGATCAAATAGAAAAACTCGGCCCGGACCATCCGAAGTGACTGGCTCATGGTTAACAATGCAAGCGGGCAGAACAATCAAGTAGACGTTTTAAGGGCCTAATGAAGAAGCTCCGTGGTATGAAAGATAGTTACACCGCGCGTTTTTTTTTCAGTAATGTTACGCGTACTATTATTGCCCGTTAAAATTTATGGACCAAAATCAAAAAGATGACAGGGGTACAGTCGAGGTGAGGTGAAAAAAAGTGTCAAAAAGTTTACAATATAGTTCCTATTTATTTCGTTCTGGATCCATTATTAACATATGCGACGTTGGTATAAATGAATGCCACTCCAAGTATAGTTTATCGTACATGCATTTGTTTCTGATTATCCAGGTAAACAAGATCATGACAACTATTCCTATCAACTACAGCAAGTGGAAGTATATTTCCCTGAAGAACTGAAGTAAAAAAATAACTATGGGCTGATTCTCTTGCTCATTTCTTTAACTACCACGAAGGGCCCTTTCCGATGTATAAGTCTGTTATGCGTGCTTTACGTCGTTGTAAGTTATGGGCATTAGCTCAGACGGCTGGCTCCTAATGCTAAAAATGTATACCTTGGGATTTAAACCTAGACCATCACTTTGCTCTAGTTTAGCTGATAAAACACGTTCCCTACTACTCTATCGCGGGGATACCGATTCGCGTATCTCAAGAGGCTCAAAGCTTTTTATTCCCGTGAACCCGCGGGAACGGGTTTGTGTGCTAAGTTTAGGCAGATCTAACATGATCTACATTCAAAAGCAGGCGTAGACACACTTGATTCAATGCTGATAAGAATCAGCCATCAGAAGCAATGTGTCACTAATACAGTATCCGACGTAGAAAATCAAAACTTTCGAAGACTTCTTGATGCTTTCAAAACAAGAAAGCTGACACGCAAGTGAAAAACCTGTAACTGCCAGTACTCCCTGACTTGGGCTGGCTCAGCGGTTAAATCTTCAGAAACGGGGTCGTAATCATAGTTTGACCCGTACTAGTGCAATGATAACGTGTTTATTAAACGTACAAACGTGCAAAGCGGTCTAGGTATGAAGCCGGACGTAGACATGCTACATTTCGTGTTCGGAGTGGCCAGTTCTCTAAAGCAACGCTTAATTGCTTACTTAAACATTGCTTTAACACAGAGCTGAGACTGAGAGAAGACCTCAGTACGAAACATCAAACGCGAAACATTTCAGTGGTCGTTAAATGATGCGGCTAGAATGTCAGCATGCCAGCCAGCTCACAGCTGGCGCTTTCCCCGACAGCAAAGAATAATGATCAGTTCATAGAGACGGCAATTATCGCGTCGATGCAGATTTTGTAACTCTCTTATACAAAGGATACGAACCAATCGCAGGATTTGTGCAGAAGTATCAGAAATCGTAACCCTTAATGTAAAATCATATTGTGACCGCTATTTTATGACGATTAGCCGAAACCATGGCGGGACAATAAACATACGCTTGCCACGATTTCGACGAATTATGGTGCATCGATTCGGTATTATTTTAGGAATTTACAAAAATTAAATTTGCAATTAATGAAAAGATAACATTTTACGATAGTAAACCGAATAATATATTGCGAAGTTCTTGACAAACTGCTCGACAATATAATTGATATCTGATAGTTGCTGCAATTCTAAACAAAAACTTTTAAAAAAAGATACTAATTCTATCGTACACTTAGTTTTTAGCTATTGCTCATCTTCAATGATACTATGTGCTTTGGTGGATGCTATCGTAATTGTGATATGAAAGTATTATGTAGATAGTATATATCTATTTATTATTATTATTATTTCAATATAATGAAGCAGTCACTGATTGTAGCCCACCATAGTAGTGCGCAAATATACAATTTATTCCAAAAAAACGCCATTCTTAATACCTTAATAAAATATTCTTTATTATATTTGGCACAGATTCAGTTTCGTTTGTTTCGTGTGTTTTATTTGTCCAGGTTGGTCAGCTAGCCAATACCAAAGGATCTGATACGGAAGGCCGAAAAGGACCCCACCAACAAACAGACACACTGATGTTCACTGTTTGCTTCTTAACATAAATATATATCTTATGATGAATATTTGTTAGGACATGCGGTGCATAAAATGTGCTTTAGCATTGATTCCAGAATATATGCTTTATTATAAGATTAGTTATACTACCCAGTATGAAGCACCAACTCTGTGAATCGAATTTGCTAGAACAAAGAACGAACGAAATCCATTAACGCCCAAATATTTTTATGGTTTAGTCGCATCGTTTGAACAAGGCTATACTAACAGGGAAGACCCGATAACCGAGGCGAAGTCATTCTGCTACACCACAACGCCTGTTTGCACGAGGCAAAGGTTGTGAGAAGCGTTTTGTAGAGAGTCAAGTAAGAGCTTCCTTGGCGCCTATATTATTCTTGGAAATTCACGTCTACGGCTTACCGTCTGTTCTGATCACTGGCGAATAAAGTTAATAACTGACGTTTGACAATGGAAAGAACGTTAAAAACTGAGTAGAGGAGTCACTTAGCATCTGAGCTGAACGTTATCTGAAGAAATTAAACAAGTCAATCAGTTTCCAGATGAGGAAAAATCGTATAAAATGATGTGTATAAAACCGTTTTCGTGATCATAATATATTGCTAAAACTCGAATGAGATTTTGCCTTTTAATATAACAATGACTATGCAACAGAAAGGTTTAAGGTCAACGCACTGAAGCCAAAAATTCGTTTAACTCTAAGAACGCCTAATATAACGGAATATAGTAATTCATGAAAATATAGAAAAAATTTGTATCTAGTTTTCCGTAGCCTGTTTTATTATCATCCGATAATAGTCAACATTTGTAAATTATTCTTAAGTGTATATTGGGCTAGTCGGAAAGTTATGGCGGTTTTTCAGGTGCTCTTTTTTATATCAGACCGTTGTAATTTTGTGGCGTGCCGAATAGAACTTTATCCGGAGTTCAGATTAAAATGATGGAGATTTGTGACAGAAAGTGCACTTTCGACATCTGCTACATTTTACCTTTTACCAAAGTCAAAAAGCTAGCGAAGCACTTCGAGGAACCCACGCTCGAATCAGTTGCCAAGTTTAAAGGTAAGATCTTGGATCTGAAAAATGCATCTGACAACCTGTAAAATCACGAACAGCATGTATTGAAGAGGCTCGATTATTATCAGGGATCTTACATGTACGAAATTTTATTAAAATTAAAAATTTAAGTGTACCATAAGTTAGACAAAGTGCATGAAAAAACATAGCTTTTCATTGTCTCTCATCATCTCGCCTGTCACCAAGTAAGACAAGCACAACAATAGGTTTCATACAGATGACGAGCAGTAGCGCCGCTATGTCCTTGGGGAGTAGAGAAATTAAGGGGTGAGTACAGCTAACTCTAGAGTTAAATCTGTAAAAAAAAAAAAGCTCACGATGTATGTTTGGTGGGACTGACTGTACAGGTCCCATACAGTGGTCGATACTTGAGAAGAATACGATGATCGACAAGAATTTATATTAGGTATATCAAGAATATCAGATTGCCTGAAAGACCCCATAGACAAGGCAAACACACCTTTCTCCATGACAACGCCAAATTTCACATAGTGAAAATCATCAAAGCGCCATTGCAACAGGCCCACCATATTTTTAAACTTCAGTTTCACGCATCGTTACCTATCCTAGTCACTGGTAAATTCAAGTCATAGCAGTACATTTGACAGTGTAGAGAGTTTTTAGAACTAGAGAATTTTAGCTAGCGGAATGAATAAATAAATAAATAGTTGAGAGATAGAACAATCTTGCAGAGAGTGTTGGCTAATATATGCTGAGTAAATTTTTGCGAAAGTCGAGTGAAATGCCGCGTCTTTAGTTACTTTCTTCATTCAAAACCGCCATTATTCTTATATAACAAAATTTACATTCCTATATATCTCAGACAGCTCGCTAGATAACTCACACAAAACCCTGATGAACAGTTTTTGTCGGTAACTATATTTCCGTAATGCATTTGAGACTTTACGTCAATGACCTTGCTAGGTCGTTTGTAACTGTATCATACAATAACCATTCGTAGACGTTTTACTAAGAGCGGTTTGCATAGCAACTCGAAAACGCTAGGCATCAAAAGCACTTGGTTCTAGTATGAAACAATTAGTTATTACACCACAGTGCTTTTTTCGATGCTCAGTGTCTTCAGCATTCCGTTATTTGTTGTCGACCTAACGACTTTGTTTTGCCTTTTGCCCGGCTAACATATTTGGAAATCGTCAAAACCAAATGAGCGGCTGTACAGGATGCTCGAGCCAGAGAAGGCGGCGACGGATGTGGCGGTCTCTCATCTAGCCGCGCGACACAAGTTAGACCGTCATACAGCGCCATCAAATGAAAAACAAAAGGAACGTGTCGTTTGAGCCGAATTCGATTTCTCTGCCAGATGTTCTGCCTGCGCCTTGCTATATATATACATATATAAGTGCACGCCAATTTCATACAAACGTATGTGTTCTTTCAAAACGGCAATGATTAGCTTACCGGCAGGTGAACGGCCAACGGAGTCTACCTTTGTCTTCAGAGTCGCTGCAATCTTTCGCGACTCTGCGAAGGCCTTGCTAAAACATTTCCGACAAGGGTACCCCGTTGCTCGAAGTATAAGTTATAATTAATAGGTAAGTCACGCATAATCATCGGAAAACTTAGTTCACGAAGAGCGCGATACAGAATAGTGAGCTAGAACGACTTGTTTATACTATTAAAGCGAAGCCCGCTCACTGTCTTCTCTATAAGACGTACACGTAAATAAAAATGCATTCATTCGTCGAAGTCTCTGAGCAAAAAACCCGCTAACAAAATTCCATTGAACAAGCTACAAAAACCAGTACAGAAGAATGTTCTTAATTAATTTATCGACTGTAAACTCTTTTTTTAGTCTGTCTATTTTTCTCCCATTAATTCGATGGTTTGATTATACAGTTTATTACATGGAGCGTGCTCCTTAATATCAATGTCGCTTTACATCATAGTGGGCTAAATAAGTATTGAATACCCACAATTAGGTCAGGGCTCTAGCTTAGGCGTCGGGCAGTGCATCGAATTTACTCAGCTGAAAAGGCAATGTTCAGCGGTGTCATTAGCTGATCAACTCTCCGAAATCCTCCATAGCTTCTTCCTAATAGCCTATCGAGTAATGGACCAAACAGATAGTTGCTTAACATTGCTTATGTGTACCCACAACGAACTCTCATCTGTTCTCGAGATGCCACCACGTTCGCCTTATTATGCATGACGCCATGTTGATTCATAACAATGGCGCCCCTTTTGGCTTAAAAAACATAGTAGCTTTATTCATTTATTTGTAACCACTAAAGCTATTCGACCTCAATATTTTTAAAAATTCGCTATATACGAAACGGTACACCGTGACATTATCATGCATCAAATTAGATCATAAAATGCAAGCTTTTCGATTTTTCCGGTCGCATTATTTCTAGCGAACGTTTTTGCCTTGGCAGTTTAAGTGTGGGTCCGCCAGGCGCCACATCGGGTTGTCGGCATATTTGTGTTTGGGTTCGCCTCCCGTAGACGGTCGTCCCCGCGGCTTCTATAGACAGCTAGCGAGACACACAGAGAGAGGAAGAGAAAACACATAAAGAACAGTAAAGCTCCGACCAAACATAGATTCGTCAGCCAGGAGCACGGTACTCACTCGCCCTTCGAAGACGAACGCATCGGATGAATGCATTATGGCCGCGCTCTCACAGCGGCGGGCGATAGTCACTAAGCAGAATCATCTCTGAGTAAATCATCATCATTCTCCACAACAAACACACACTACATTGTCCCTCTTGGTAAGCAACAGCTGATACTCTTGGAAAATTCTTATTAATTGCTGCACGTAGAACACAGTTTACATCGTGGAGTGACCCCTGAGACCACTGGGGACCCCCCCACAGCATACGGACGAGCCCCATTCGATTCCCTCTGCTGTCAGCAAGTATGGCCTCACCGACTCGACCAGTGACCGTTTCATTGAATGATGTGTTTTGGCCCTCATGTGACATTTGGTTTGTGGTCGTCTTTGTCGCGTCGCCGCATAGTGGCCAGGCCATCTAGTGGCCTAAAACGTTGCCCAGAATACGGCCTATCCAAAAATACCCAGGATAAGCGACTCCCGCACTCCCGGCGCAGTCAAGCGTGTATCACTAGTGCGAACCGCCATTCAGCAGCTAGGTCGCAGCGGAGCGGGCTCTGCCGAAATTCCCGCTAATACTTTTGCTCTATACCCTATAACTATATTGGCACTAGTTAGTCACGGAATCACTGGTGGTAACGATTGTGTGCGGTGTAAGGGGTGAATAGAATGTGAATGTGATCGTGAAACCTATCGCCCGACCTACACGTAGAAATATGTCTTGTCTCGCACGAGATCCGAGTCGTAGGCACGGACCCTACAGTACCTAAACTCTCAGCGAACGCTGGCGTTCGGTTTGATGGTGTGTCTGTATATGCGTGCATGTGTGAATAAGCTCTTATTACAGCAAAACAAATCTCCTTGCGATATGAAGTGTTTGCGTCCCGTTTCACTACTTTACTTCCATCACGATCGGCGCCTCTTGTTCGGTTCGGGGGGCCAGCTCTGGTGGCAGTTAGGCAGCCTTTGACCGCTTGTACTTCCCGCACCGATCCCAGTTTGTAGCACAGTGATACTGTTTTTCGAATATGTGTGAGCAGGGACAGATTTTTGTGCACCTTATTCTTGTTATTGATTATTGTGAGTGCTGTTGGTCTTCATTGGTCAATGTGCAAAGCTAGTGCCGGTTCGACTTCATCCTACCCCCTGCCTTCGTTTCCCATCTGCTTCTGGCCATTTCCGAATCATGTCCATCGTCAACTCATCGTCTCGGTGGTGTTCATACAACAGTACGATTCCGGTGGCGGGCCGCCAGTATTCGTTCGACCGCCTGCCTCTCTGTGTGTTACTGCTAATATCGCCGCCAAAGTGCGGTCTACCGATTTATCCCCCCAACTTGGGTTTCGCTGTCGTGTGCTTTATTTGTCGCTGTCGTCGTCATTTTCGCCGACGGCGCCCGCGTACTACTGCTGTTTGTGTCGCTGTTACTGAGTCTGCTTCTGCTCCTGCTAATGGTAATGATGTTGTTGTCGTCCTCGTTGTTATTGGCGATGGCGGTGTCTTTCGCCTATGTCCGTATCGCTGGAACTGGTAGCGAGTCAGCCGGCCCGCCGATTCGATGCGATGACTGTGATGCTACGCTGCTTTAATTACGGAGGTGGCTGCCGTGTCGCAACCGCTGCCTCCGCTGCTGCGGCTGCCGCGACTGCCACCGAACCAATGATGGTGCTGTTGTCGACGAGCGGTCGGGTGCACCGCTCGCTAACATAAGCAAGCAAACGTTACGGGGCCGCCATCAGCAGCAACAGCATTAGCAGTACTTATGATGCCACAGCTCTGATGAGCGCCATCAGCCGTCTTTTGCGGCTTCATGAACCCACCGGCGGCCCAGGGGGACCAAGTTATAATGTGAGAAGTGTAAGAGTCTATGAGGGGCTCTTAGGGGGTGGGGGGTCGGAAAAGGGGTTTGTTTTGAGCATATTCGCCGTTCTCGTCGTCGTCGTCGTCGAGGGCGATGAGGTTTCATGCATAAGAGATGATTTATCTAGTTAAATTTTTGTTTGATTCGAAAACCATTATAGCTACTACTGGAACTTCGTGTGGTTACTGCAACTGTAGTTAGTCTTTAGTGTCGGTCTGATAACGCAGTTAGGTGTCGCGATTTGCGCCGGTTGCGTCGTTCGAACAGCACATAATTTAAATATTGTATTAAGGGGTGAATGGCCTATGCTGCTCTACGTACGTACGGAACGCTTATTGCGAATTGCTAATATAGCACAACTTTACGATGTCGCGCAATAATCAGCTACGTCATTGGCGGAATTTTGAAGTATCTGTACCTTGAAATTCTTCGCAGTCCTTGTTGACGCCTTTGAACCAGCTGCTGAATTGGAGCCCATGTTCTAATGTTAGAAGCGGGACTTGCTTGTAATCGTTTTATATGGCGCATTTATGTAATTTGTTGCTAGATCGAATTCGCATGGTGACGAAATGGCAATTGATCGGATGTAAACAGTTGCTGTTTATGCTAAATAGATACATTTTTGTTAATCAATACGTTGGGATTATTCCTGTGAGTTTTTCGTGTCACCGCTAAAGATCTCTAAATCCAGTCTTTTATGCCAACGTTCATATATTCGCTCTTTTGCTGTTGCAAGCTACATTAAATTTATTATTCCAATATTGTTTCTAGATTATGACAAAAATACATTTATCTAAGTTTAAACCTGCAGATAATTATTCAATTAACAACATGGTACCGAAGTAAAAAAAAAGTGTGGTAATTGAACTTGATTTTTGACAAAAACGACATTTTTGTCAAAGCCGAGTCGAGTTAAAATTAAAAAGCGAACATAAAATGACAAAATTGAAACCAAGTAGTCATATTAATCTACGCATACTTATTACTATTTGAAAGGCTGTCTGCATTCAAACGAACTACGAAATTAAAGGGATATCGGTCAGACACTATAATGATGCGGTGATTCAACTCATAAGGGTTAAGAAGTTAGAACATACATTCTCCCGCGCATAGAAAGCATTAATATTGATAGATTGTTTCTCCCAACAGCAATCACAGCTTGGGCAAATATAGACGGCCGTGCTCACCAAGTTGAAACTACTGAAAAATCCGTAAGCTACAAATGAAAGTTATTGACATTCGCGCATTGCGGTCTTAAAAGTGAGTTTGAGTTATTTCGTTTTGGTGCTTCTGTTTTACGGTGCGGGTGACAATTTTATACACTTTGGAAGCTGGACCGAGAGATTGTGAAGTCTCTACTATGTAGTATACTTCTGCTTGTCGAAAGGACGGAAAAATTTGACAGCTCTGTCCTTAATCACGATATAATTTGGGGACCCTTAGCCCGAGAGATTCAAGGATTAAATGTTAAAACCTTACAATAGATATAATTGTTTCAATTTTTTAACGACCAATTTTTTAAAATTCTTATCTTGCAAGTGATTTCTAGTAAATTTGCTCTACTTTCTATAATTAGCAGGAGCGTTTTAACTTGTATTTTATAGTACTTCTCAAAATATATAGCGTTCAACCACGAAACATTTATTCTTGCTAATGTTCTTTGTGAATCTATTTCTCTCAACTTCGTAACCTTTGCTCATTTTTAGAGTAGTATCATGTTTATTTTATTTTTTTCTAAATTTTTATTTTATTATCACTTACATTTAGTATGAAACTTTATTTGCTATGTAAGTAACCGAAATAGAACAGATGTTAAATACGTTAATTTAAAATGGTACGTTATCACCCAGCATGTTTATGATTATGTTTCCCATATTACTGAGGACGTTGACTGTATGAAATATTTAAAAGTCCATGGCGCCAATATATCAATATTGTTTTTTTTTTGTTTGATAATTTACAGGAGTGCGTGTCTTCCACAGTATTTGGCGGCGTTTAGCGGCCATTTTACCGTCTGGGTAGTAAGCGGTCTTCCACCATCGTTGGGCTTCCGAGGTGTCCCCCCGCACGGCCGGTATAGCCGCGCTGTAGCGTCGCCGAGATGGATGGCGGCGGAGGACCGTTGGAGCCAGGGGAGTCGGAGGATGGCCCGGGAACACTGATGGCAAAATTTCTCGCTCTAGAAAATGACATGGCCACAAAGCTAGGAGCGATACACTACGATGAACGGGTCCGTGTAGTCTATAACCCATTGGAATATGCCCGCCAGACGCATGAGTACTTCGTGCGAGCGTGTTTATCAAGGGGCCGACCAAAAGTTGTTTTTCTTGGAATGAATCCTGGCCCGCACGGCATGTCACAAAACGGGGTATGTATATTTGCAGTTCAAGTATCATGGCTCTTTTATGAATGAATATTGTAGGGTTTGGAATATAGTATTCTGTTTCGTCCACACTAGCTAGTTAAAGTCGATTTTAAAACGTAGTGTATGAATTGGCGTTTGCATGATTACGTCTAGGTTCTAGTACAGGGGTAGAAAACTGTTCGCAAAATATAATTCTGGAATGTGTTTTCATTTTTCATTTAAAATATAATTTTCAGTAAGCTTACGAGCTTAGTAATCATAGAAGCCCAACATAAATTATTATATAGAGCTTTATTCTACTTAAATGTAGACGAATATGAAGCATATAGGTTCCTGACTAGTTACTACTCTTCGTCTTCTATACCTTTTACCGTCTTATATAACAAAATGTCGTTTAATTTTTCACACTTGTTTCCACGTTATAGGTACCATTTGGTGACACGGTTCCGGTTCGCGACTGGTTATGCATACGTGGTGAAGTACACAAACCCTATCCTGAACATCCGAAGCGGCCCGTCGATGGCTTGCAGTGCTCGAAGACGGAGGTGTCGGGTAAGCGTTTCTGGGGTCTAATGAAGGAACTGTGTGGCGGTGATGCCAGCCGGTTTCTTCAATCATGTTATGTGCACAACTTTTGTCCACTAAGCTTTATGATGGAGAACGGACGGAATATCACCCCGGACCAGTTGCGAGGTGAAGGCAAAAAGAAACTTCACGAGGTCTGCGACGAATCGCTGCGGGATGTTCTTGCCTTGCTTCGCCCCGAACTTGTTGTTGGCATCGGGAAATACGCCACGTGAGTATCGACGCATACTAAGTTTGGCACAGTTTTCGCTGAAATGTGTTTCATCATGGGTTATCCGCTGTATTTTCATGTTTTTAAATGCAACTTACTCAAAAGAAATATTCGTGGATTCTATGTTCGTCAGCTTGTTTATCAGGTTGCCAGAAATCACTGTTTACTGGCGGATCCTATATGCGCATTTATTGGTTTGCACACCAGGTGGATTACAAATGTAGCATACATTTAAAAAAGACGAAAGTAAAAAGCTGCCATGTGATTACTTAGCGAGAAGTGTACTACATATTGTATTCATTCTGGGGCGACATGTATAGGGAACGTGCACAAACAGCTGTCTCACGTTTGGAGTCTGCCGGCGGCATGCGTGTCGAAGGCATCGCACATCCGAGTCCGGCAAGCCCTGAGGCAAACCAGGGCTGGCATAAGCTCGCAATGCATCAACTTAACGGAGCTGGTCTACTTCAGTAAGTAATCCTATTATTCTTATTATTATTGTCATTATTACTGCGTATATTTTTAGGTTACAAACGTTGATAACAAGAATAGCTTTAAGTGACGTTGGAAAAAGTAAGTCATATCTTAAAATTTTAGACGGCTTGGCTCTTTGAAATGACATACTAAGAGAGAAACATTACTTAGAGGATGCCATGGTAATGCATTCATCTTCTCTCAGCGAAATTTTTTCGACGAAATAGTCGATTAGGCTGGCTGCAGCATGTAGTGATTGTTCATGTGCAATGCTTTTGACGATTATATCTTTTAAGAATATACCGTATATTGCTAATATGTCAGTTCCAAAAAAACAGAACTTTTGTCTGTAGATTAGAGAGTATTTCTTTACAGTTGATTCACTGTATCAGATTTATCTAACATCGTTCATGCACTTCGTGTTTTTCGTCGTACTTCATTAGGTTGGTAGGCTGGTCCGTCTCGGAGGATTTACTTCGAGAAGCAGCTGAAGAGGCGCAACGTATCACAGCAGGTTAGTCGAGTTTATGCTCAACATTTGGTATTCAATATTTATCTCATCCTTAGTGCTGGATGGTCGTTAATTTGCTGTGCAGCTAATAAATTATACGTGTAACATAACCTTCATTTGTGGGAGATCTGGGGCTCACGCTGAAACTGTATGACTGGCCACTGGTCATCTTTTGTTCAAAAGTTTTGTAATTCGGGTTGCATAAAAGAAGTGTTGCTTACCATCTGCCTGGTTCATTGTGAGTACTTGAATTATGTACGTATCAGGAACTAGCCCTGAACTATTTAACTGACAGTTTATGGTGATACTGGAGTATAGTCTACAAAGCCATGATAATGTGTCACTTTCACGTTTCCGTTTATCCAACTTCGAGAGTGCTAATTTTATGAAAGCATGCGATTAAGTCGTTTATTTCAGTTCAGCAGTTTATTTGCGCAATGCTTAGTCGGAAGCTAGATCTTCTGCTTCTTCCACAGAGTTTTCCGGGACCTGTGCACTGTTGAATCTTCTCATTTAATTTATCTGTGCCCGAAATTCGATTTGAACAGTGTATACAGCTAGGTATCAAAGATGTAGTGTTCGATATATTAATGTTAGCAGTATTAAACTTTTTGCTATACACAGCCAGGGTCTGCCAGTGACATTCTCTATGTGTTAGTGAGATCTACCGTAAGAAACCTGAAATTTATTGTCAGAAATGTTTAGTTAGTTAGAAATCTATTGCTTTATTGCAAACGAAGCTTCTCGCGTTGCTTGTGTATAATATGACAAGGTAAAGTGAAAATAGGAATTGTTATATTTGTTGTTGTTGTTATATTAGTTCAGGTTTACCGGGTGATAAACTATGTCGATAAAATGTGTTACCTAAAGGTGGTCATTTGTATGCTTATACACTGAAGCCTTTTTTTATTCATATGAAATTAGTAAACATTCTATTAAACTGGACGCCGCTGATAGCATTATCATGCCATCTCAATGTGTCTAATATCAATGTTTTTCTGTTTCAGCAAAAATTACTCGTTCTGGTAAGTATTCGATCGATTTTTCCAAAATACTTTATAGATTTTCTATGTAGAAATCTTTTGCTAATTTTTTATAAATTTAAATTTTACAAGTTTCCAGCAAAGAATTGCAAACCCACCTTTTGTAGATGATTGCTGGCCCCTGCTGTCAAAAGTAATTGTGCAACCGATTAATAAAAAAGTCATCGTCAGTTCGTTGAAAGTACATATCCCTCTCTACCATTCCCTGATTATATTGCAATTCAGCTGGTACTCTAAGATCACTTTAAGTCCATATTCAATTAATTGCACTTTATACTGTGTACTATTACAGCCAAAATTAGTCGATCGCCAACAAAGCGACGTTCAACAGACACTCCTGCAGGAGGCGGCACGAATACCGGCAGTGCCGCACCCACCCCTGCCCCTGCGGCACCTCCTTCAAAACCCACCAGAAAAAAACGATCTTCGAAAAGCGCCGACAGTGGAGCGGCTGCAACCCCCACAAACACGAACACAAATGCCCCGCCCCCTGCGCCAGCGGGCGCTTCCGGATCTCCTGCCAACGGTGCCACATGGACCCCGTCACCTCAGACAACGACTGGAGTACCTGCAACGCCAGAGGCCAAACCCCCTACCTATGATAATTTTAATTCTGGTAAGCGGCATGTCACACATACACGATGTTTCAAATACGCTTTTCCATAACCTAGAAACTTGATTATGTGGAAGGTAAAAAATGCAAAAGACGCAGGAAAATGGAGGCTGTTCTTTTTATTGACTGGTAGACACTCTTGTTGCTTGCTTCGTTTGCACAAGAGTAAACAACAGTTCTTTGCAGTGTTTTATATGCATAGTCACCAGTAATTTCCATATTTATTGGCATTGTTCTGTTGAAATTGATTCAATGTATAATAAGATGCTCAAAGCATATAGTTGAATGAAAACATTTTTAAGGGTTTTATTGAATTGAGTGTCCAGTTTCTTCTAGGAAAAAAATACTGCGTATTGTATTAATTCGAGTTCCATTTTTTGAGAAAATAGTTTTAAAGAAACCGAAAGGTCAATTATTTTCGACGTTCGATTGTATAAATCTTACAGTCAGTTTCTTCACAGATTTGAAATTTGAGATTTGATGAAAGATTTTTTTGCGCGAATATCCAGCCAGATCATCAAGTGGTACCTGTGGTATTACAGTGTTAAATGTATTTTGCTCACTAAACTCGTGAGGTTAGGCGGCATCCACCTTTGACGACAGATCGCTTCGTGTAATAGACACTCATGTACATGTTCTATGATTTGAGCATTATAATATCTTATATTGTTATTAAAAATTCCCTTTTTAAATAATAAAGCCTCCTGCGAAACGACGAAGCTTATATGAATTATCGCCTTATTTAACAGCGATGTCAATATGTTCTTGTTTTCGTCTCGTTTCGCTTTCAGCAGCAGCTGGTTTTGCAGCAGCCGGCCTTGCCCCACAGCTCGGCCACACGCTCTGGCCACAACATCCACAATGGCCTGCTGCTACGGCCGCTCCGTTATGGGGCGCAGCACCAATACCCTATTACAACGGCTATACGCCATACGGCTATGATCCTTCAAAACACTGGGCAGCAGCGACCCCGAACGCAGCGACTCAGTTTCGTTCACCCGCCGAAAACACTGCACCGAGTTGGAACTGGAGTCCATTGGCCTTCCCGCCAGGCGCCACAACAGCGTCTACTCCACACAAGGACAACCTCACCGTTGCAGGCGCCCCTGGCAGCGCTCCGTCGCCGTACAACGTCCAGGCACCGCCAGGGACGATGCCTTCCGGGCCAGGGGGCGTGGTGAACACCGGTTATGGCATTCAGCAGCATGGCGGAACGCACGCCGGACAGCCGCAGCAACAGTTGGGGCAACAGCTAGCCCCGGGCCAGCTCGCCCCCCAGCCTAATCCAGCGCACATGGCGCATCTGCAGTTACCCGCGCAGGTGTTCCAGCCCACGGCTGCACCAACCTCGGCCGCAGGTGTTCACCCGACTCAAACGTCTGTTAGCGGAGGTGCGCCCGTTTCAATGTTCTCGTCACCAATGGATCTAGCCAGCCCAGCCAATAGCTTGGCATCGATGCAGGCCGTACAGGCGGTTCAGGCAGCACATCTGGCCGGAGGTGGCGGCGGAGTTGGTGTTGGTGTAGGACCATACGACGCGGCTGCAAACGTCCGCTCGTTAGCGAGTAGCCACTTGTATTCGTTACAAGAAACTTAAGAGGAGGCGACTTAGGACAACAAGACAAATGGAAAACGCATTGCGTGACAACAAATATGGAGTGACCCTTGAAAAGCAGCACACATAAATGGGCACAGAGCAAGAGAGGGAGAGGGAAAAGAGGAAGATGTTGACGCTGAAAGCAAGGTGCAAGCCGGACGCGAGCGAAGACGTATCGTATCAACGAGAACACTATCGTTAATCGGGATAATAACGGCTGACGCAGAAAATAATGTTAGGAGCAGATTGCGACGAAGAGAAGGATAGGAAGAGCAGAAGATACAACGGATGAAGAGAATGAAGAGCGTGAATCTATAGATCTACATTTAACACGCACACGTACACACATACAAACACAGGATGACGTTAATCTGACCCATTTAACATGAACGTGACGATAAGGAAAGAATGAAGGCGAGATTCGTATTGGGGTCCGCCCAGATCGAAGACGCCAATTCAATGGTTAGCGGCCATTTGAGTGACGAGCACACTATGGTCAAAGACATTGATTCGTTTTTAGCGTCCCGCAGAGATCTTTCTTTTTAGCTAAAGACAGAAACACATGGCGACCACAACAAATTAATACACTTCGTGTGTTTGTGCGCGAGAGGGGGAAGGGGGAGGGTAGGGCAAGAGAAAATGGAAGCAGGACCTAAAAAAGCTAAAAAACTAGTGTTTGTGTGTGTATGCGAGCGTAAACGGAGCCTAGTTATTATATTATTATTATAACTATAATGGATTATTATTATGACCTAAAAGATTATTATTGATGATGATGACTATTACTAATGTGTTACGTTACACAAGGAAATGAAGAAGAACATGAGGGATAAATGCGATGTGGTAAGAAACACCAATGAAGTAAACAGACATCCCGCGAGCGCGCACACACACACACGCAAGATAACGACCACACAAATGCAACAAACACCCTCCTATATATATATATTAAAAAAAAAACAATGCATGCAGCATATTGTTAGCTTGGCAAAGCAAACGAATTGAAGTGCATGGGTTAGTTGAAGATATTGTCAGGATATCGGGTGGGAAGGAGTGCTGGGCTGGTAAAAATGTATGCAAGCATTAAAAATAGAGGTTGTTTGGCATCAAAAAAATGGGCGGCAGTAGCTGTTTCGGTTGCGTAAAGGTACAAGCGATAATGGTACGTGGCCAGTTGGGTAAAATGGGAGGGTAAAAGGAAAAACGACAACGATAAATAATCATAATAGACAGACAAATGTTACCGTGTTGTATGGCGGTTATAGCAACAAAAAAATGAAACTATAAAAACATGACAAATTAAACATGTTGTTCATTGATCACCACCCACGATATATATATATATATATATATATATATATATATATATATATATATATATATATGTGTTCATCCCTCTTATTCATGACGTCTCACACGACAAAAATACGAATTTTTGGCGAGCGAAGGCTGAAGGCACACATGACAGCAGCGGCAGCAGCCACAAGAATAACAACGATGATTTTCAAGATGACGAAAGAGAAAGAAAGAAGATATAATACTAGTATATAAATTAATACTATATTGATATTATTAATAATAGCATTATTATTATTAGTCGCGTTAAACACTTTACTGGCCAGACGACGCGATCTCGTAACTATAAGAAAAATGATGATTATAATAATTAATAATGATAATTAACTGTGAATTATTACATTGGAGACGTAAGAATGGACAATAATGTGACGGCAACAATGAAAATAATTCGACTGTAAATTGTGCAAAACGAAAAAAAAAAACAGTGAAGGTTAACAACAGCGCAACGGAAAGAAAATGACATGCAACAATAAATCCACAGCGAAGGTAACCACGACAAAATTACGAGCTGGAGTTACATTAAACACCAGTAGATCAAGGAACGTAAATAATACCGCAGCGATTACATAGCCAGGTGATGTTAGGGCAACATGGAGGAGACAAACGAATCACTATCATATACAGTGTATATATCTACATGGTGAAATGCTATTGAAACGACGGAAAAACAGACGGAAAGATCATCCTATGTAGCAGAACGAAGGGTGCCGGTCAGAAAAAGCGCCCGACGTTGTCATACAACAGATAGTCGTGCGGTAAGAGGAAATTTGTCGGTGATAGCAAGATAGGAACAGAAGAGGCAGAGAGCGGTAGGAGAAAGCAGACAAAGATGACGAAGATTGTACTTGTAAAATGTATTACATTTGTGTGTAATGTTACTTCAAACAATTTATGTATCTATTGTACGTTAACTAGGGTGAAACTAAACTAAAAAAGAAACTAGGGAAGAGTTAGAGTTGATAAACGCAACCCGCCAGGTGGCAGAGGCCAACAACAGATGAAAATGACTAAATACTACATATAAATCTGTAGGATTCGTTCTGCCAAACATTTCGATATGGCAGCAACAACAGTAACAAACAGTAGGACGAAACACCAACAAGACACGTCATGAATACCATAAACAATTAGTATTAGAAACGCAAAGAACGTGAAATAACAAAGGGCGGGGGAGGCACATATTATACAAGCACTTTGATAAAGACATGCACGGTAGCAGACGACGTGCGAAGATCAGCGAGAGTAGTTTTTGGGGAATAGAGTAGGGATATTTGAAACAGAGACTCTGACGTTTGGTGAAACGCAGAGAGGCATGCTACAGTTGTGAAAATACTGCAGCAGTACTGACCACACGAAACAAGGAAAACACGTGCAAAGCAGACAGCAATACACATTACGACATAGTCAACAACTGCAACGGTTACCATAATGGCAAGAACTACGGACGACAACAGCGCTAACAATGACAACAAAACTAACATGAAACCATCTTTCATCAGCACCGCGAAAACAACAATACACGGTCTATTGGTTCTGACCTCTAAATTATATGTGTAGCATACCTGTACAAACATTATACATTTTGCAGCTAAATATTTATACTGTCTTATGATGATATATGCAATAAACTCATAGTTGCATTACGATTTCGCCGATTAATGATTATTATTATTATTATACCATCGAAATAGCTATAATGATTTCGTAGCACCTGAATCCTATCACTACTGACCGATCAATTGTCGCGTTCGAATATAAACTGTTAATATGTATTTTTTATTTATTGTCTAAAACGTCTAAATCGCGAAAAAATATATACAGCATATATTTTTATCTTGGGTCACTGCCAATTTCCCAAAAATGCCACGGAAACGAAAAAAAACAATGTCCATTAGAGAAACGTATTGTAATAATAGTAATGGCAGTTGAAAACTAAAATAAAACAGAGGCAGGCGCTAACCAAGACCAACCTCGCATGAGCTATCCCAGATTTTTGCTTATCAAACATTTAGGCAGTCTGTTCTGAACACTTCAATGAAATCATTTGGGTAAATATTTGGATAATAATAATAACAATCGTCTGACTTCAACAGAAAACAATAAACCATAACAACGAGAAAATGTCACATTTCGGATAAAATTGATTTCTCAGATTGCAGCCATCCGATTTTCTATTTTTTTTTTTTTTTTTTTTGCCATATCTGCTGGAGTTTTTCAGTAACAATAATAATTCTTCTCGAAAAGAAGGAGCGTATCTATAATGTATTCTGTTCTTCAACCCTATTATATTTGCACATATCCCACCTGAATCTAGGGTGAACCATAAGTTTGTGTGAATATTTTTTTGAAATGGAAGAGAAATGAATGTACATATACGACTAAATAACATGCGTGTATATACAAGAGGAGAAAAGAAAATTACAGACGAGCTTATGAATCATCCTAGCAGTAAGTGTTGTTTTTTGAAAGGAGTGAAAGAAAAACGTTTCTGTGCATAATATCATTACTACGAACAGATACACACACATACATTACTCACAATAATAAGTAATAAATCATAGCAAAGTAATGATGGTGACAAGAATGAAACGAAACTGCTTTTGTTTGGTCTCAAATAGAAGAAAAACAATTAGGACCCTAGCAACTTGACGACAAAATATAAAACGACAGCCAACTTTGCTCTCACAAGTAAACAAATGGCCTTGTTAATACTTTCTAATATAATAACGAATCATTAGCGCTGCACACGTGTATCGTTTCAAGATAATTAGAATTGTATGCTCTGTGACGATACGGGCTTGATTCAAGCGTGCAGTATGCAGCAATTTTTCTCGGGGTAACAACACATTGTCCGCCTGGGTAGGTATATCTTGCCTCTATTTGCTACAGTTCTAATTGGAATTGATCTAATATAAAGCAAGAAAGATACAGTGTGCTCAAAGACTATGTGAGCCGCTTAACACAATGTTGAAACATGTATTGTTCGCTATTGATGGATGGACAGTTGTGCGGCTTATAGCAAAAATTCGTTGTACTCAAAACACTATCTGCCCGAAAACAACATCTTCACCGATATACGAATGCACACTGGTTGTCCAAGTGACAAAGATTCATTTCGCTCTGATGATAACAGAGAATCTCAGCAAGGTGTATGAGGCGTGCGGCTAGGTATAATCAGATCTGGCAACGACCTGTACAACAAATAGACATCGTTAAAAGCACGACATTATCTTTGGCACGATTTAATTAGAAGATGATAACTATGATTGATGACCATGTGTATGATGATAACATTTGACAGAGTAGAATATCGACAGTAATATTAAACGATTATCAAAACGGGTATGTCACAATAATAACGAATATTGTGTTGTACTATGTTGTTGTAAGGCCGACCAAACTTAAGCGCAGACTCGGTGACTGGTAATACAGCCGACTATTATTTCGTACGTTGAAGTTTGGTAAGCCAATTACAATAGAGAAGTAATAATGATTCTACAACGACGCTGCAATAGTGTGAAACGATTATTATAGTAAATAGAAGTAGGGACTACTACCAAAAAAAAACAGTGTTCAGTGGTTTTTTAATGGAGTTCGTAGTTTTCGAGTGGAGCTAATAATAATAATGGTTATATGATGTATATTGGATGCAAATGTCATATTCTTTTGGCACCAAAAACTGCTTTAGTGTGTGAACTGATTGTCGAGGCTAAACAACTATGTAACCTCTTCACACACACACGCCCCCACATACACACACACAGACACACACACACACACACACACACACACACACACAAACATGCTCACACTTACATATGTATTGTATGAGTTGACCAGCGAGCGTAAGAAAGCGAGATATGACTATATGCATTGGAAGATTGATATATGGATGCCATTTTAAATAAAAGCAGAGAGAGAGAGAGAGAGAGAGAAGGAGTGAGAGAGACACACTCATACAAGAAAAAAATACCAGCGGGCCACTGCTCTACACAGAACAGAATTGAGGTTTAACACGAAATAACAGGTCGAAAGCGATCGTGATCCACCTTCTGAAGGAGGAAAAATGTATGTATAATATTCAGGACCGTGAGTACAATGTAAATATATGCTGCATGTGTGAAATAAACGAAATTCTAAAATTTCAATATTTTCTGTCACTAAGAAAACGGTAGTAGTCAACAAATAATGGAATCGTCGACGAATCTCTTACTCGTGCGTTATGTCGGTGCTAGGTAGACCTTGGAATAATGTGTATGTTTATTCTTAATTTACTTAGTTTAAGCCACACATGAGATGAATCCATTCGTAAATACGGTCTATTTCTAGCAACTTATTAACTTGAATATGGACAGCCCAGAAGCCGAGATTCTTTATCTTAATAACACGTGAGACAGAAGCCGGCCGGCTTCTGCCATAATGGCAAGCTGCCAGGTCATTGCTGTGGCATCCTCGATAATGTTTTGGTGGTTTACTTTTAAGATTGACCGCTCTTAAAATCGTTGCAAACGACTAAATTCAACCAAAAGTTCAGAAGCTTTTACAGCATACTTATTTATTTAGACATAGCATTTTTATAACATAGTCAAAAGCCATTACAATCGACATTGACTGCTCTTTTCAGTAGGCTAAAGATCCGGTCATTGCCCAAGTTGGGTAAATACCTACTTCTTCTATTTGATTTCACGACAGAAACACAGTATTTGAATGGTTCATGAAAAATGTGCAAACATTTACTGAGCTTCAGGCTCAAATAAGCACCATGATTAATCAGTACAGCTGAGTAAACGGTTTGTGAAAACTAACATGCTCTATTTGAGACTGTTAACAACGCGTTAGCCTTTAATCGCCAGATCAATTTGAACTAAAGTAATTAAAAAGATCTATCTGCTTGCTCCTCTATGCCATATTCTATGCTACAGAATGACGACAACATTAGACATCGTTCTTAGTTTCATAATTCGAGTGAACGTTAAGAAACACAATCTTTTTTTCAATCAAAGGGTATCGTCTGTAACATTACTTCTATTACGTAATATCAGCGTATCATAAAGCGGGTGAAGCATGACACAAGCTTCTCCTTCCTTTAGGAGTCTCATTTTATAGACTACCTGAAATTGATCTTTGTCATTTGCTGCTATTAGCTTTAAAAAAAATCTTTCCTCCCGATAATTATCGTTTCGCCTCAACCTGCAATTGCTTTTACTGACCAGCCGGTATTCCGGCAGTATGAGCTGGGGCAAAACCTCTAAGACGAGGCTGACAGACACACTAAAGACGTCATCGTAAGAAATCGCAGTAGCTTCGATCCAACGTGTGCCAGTTTTCTGGGGGCAATAAATACAACCGGCCCCAGTGCCACTGTGCAGGAAAGGGTATACCGACAAAATGGCAGAAAAAACAGTTGAGAAAACGTAAAAAAGCAAAGCTGAAAAGTGGCTTACGCGGAGAACCAGCAAGAGAACTGACACTGCGATATATTCCCATTTTTTAGGCACTCGAGAAAAACGCACACGAGTCAAAAAACACCACGCATTGACCACTGCTTGAACGAAGGCCGCTTGAGGAGATATCGAATAGAACAACGCCGATGCAGTTACACCACCGGTAGGTAAAGACACATTACAGCGCATGGCGCGTGATTTGTATCAGCGGTTATCGCGCTTCGGTAACACCAACTGGAGATGCGCGTGCAAAAGCGGTAGCGGCACGAAAACGCAACAGTTCATCGTGATTCATCGTACTGTTTCGTTCCATAGCGGAGAAAGAGTTCAACGAAGACGGAGACCTAATCGCCGCACAGGAATTAGCGAGAGAGAGAGAGAAACGAAAAGCGGTGGACCACTCTTTGTTTCGATGCTGTTGATGTCTGTAGCTATAGTGCTGTCGTGGTAAGCAGAGTTGTAGCTAGTCGTCATTAGACCCAACTTTGGTCGTCGTGGCTGACCGTTGACAACAGTCAAACGACAAAGGCCGAGTCAGCTAAAAGGAGCAAGAAGGCTCTGCGAAGGATCGTGCTCACTGCGCCGAAAGCTGTTACTGCTGCTGTTGTTGCTGGATAAAACCACGTGGAGTTGCTGGCACATAGTTGACCGCGCTTATTCGTTGGGTGCTAGGTGGTTGGCGAACCTTGCTTATTATTAGAGCCGCAAAACTGAAGTGACGTGCGCGTTGATTTCGGTGGCGTATAGAAAGTGTGAACGACGGGGAATAAGGTTAGTGAATAGGTATAGCCCGAAGACAGGTTTGCGCCACTTTGTTTACCGCATTCGTCTAGTTTCACTGTGATTTTAGTACGCTGTCATTTACGGTGGCAGTACAATTGCCGGTGTTCCTACTTACGGCCTATCTATCCACCGGTCAACCTCAAGGAAAATTTTGGACGGTTGGCGATATCAAAAAATTACTGCATTTTACAGTAGCGCTATAGTGTTCATCTACTACACAGGATTGGTTCTCTATAAATCTGCAAAGGTACAACTAGAGGTCCGGCTTCACTTGTTTTGTTCCAGCTTTGCCGATCAGGTTTTTGCATTGCTGAATTCTCAGCTCTGAAATTTCGTTCGTTTCACTTGCTAGCCACGTTTATCTTCGCCGTCATTCGCTTGCACCAGGTTTGATTCATTATTATACGTACTCGTTTTCGACACTTATCTGTGAAACCTTTTTATGCTTAGAGTACATGCACGCACTTCGGTAACTAGCTGACGACTCGTGGAGACGCTCTTTTCAATCATGCAGTGAATGGGTGGATTTCTATAATTTCAAACGTATGCATGGTTCGTGTTTCAACGATAATATGCTAATTATGATAATTGACGATAATAAATGATACGGTGGAGCGGGCAATTGGCTATCGGGTGTTACCTCCCGGCTGAGACAGAAAGGGAGGGTTGAGACATAGAAAGCTCATCGAGCCAGGCGGAACAGAGCACGGTTCTTCAGCCACTTATAACTGAGCAGTGCCTTGACGCAGGTCACAATCTTTAAATTAGACCCATTTGTGGCAAGCAAAAACGATGCTCTTATTTGTTGAAGCGCGCCATCATCAGCAGATGATCGAGGAGTACGGCTGCAGAGGAAGAACAAGACATTGGTGTACGTTAGTTGACCGGGCAACATAAGTTGTTCATTGATATCGAACCATCGGTTTGTTGGTACGAATTCATGCTCCTAACAAAACCGAGGCAGAAAAAGAGTTTGACAGAGCACGATCCAAGCAATACGACGGACGCGTTAGAATTTTCCATACAGGTAGCTAGAAATGTATGTGATGTCTGGCATTCGATGACTATACCTTTTCGGTTCTCTAGTTGCGACTTCCGAATCGTCATCCCGAATCATCATCATCATCTGCACGCGGTGGTGCTGTTGAACTTTTTCACTCTTTTTTCGAAGTTACTTGGCAGTTAAGGGGAGCACCTGCTGCGTCGAAATTTCCAGAACGAAGGGAACAGAAGCATTTTTTAGCTGCATCTTTTTGGATTTCGCAGCATTTATGCTTTTATTGTAATGAAATTCTACTGATTTCCAAGGCGCTACGTTTCAAGCCTTCTTTTGGCCATACGCGCCCGATATTAGTCTGCGACGATATTAGTTACTGCTTTGCCTCGTCACTGTGCAGATTTTCTTACAGAAAAATAAAGCGTTAGCAATTTTCTTTTTATTTTCTTCTAACTATCGTGTACTATGTAAAGAGCTAAGATCTGCTTAAACTTTTCAGACAACCACCTTTAGAGCAACCGTACTTAGATAATCATTACCCGTAGAACTGTTGATTACTCTGAACACATCGTCTACTGATTCCAGTTATGTAACTGGGAAAGGCATAATATTAATCTTTGTTAGACTTGATCTGCCAAATCTATAAGTTCATTTTCTTCTTTCCAACCCGTAATTAGCAGATGATTTCAGCATGCATTACGCTTTTCTGTTTTAGCATCATTTTTATTCGTGTACATCATGCAACCCTGTTTTCGCTTAGTCCCGTGCACGCCAACTCCGCAACAGAATGTATATTAACTAGCCAGGTAAGAAGCGTCAATCGCCGAAGCTTATTATCACGATGAATAAATTATCTCTGGAACAATGTACCGTAATAACAAAATGTCGACGAACCAATACAAATGATACACGTTACAAAAAATGCCTGGAGGTAAGAAATGAATTTGTTTGACAATCCGTTTGCTTGCTTGAAACGTTGATATTCGGTACATGATGCTTTTTCAACACTGTTTGGTGCGTTTGCAATACGCATTTTCTCATTGCGATGCCAATGCTGCTATGATGTGTGATGTATCGTCTTTTTAGAAATTGATTCGTAGATGTTCCTCACGAAAACTGGGAATTATTAGTCTAGTTATTCGCCATGGTAATGTGGGACTTGAACCTCAAATCGAACTTCAAATCGTAGTAGTTGTTCCTTATCGTGAGCGTGTCACATGGATCATACTTGTCTACCGTGGCATGTTTGTATTATATAAAGCAGACAGTGAGCAGGGTGACTGAATCACTGTGCCAGGTCACCACAACAAAGGCTGGTATACGCCGGACTGGCGGATGTCGATTTATTTTGTCACCCAGCCTAGTTCAAGCACGAATCAAGTCCAAAGTTAGGCAAAAGGATAAGCGATAGCACTAATCTGTTTAAGTATCAATAACTCACAGGTCGCGCCAGAAACCGCATTCGCAAGAAGAAATCACCAGCTTAACCAAAACGACCGAAAGCGGTAGCTTTAGTCAGGCAAAAGAAGGACGAGAAGCCGAAAGCTGTGGCTGGCTAATGCGAAAGTGAGAACACCCCACTTCGTACACCTCAGTGTACAGCTGTCACTCGAACTGTCATTTCGGGAGGCGAAAAAAAGGCTCTGAACGACAAGGGCCTAACCCGAAGGATATCGTTAATTTCCTGTGTATCCCCTAGACAGATGGATTTTTGCAATGACACAAAAAAATAGGAGTTGAACTACACGTTTAAAGCGTAGGGAAAAGACGCCTATTGCCGGTAGAGCACAAGTGGCGAAAATAATTTTTTTTGCCGAAAACTAGAATTATTATTATTACCTTCATTCCTACACCTGACAGCTGGATTAAGACAAAGATCTATTGATGTTTCACGATGACCTGTCAAATTATTGATGGCAACCTAAATCTTGCAGGCAATAAATGCGCATATATTATTCTCTATGAATAACAGATTTGTAATTAGAAAAGTATATGCACAGTGACTTATTATAATAAACGTTTAGGTGTTTCAGTACGTAATGCAATACAGTTAATCGGCGTACAAGTGTACTGAAAAGCAAAAAATCGTTTTCTAAAATTTCAAGCAAACCTATATGCTCAGCTTGTGTATTATGACACTTTCCCTATAATCCGAGCTCTTAAATTGGAAATGTTTCTTTACAAATATAAATGCTGTAGAGGCATTATAATTTTAGGGAGCTTCGTAATGGATATTGTGATTTGGCCAAGTTAAACTTTGGCTGATAGAGTGTACGTGAGGGGGAAACATCTGTTCGTGAATACTGTGATCTTGCGTTAAATTGTCGATCGTAGGAATAGACTCGCTAAAGATTTCATAGAGCGAGGAGTCAGTGGTTAGTTAGCGAGCTGATAGCTTACTGCATCCTTTCCTTTCCTTTCCTTTTTAGTCTTGACTGACCACTGTAACGAACAAACGCTCGACACTCGGTTGAAAAAAGTAACCTAACCCTTTGACGTAATGGTTAGAGACCAAATCCGTTTGCGAAGGGCTAAAAATCTATGTGACGATAAGGCTAGCTTCGATGAAAGCAGATTGTGATTTGACGCAGTCAATGACGACCTGTTCAAATGCTTTTCAGTGGTCCCTTCACTCATCAAACAGCGTTATCTTTGTGAATTGAGCAAACGATTTGAGTCACGTCTCTGGCAGCTATGGAATCAGCATGCTATCTGGTACCAGTGGTCGTTGCGTCCGTTATTTTATCGTTGAAGAGAAAGACGATAGAAAGACGCCAAGTGAAATAAGCTCTAGGCTTGTGTAACGTTGGAGACGACCTGTCGTCATGGGGATCTGATGATTTACGGTTTGTCGATAAATAACAGATACACATAATGCTAGTAATTTTACATTCATATGGAACCGAATTGTACTAATAAGGGGGTCAAAATGAATACCTCGAACGCCGGCTTACGCGCATGCAAAATCAACCCAATCAAACCCGTCTACGTACACGTAATTCAGTTAACCACTTCAAATTTAGTGCTCTGCTTTAGGACGATTAATTAATCTATCGTAATCACGACATGATAAATCCTAGGCATATGTATATTACAGTTATTAGTTATATTAAATTTAATTGACGAGGATCAGTAAATTACCCTGGTGTATTGTTCGTTTTGTTGATGTTGATGTTGATGTTTAAAACACAGTATTTAACCGTCGACTTTTATTTCAACTAATAAAGTTATGCTTAATTTCTGAAAACATCTTTTAACCTACAGCTAGTTTACTTGCATAAATATCTATGACTCAGTCAAATAATGCATCAGTATCTCATAGCCAGAACATATGATAGAAACCTTTCCAACCTCTCCTTTCCTAAGCGCCTATAACGCAGATTAGGCTAGGAAGTTTCAAGCGTCTAAAGGTTGAAAAATATATGCATTATGAAAAAAAAAAAGCCTTTATGAGCAGTGAGCTTATGGAGAACGTGAGGAAGCGAAGGTGAGCTGGCGTCACGGCAACGATATGAACCTATTCGGCCTTTCGTCTGTGTGTCAAAGGCATCTTCGTGCCGAAATTATTGAATGCCCAACTTAGCGTTTTTCCTCGTCGCTTTTTGCCCGTCAATGCTCACAGACATAAGCCTACTTATTTTATTGTTCTTCTTAATTGAGCCCGACACTGCTAGTCCGACGATTCTGTGTAGATGTGCCGTCTCTGTATATTCAAAAAGGGTAATTTTTTCATGAAAAGCCTATCGCTATTGCGGAGAGAATGTTTCAAGTTTACGCGAAATCTGGGGGGTTTTATATCGTTTCAGTTCAATGCTTGATATGATTTTTTTTTACCTTTCTAGCCGACCAGCAGACACATCTTCATGCTATGTGGATAAGGTCCTTAACGAATCCAACTATTACGGGCAAAAATCTTCCTTACTTTTTCTAGCCGGTTAGCAAACGCACTTCATGAAGTCCCTAGCAAATCCAACATTCCCCTACATTATCTATCAATGAGAACTGTTATTTTAAATAATTAAATCTGTTTTTTCACGTAGCTAAAAAACATAGAAAGCGGGGATATCAATGACTGATTTAGTTATGAAACTCACTGGATAGAAATGGAGTAAAGGAAAGAGAAAGTGATAAATATGAGATAGACGCTTAGCCAGCAAGGACTCGTTTGTACCGTGAGTCCATTAGCCTGGTGTAGTCTCGCCCTGTCTACTTGATCTTACGCTATCCCAATCCGAAGGCCAGTGCTGACGCAGGCTCTCTTCGATGTCCACATAGGCGATAGCTAGGTAAGCAGTATCAGCTTTCAGTGACACGTATCTCTGAGTCCATTGCCTCTTTGACCCTGCCGAGTGGTTGCCCCTTAACTCGAGCGTTTTTGAACACACCGTCTTTTGGTCTGGCTGAGGATGAAATTTGTGTTTTTGATTGATTACTCGGTACTTCTCCATACTGATTATCGTTTCTATACCGAACAGTGATGGGTACCTGCTTAAATTGTTAAGCTACGAACTAGCCGTATCGAGGTGATCAATAAATAGGAAATTGTTAGGCTATCAAGGTCCTATATCAATAAAACGACTCGTTGTTTTACCGGCGTACGGCGTCGAGATTCGCAAGTTTCGTCAAAAAATATGACTTATAAATTCGTTGCTGAAAAAGGTATTGATTGCTCACAATATGGTAAACCATTGTAAGATGAGCAGCATTAGTAATTTTACTTTATTCAACCCATTTTTGATAATATACAACGAAGTACGTTTAAATCTGTAAGCGGGTGCGCCTGAATGCCTATGTGGCAGCAATTCTTGTGGACAAACAATGATCTTGGAAATCACTTGGCCTATAGAAATTGCCACTGATTTTAGATAAAATATTGAATTGGGTATACTTATGTGATTGTGAATGTGACAACCACTCATCGTGCAGCAAAAACTTCCTTTAGCTCTTGGGATAAAAATAGCATAGGCTATGTATAAATAGGCATCTGTAAAAACAGAGGGGGTCGATCAAAAAACACTTATCTCCTAAAATTATTTTTTTTTTTAATAGTTCAACTATAGTAGCTAGTGTTCTGCTTTTAGAAAAGATGCGCTTTTACTAATTTTGATTAAAATGTGACTCTTTACGAATCGTTTATCTATTAGTATCAGGCCACTAAACTTTAAGCTCGTCTGCGAATCATATTCTAGCATGGGACGTTTAAGTTAGGCAAGTTAGCTTTTTACACACCATAGTTATACGGTGGAAATTTCCTAGCATGCTTTGTGTAGCATGGAGTGAATCAATTTCAATAATTTTTTAGGTACAAAGGAGTATTGAAGCATGGCATACAAGCGACCTCGGGCACGACTTGTGCTTGAAGATGGCACAGAGTTCGAAGGCATTGCTTTCGGAGCAACAGATAGGCATAAATCGGGTGAACTTGGTACGTGTGAGACCGACATATTCAGAAAACAATAATATTAAGTAAAACAAATAATAATGTTTAATAATAAATATATGATAATATGAGTACTGTTGAATCACTAGTTGGAATCACCTATTTCCGAGACGAGTTTATACACCCTCTGGCTGTACAACGTTTTCACTGTTTTCTCGTAACTGCGATGTGTAACACTTAAGAGCTTCGCGTTGCCCTTATCACTTGTTCAGTTAAGTGGTTTTCAAAAGGTCTTTATTCTGGAGTAGTTAAATAGACGAACCTAACGTTTGAGTCCACGTCACAATGGCAGTATTTCAGACTGGTATGGTAGGGTATCCGGAATCATTAACCGATCCATCATACTGTCGCCAACTTCTTGTACTCACCTATCCTTTAATCGGTAACTATGGAGTGCCCTCCACTACCGAAGTCGACAAGTTCGGCATTCCCAAGTAAGCAGGCATTATCTTACTTCGTTTTGTGTCATGACAATATGCTTATTATACTATAAACCTATGACTTGATCTCCATCGCGTAAGTTGAAATCATCACTTCGAGTAAATCGTTCGCTTATATGCTAATCAGGGATTTCGACATCAATGTATGTTTTTTCATTAAATGATGTCTGGCAGATTTATGGAGTCAGGACGGATCTGGGCATCGGCCTTAATAGTATCTGAACTGACCGAGGGCTATAGCCATTGGAATGCTAAACGCAGCCTTCACGAATGGATAAGAGCGGAAGGTGTCGCTGGTATAGAAGGAATCGATACTCGTCATTTGACGCAAATCCTTCGCAAAGAAGGATCGGTACTGGCAAAGATCATCATCGGGGATGCGGACGCATCCGATCAAGTATTCGAAAATCCAAACAAGTTCAACCTCGTTCGTGAAGTTACGTGTAGCGCGCCTGTGACTTACAACTCGAAGGGCTCGCCTCGCATAATCGTAGTAGACTGTGGCTTGAAAAACAACCAACTGCGATGTCTCCTCCGTCGCGATGCCTGCGTGACGGTGGTTCCTTTTGATTATGCCATTCATGAAATGAAGGGTAAGTAGATAAATGTTCTCGCATGTCCTAGACTAACTGTTGTAGCAGTGAAACAAATTGCTGAAAGATTGAGTGGATAAAGAGATTTAGGTCCTTAGAGTCGAAATAAGCGTAGCGATTTATTTCATGTACTTGGTGGGCGGGCACCAATTAGTACATTCTGATGTATCACGTATTCCCCTTCGTGTAAATAAGAATGTTATTAAGCTTAAGTTTTTATCTACGCACTTATCAATGTCAATCTCGTTTAACAGCCTATGTGTACTAATGAAACTCAATATGCATTTTTCATTCGGTTCGTATTGCTAATAGTAAAGCCTTTGATTATCATTTACAGAACAGGACGGCTTATTCTTAAGTAACGGTCCGGGTGACCCAACGATGTGTTTCGAGACAATTGAGAATATTCGCAAGTTCCAAGCTAAGTTCCCTATGAAACCGACGTTTGGTATCTGTCTGGGTCATCAGTTGTTAGCGTTGTCGATTGGCGCTAAAACTAGTAAACTAAAATATGGTAACCGTGGCCACAATCAGCCATGTTTGCACGAGGTTACAAAGAGATGTTGTATTACATCCCAAAACCACGGTAGGAAGGCTTGCGTTCGTTTTGTACTCTCTTGCTGACTTTTATATACACTTATCCTGAAAATGGAGACACAATATTTGAATATGGGTTTGGCGTAGAGCGAAAAAAAAGCGTCTAGCGTAAAAGAAAGAGAGAATGTTTTGACTCGAATAATTTTATATGGTAAATTAGTCATACATTATATGACTAATTTACCATATAAAATTCTAAATAGCTAAAATAAGCGTCATTGTATTCAAAGAAAACGTCTTCCCAGCAGCGTCCAATACTAATGCTAAGGTTAATCTTTTCTTCTGCCAGGATATGCTGTGGATGCCACATCTCTGCCAAAGGAATGGGAAGTTCTTTTCACAAACGCTAATGATTTCACTAATGAGGGTATCGTTCATAAGACAAAGCCATACTTCAGTGTGCAGTTCCATCCTGAGCATGACGCTGGTCCGTGCGATATGGAGTTTCTTTTTGACGTTTTTTTAGAAACGATCAGCGAAACAGGCGCCGCCGATGCCATTCCAGTTAACGAACGCATTACGGCGCGGTTTGAAAAACCACTTCATCCTAACTCTGTATTAAGTACACCTTTGGGTCAGAAGCCTCGTAAAGTTCTACTGCTGGGTTCGGGCGGACTGTCGATCGGCCAAGCTGGTGAATTTGATTATTCTGGATCGCAGGCAATTAAAGCGTTAAAAGAGGAGAATATTGAGACAATACTGATCAACCCGAACATTGCCACCGTACAGACGAGTCCCGGCTTAGCCGACAAGGTCTACCTGTTACCCATTACTCCGGAGTACGTCACACAAGTTATCAATGCAGAACGTCCAGATAGCGTTCTACTCACGTTCGGTGGTCAGACAGCTCTAAACTGTGGTATCGAACTCGAAAAAGAAGGCGTCTTTAAGAAATATAACGTGAGAGTTCTTGGTACATTGATTGAGTCTATTATCCACTCGGAGGATCGAAAATTATTCGCAGAACGAGTCGCTGAAATTGGTGAGCAGGTAGTACCTAACTGTGCGGTGTACACATTGGACGAAGCGCTTGCCGCAGCCCATAGGCTTGGTTACCCAGTTCTGGTGCGCGGAGCGTATTGTCTTGGGGGCCTCGGTTCCGGTTTTGCTAGCAATGATGACGACCTACGCTCCCTAGTGAGCCAAGCACTCGTGCATTCTCAGCAGGTTCTGCTGGATAAATCACTGAAAGGATGGAAAGAGGTTGAGTACGAAGTTGTCCGAGACGCTTACAACAACTGCATTACGGTATGTAACATGGAGAACCTTGACCCGCTCGGCATCCATACGGGAGAGTCGATTGTCGTCGCGCCGTCTCAGACACTCACTGACGCTGAGTACAATAAACTGCGTTCAACCTCCATAAAGATTATTCGTCACCTCGGCGTCGTTGGCGAATGTAACGTCCAATACGCACTGAACCCTAAAAGCGATGAATATTATATAATCGAAGTAAACGCCCGTCTGTCACGGTCCTCTGCATTGGCTAGTAAAGCCACTGGATACCCCCTGGCTTACATTGCTGCCAAACTTTCCCTCGGCATGTCATTGGCTTCGCTTAAGAACTCTGTGACGGGTAAAACCACGGCGTGCTTCGAGCCTAGTCTCGACTACGTTGTTGTAAAGATCCCACGTTGGGATCTTGGGAAGTTCCCTCATGTCTCTACACGCATAGGGTCCTCGATGAAGTCCGTCGGAGAAGCAATGTCGATCGGCCGAAACTTCGAAGAAGCGTTCCAGAAAGCGATTCGTATGGTCGAAGGCGAACATGGTTTTGATCCGTATGTGAAGGCCGTTAAGGACGCTGACCTCAGGTCCCCAACAGACAAGCGCATGTTTCATTTGGCAGCCGCTCTAAAACAAGGCTACACGGTTGAACGCTTGCACGATATCACTAACATTGACAAATGGTTCCTCTTCAAGATGCAGGGCATTATTGAGATGTACGGTCATCTCGAAACCTTCCGAGGCAGTGATAACCTGGGTCGAGACATTCTGCTAAGGGCGAAGAAGCTTGGTTTCTCGGACAAACAGGTACACTGTTCCCTGTTCTCCATCACCATTACCCATAAATGGGTTCCATAGCTACTATATATAATATTGATTGTCATGTTTTGGTTATTTTACACCTCTAACGAGTTACAAATCACTGCACGTGTCAACATTTAACATCTACAAGTCAGTCTATGATCGTTGCCGCTTGTCTTTCTATGGCTATTATCATGAACCGTGAACTAATTATTCTTACGGTTTCCGTTATCAACTCCAATTATATATTAATATAATCGTTTATTGCATGGCCAATTTATTCCAGATCGCTGAATGTATTCAAAGTACAGAATTGCGCGTTCGACGAATGCGTGAGGAGCACTCTGTCACCCCGTTTGTGAAACAGATTGATACGGTGGCTGCCGAATACCCTGCAGTGACCAACTATCTCTATCTCAGTTACAACGCAAATTATCATGATATTGCCTTCGAAGTAAACACTGGTCCGTCGACTTCGCAGGTGTTCAACCCGAACTCTATAATGGCAAGTAAAACTCAACTCTGTTCGACGATATACGTACGTTTATTGGGTTTAAGATTTTCAATTAGCAACTACGGCATTACCTTATCAAATAAAACAGGTGGATGTGCGTTTCCCAAATTGTGCCCATATTTTCGAAAAAAAAAAGTGCAGCGTACGAGTGCAATACTATTACTGACTCTCTGTCTAGGTGATTGGTTCAGGCGCTTACAGGATAGGCAGCTCCGTCGAATTCGACTGGTGCGCCGTGTCCTGTATACAGGAGCTACGCAAGCTAAACAAGCAGACCATTATGGTTAACTACAATCCTGAGACGGTCTCAACTGATTTCGATATGTGCGACAAGCTTTACTTCGAAGACATTTCATTTGAGACAGTGTTTGACATATACAAGCTCGAGCAGCCTGAAGGAGTTATTCTCAACATGGGCGGCCAATTGCCAAACAACATTGCCATGGATCTGCATCGACAAGATTGTCGCATTCTCGGCACGTCACCCGAATCGATCGATAGCGCCGAAAATCGCTTCAAATTCTCCCGAAAGCTCGACTCTATCGGCATTGAGCAGCCTCGCTGGAAAGAGCTTAGCTCAATAAAGAGTGCTATGGCCTTCTGCAACGAAGTAGGATATCCCTGTTTGGTAAGGCCCTCGTACGTCCTCAGCGGTGCAGCAATGAATGTCGCTTATTCACACACCGATCTTGAGCGGTATCTGGGTGAGGCATCAGCTGTAAGCAAGGAATACCCAGTAGTGATATCGAAATTCATTCAAGAAGCAAAGGAGATTGACGTTGATGCTGTGGCGCAGGACGGTGAGCTACTGGCAATTGCTGTGTCGGAGCACATTGAAAATGCAGGCGTGCATTCTGGAGATGCCACGCTTGTGACGCCTCCCCAGGATCTTAATGCAGAAACACTGAATAAGTTGAAAGCGATCGCGCAAGCTATTGGACAGGCGCTTTCTGTATCTGGTAAGTATTACGTAATATGTCAATCGGGACAAGAATCTCATAAAACAGATAACTCATCTGCTTTATGGCATTCTTGTTAGGCTGTTCATTTAATACCGACCAAGTTTAAGCGTAAATCCGATCTTCAAAATCGAGAACTTATCTGTCGGGAACCATCTCTTTTTTGCTACATACATCTATTTTTCTATTAAGAATAATGACTACTGGTTTATGTCAAACAATCATTGCAGTTAGTTGGAACTCATAAGTACTTACAATTCTAATTTTAGGTCCATTCAACCTTCAAATTATTGCAAAAGACAATAAACTTAAAGTGATTGAGTGCAACGTCCGAGTATCGAGAAGCTTTCCATTTGTCTCGAAGGTGCTGGACTGCAACCTTGTCAGTCTAGCCACCCGAGTCATTTGTGGGCTTCGCGAAGACCGTGTGGATTGCTTAATGGGCTGTGGAAAGGTCGGTGTAAAAGTACCGCAGTTTTCTTTTAATCGTCTTGGGGGAGCGGACATCCGTTTGGGTGTCGAAATGGCGTCGACTGGAGAGGTCGCTTGCCTTGGAGAGAACCGCTTCGAAGCCTATTTAAAGGCGATGATCTCTACCGGCTTTGTTGTTCCCACAAAAAACATCTTCCTCTCACTGGGCAGCTACAAACATAAGAACGAGTTGCTGCCTAGCGTGCGCACCTTAGAAAAGATGGGGTACCGCCTTTATGGTAGTCTGGGCACGGCAGACTTTTATCAAGAGCACGGAATAGCTATTGAGCCTGTTACATGGCCATTTGACGATCTCGGTCTCGGCCGAACCACCGCAGCAGAAATGGGCTCAATTGTCGATTTTCTTGAGCAGAAGGGCTTTGATCTGGTTATCAATTTGCCTATGGAATCTAGCGGGTCTCGGCGAGTGTCTTCGTTCATGACACAGGGATACCGAACTAGGCGAATGGCTGTAGACTGCGCGGTCCCTCTTGTCACAGACGTCAAGTGTGCGAAGCTGGTTGTCGAGGCTATCCGGTTGATTGGTCATGCCCCACCACTTAAGACCCAGATTGATTGCATTAGCTCGCAGAAGATAGTTCGCCTTCCTGGTCTTATTGATATCCACGTGCATATGCGCGAACCGGGAGCTGTACATAAAGAAGATTTTGCAAGTGGTACTGCGGCTGCTTTAGCTGGCGGTTTTACTATGGTATGTGCTATGCCAAATACAGACCCTCCGGTTACTACTAAGGAAAATCTGTCGATTGCGAAACAAACAGCAAAGATTGGGGCTCGATGCGACTATGCTTTATTTGCAGGTGCCTCAAGCGACAACGTTAAGACGGTACATACAATTTCGACGCAGGTTTGTGCGCTTAAGATGTATCTCAATGCCTCGTACGGCCCATTGCTTCTGAGGTCTAGCTCGGACTGGGTTGCCCACTTTGACAATTGGCCTCACAACGTACCGTTGTGCATTCATGCCGAAAGAGCTACGCTGGGCTTGGCATTGCTGCTAGCCAAGAAGCGGCCTATACATGTGTGTCACGTTGCCACGGAGGAGGAGATCCTGGCGATAAAGGCGGCCAAAGAACTGGGAATCCCAGTGACCTGTGAGGTGTCCCCACACCACCTCTTCCTCAGTCAGGCAGAGGCTAAGGCGGTTATTGGCGAAAAACGCTCGACCGTTAAACCGCCACTGGCGACAGAAAGAGACGTCCAAGCTCTCTGGGATCACATGGACATGATTGATGTGATCGCCACAGATCATGCGCCTCATACTCTCGAAGAGAAGCAGAGCGACAATCCTCCGCCCGGCTTTCCTGGCCTTGAGACTGCTTTGTTTCTCATGCTGACCGCCGTTAACAAGCGTAAGATAACCCTCGACCAGGTCATTGAGAAGATGTACACTAACCCCAAGCGAATCTTCGGTTTGCCAGAGCAGCATGACACGTACATTGAGGTTGACCTAGATCGAGAGTGGGTTATACCCGAGACACTCCCCTATTCCAAGGCGAAGTGGACACCCTTTGCGGGGATGAAAGTTTGCGGACAAGTGCGAAGAGTTGTACTTCGCAACGAGGTAGTTTATGTCGACGGTAGTGTTCTTGCCAGTCCTGGTTTCGGCGAAGACGTTTTCTCGTCAACGCCTCCTAAAGTTAATACAAGACCAACACATCCGACCGAAGGTTCACCTGGATCCAGTGGCGTCACCAGAAGGCCCCGACTTGATTCGGTGTCTATTCGTAGAAAAGACTCTGTCAAAGCGTCGGCTGAGATCTACAATCAAATGTTTGCCGAGCTCGGCCTAGAGAAGATCGACAATCGAGATAGCAATCGTTTTCAAGAGCCATTTGGTGTCCCATTTATTGACTACTCGAGTATCGCTAGTCAAACGCCTCTAGTTCTTTCAATAGCGCATCTCAGTCATCAATTGCGCGGTCGTCATGTGCTGTCTGCGGATATGTTTACAAAAGAACAACTGCACGCAATTTTCGACCTGGCCCAACAGTACTCGGTGGCAGTGCACAAAAGTCGCCCACTTGATCACGTCTTGCGCGGCCGCGTCATGGCGTCGATTTTCTATGAAGTTTCGACCCGTACACAATGCTCGTTTGCTGCAGCGATGCAACGACTTGGGGGCACTGTCGTTCATATGGACGGCAAGACGTCTTCTGTTCAAAAGGGCGAAAGTCTAGAAGACACCGTGGCGGTCATGTCTGGGTACAGGTAAGTAGTAATATATGTTGTCGACAAAATTGCTCCATCTACTTAGGTATCATCCACTGGCAAAGTTCGCAGCGATACATACTGATAAATTCGAAAGTGCTTCTGTTCATGTTCATCCACTAAAACTAATTTCCAAGCATAGTCGACCAATGGCAGCTCCCGAGACGAACCATTAGCACATAATCAACCGCTTATTATTCTAGTGACATCGTAGTACTTCGTCACCCAGAACCTGGTGCGGTAACAAGGGCCTCGTTGTTTAGCCGGCGTCCCGTTCTCAATGCAGGTGATGGTATCGGCGAACATCCGACCCAAGCCCTCCTCGATATCTACACCATTCGAGAGGAGATCGGTACCGTCAATGGACTAACAGTAAGTACGAGTAATTAATAATAATAATAGTGACAATCATCGCATACGTGCGCCCCATTCTGCCCGCAAACAACAATAATAATCGTATATACAGGTAGAAGGTTGAAAGCAGGTATTTTTTGCTAGCCGACTCTACGAGCTAGACTGCCATTGATCACAATATCACATAGTATATCGATTGCTTAATATAATATTCGTCCACAGATCACGTTGGTCGGTGACTTGAAGCATGGCCGTACAGTGCATTCTCTTGTGCGCTTACTTTGCCACTACAAAGTTCAGCTACGTTATGTTGCCCCAGCTGGCCTCTCCATGCCAGCTCATGTTCGAGAGCTGCTTGATGCTAAGAACGTACCGCAAACGGATATGCATACGCTTGAAGAGGCCATTTCCGATGCCGATATCGTCTATGTAACGAGAATACAGCGTGAGCGCTTCACTGACGTCGCCGAATACGAGCGAGCCAAGGGTCAGTTTGTTATCACACCTCAGCTGATGACTCGGGCGAAACGCAAGATGGCCGTCATGCACCCGCTACCCCGACTCAACGAGATCAGGTATGAGGGGATAACAAGCGTTCTTCAGATCCAAATGGTGTCTTTTAAAAAGAGTACTACTGGACATTTTTAAATAATGCTTATACAGATCAACATATTTCAGTGATTTACCATTTCGGACAACACCTAGTAGCCACTAGGTTTAACTTTACTTTACATTTTCGAAATTTTATACATAGCAGCGCAATAAATTGGTTGATATATGTATGATTTTTCAATATAACATCAATATCCTGACGACACGTTTTTTTTTTTCTACATTGTTCAAATATTTTCAAAGACACCATTATAATTTTTGTGTTGTTTCTGTCTTACAGTCCTGAGATTGATAGTGATCCGCGTGCGGCGTATTTCCGGCAAAGCGAGGCCGGAATGCATATCCGCATGGCGCTTCTCACAATGGTTTTAAGCTGAACTGCCAACGCCATGATGATCATAATCTAAATACTGTTATCTGAAAATGTATAAATGGATATTGCATCATAGCCGCTTGGGCTTTTATCCAGAAAACATGAGTATAGTCCATAGCGTTGGCGGCTGCAACCTGTGGGATAGTCCCACACACAAGACGCTCCCATGGGAGACCTCGGCGTTAGATCCAATAAGCCCATTAATGAGGTCTGCATTAAGCTTCTAAAAATATTTCAAGATAGTTAGCAAGTAATCATTAAATAAAATAATTTTAAAGATCTGTGTGTTTTTTTTTTTTTTTTAATATATGTTAAAAATAGCGTTTATGCTTGGAAAACGTCATTCGTTGAACATACATATTGATTTCAATGAATACGTATTAATTTCCAGCTTGACACCCAAACATATTTCCTATTAAGTGTTCAAATCATCTAGGGCCTATGATCAATTCCCTGACCCGAGTACGTTTGAATACAGGTAAATTCCGCAAAAAATAAATTATTCTAAAAAATTCTGAAAAATTGAGAAATTTTTAGATCTATTAACTTTAGTGAGAATTACAGAAGTTTCACAACATAGAGATGTGCGCAACGGGTACACGTATATGGTACTGATCGTTGTTTGTTCATTTTTATGTACAGGGAAAAAATTAGTTGTGACTCGTTTTTTTCATTCGCAAGCACTACGAGTACTTTTATCGAGATAGAATTTTATCTGATTCATACCAGGATTAGCAGTCTACAGTTGGGTCTGTATCAAGATCTGCGATAATTCAGTTTAAACAATCTTATCTAGACCATTCGAACGGTCACTATATTAATAGAAAAGGGATTGATGAAGGGAAATGCGTTATTTGCTAAGACCTGTTCAAGGTCCACTTATCCTTTCAGGTATGCCAACACAGCTCTCGCTTCACAAACCACAAGGCGAGTAAGAAACGCTGTTGTCTTTGCCATTAGCCTCAAATGTAAATCAGTACCGAATCATCTGTATCTCTATCTTCAAATGAAGGCAATTGGCTTCGTAGTAGTGAATGATTGATAGCTCGGATCCTGAATCCTGTACTTGATTGATGCAAGTTCGAGAAGAATCGCGGGAAAGAGCTGCTATAGCAGGCTGCTGTTGTTGTCATGACAAGCTCGACAAAGGTCTGGGAGAACTCTAATCTGCTTTTCATAAACGAAGCATAACTCTATACTATCAAATTTAAATAACGGCTATCAGGTAGGATCCACATACGGTCTTACATATATGTGCGGCTGTTACAGTATTATTGCATTACTGCGCCATCAGAAATTGAGCAAATGTGTACCTTGTAGTCCTTGTTGACCGTTGTTATTCGACCTTTGATACGTTGAGCGAAGGCGTATTTCAGAACAACTCAGTTGGATGTCAAATGATTTACGCTTAACCAAGAGCCAGCACGTGGAGACGGAACTATGTAATACTGCATTGGAAACATTTTTCTAAATCAGGAGTTCTCTAGTAACGAAAAGGTCAAATCGGGTGTTCCATTCGCTTCCCACGAACTCTTATGATCATTCCTGATTTCTACAGAACATACACGTAAAAACATTAGTGAAAACAGAATTTGTTGGATGATATAGCTGATTTAGTATCTGCTACGGCGCAGCTTTATCTACTTGTATTCGTGAAATCAAATCGTTGCGTGCACAATGTTACGACTGCTGGTAAACGCTTAGGTAGCAACGTTCGGACGCACGCAGTTAGCACTTATTTAATTTCTGTGTAGTTAAAAACAGCGGTAAGTTAATCAGATCTACCATTAATTAATATCCGTGGAAGTTAACGCCCTGTTTTGTGCTGCCAGCTAGTCGTCTCAAGTACTGCCTAACCGCTTAAATACGGAAAGTAATACAGAAGACCTATTTTGTGCTATATTCGATCCTTGTGCGGCCAGCACAAAATCTTTGTTTTAGCAAACTTCCACGACAAGTCCACCTGCGAAAACTGCACAACTCGCCTTACTGATTGGCTGCCAGGCAATCTGGAAGGACCTAGTAATTTTATCTCTTCTTTAGAAGTTATCTTGAAATTTTCTTTTCGAGTTACTAGGAGAAATATTTTAGGCCTCGGCAGCAAGCTTACCCCAACAATTAGAAGTTCTCTTCTGGCCAAGATCCAATATCCTGTGTTTGGTGTTAATACTTAGAATAGGCGAATATACGCTTATAGTACCCCAAACGAATTGCACCTAGAGAACTAAATCGTCTATATTAGAAAGCTATTCGATGCTTTGAGAGCAGCGATTTTTCTATATAGTTATTTATTTTCGGACGCCCGAGCGTAAAAGGCATAAATTGCCTTGATTGCCTTGTTACCTTTAAAGAACGTGTTTGCTTTTCGGCGTTAAATCTGTTATGGCTCGGGTAGTATAAAATTCAAAATGAAAATGGCTCTTTGAAAATCTAGCGAGGAGAGTCAGTGAAGATAATCACGCAGCAGCGTTATTGTCGTTGTTACTCAATGGCAATGAAATGCAGCCGGGTGCATATCTGGGTTGACCTGCATGATTTCGCAAAACTGCGCACATCCATGCCTACCTCGATCTTTTCCCCCACAGGCCTAACGTGACTATTGAAGCACTGAAGTGATGACGCTGTCATCGCTTGCTGGCACATTCTTGACGCATTATTAACATTACGGGTTTAGGCGTTAAGCCATGAAAGGAAAGCCGACCGGAGAACCGTGCTTCGTATAATGGCATTGCAGTAGGTACCATGGGTGGGACTTTTGGGATACTGCCGAAGGAAAAGATCTCTAACTATTTTCTATTCGAAACCTTTGACTATATAGACTCAGTCTAACAACGCGTCGGAATACGCTGGCTGATTCTCAAAGATGACAAAATTTTTGGGTATAATTCGTCAAGGCTCAAAATAGCCGCTGTGAACAACTCTTGGAGGCCTTAGGAAACTCTCACTGGAAAGGCGAATGGATGTTCGAGGACACGTTGCGGCCTATTTTTCCTTGAAGAAGCAGGCAGGTTTGTGCTGCTTCATTGCAAAGTGAAGTGAATTCTGTACGCCTATAGGCTCCAAAGTCGAGGCAAGTGTGCCACTCGTTGTAAACTTTTTCATAAAAAAGGAAGGCCGATGACCAATCAGGTGTGTTTTGTCATAGACGTGGGCGCATCGTAAACACGAAGTTGAGCAAGCTTTCAATATTAGGGACATGGCAAGTGGAGAATCAATTTAGTCAATGCGTCAGTCAACAGTTGGTTGTAGCTTTAAGGCCATTCTGAGTATCTGGTATACTATACAAGGGTGGTTTATCTTATATCTGGTATTAGCGTTACATTCTATTGTAACATTCTATTTGCACAGTATATGCTCCAAAGCATATTGTAGGCACCTGCAATTATTGAAGATCTGATCGGAGGTTTTTTGTCGGGGCTAACCGTCTGTGGGAGCAAGAGTTCAGCTTCGGATTGTATGGCCTGTAGTGTGCCGAATAGGTTCGATGACCGCGCATTCTCTAACAAACACAAAGATGAAGTGAGGCCAACAGCATAACGATGAATTTCGGCTAATCTTCAGGGCAAGCTTCTTGAGAAAAACGACAACTGCATTTAAAACATGTTAGCGGTTTATAGGATTATTAAATTGCGTGACCCTTACAATAATATGCAACTTCCAAAATAATATTCGCTAGATCTCACATGGACATTATATATATGTATACGAACCTTTAATAGTATCTTCAGCAACTGCTGTAATATCAGGGATGCCATATAAAATTGAGAATCAAGCAACTGTGGACGCTAAGAACAAACATGAAGAATGTGGATACAGAAGTTAGAGATGAGTAACTTCAACAATGTCCTCGTACTAGGTCGCTGCTCGGAGGGGAGACGACACCATGAAAAAGGTATCCGTTCTAAAGGAAATCTAGGTATTAGGGACTTAAGGCAATCGACATCAGCACACAAGAACGTTCCTAATTAAGCTATGCGTTCGAAACAGCTTAACTGTTCAGAGGATACTTGGATGAGCCTGATTTACCATTGACTGATGGCGCGACTATTGATCGCCACGGCTACGGTGGAAACAATGCAAACGATAACAATGATAGTAGCAGCGACAACAACAATAATCGTATAAAACTACCACGTTTCAAATGATTCTGAGTTTGAAACGTATATTAGAGCAAATACCCATATGACGGCAGCGTATAACAAAACCTGACGCATTTTAGTATGACAATGAAATCTCAGTTATTAGAAGCAATAATATTCGTCACATTTACATACAAATTTTTCATAGAGTCATCAGTACACCTCAAGCAAGCCTCGGTTTGAGTTCCGAATCCATAAAAGCTGCCACTTCACTTTTGGACAGTTCAATAGCGTTTCCTGTGCCTAGGCTAAAGTCAACACACCAGTCTGTATCAAAGCCAGTCAGGACCCCTCGTTCATTGCATTCAAACTCTTCCGGATTCAAACCACCCGCGAGGATGACGCCGGCGTTCCAAACAAGTGCCTCCATTATGTGGTGAAGACGCTGCGATTACAAAATGTGACAGTACCTCGATGTTGCATTGTCTCTGGGGGGATGATTCTGGGTAACAAACTAACACAGGGTCCGTAACCAAGTCGTTTGAAAATAAGTAGCAGTAGTAGCCATTTGTACGGTTTATTTTTTACGTCGAGAGTGGCTGAATTATAATCGAAGCTTGAATTCATTTGGTAAACAGCGGGGTGTTGCGAAGAGTTTCGAGACGTCTCACTGACCGTCCCTAACAGGCAGCGCAGTTATCACAAGAGCTAGCTGTTTTCGCAAGGCTGCGGTCATTTTTGTTGATAGAGAATATCGAAAATAAATAGTCCACTTAACGAAAACGTACATTTTTCGTATAACCCAAAATTCCGTGTTTTCACTTCTGAACGATACAACCGTAGGGTGACAAATCACCTCAGCATTAGGTCAATAAGAGCCTGAATGGATTAGATTTAATACACGTAGTATCAATCAATGAATTATTTAGAAGAAACTTATGCTGAATTTCGTTGACATAGACCCATGCCTATTCGACGATTGGGGCATCACTTACGACGGGCTTACTGCGGCGATCCACACGGGTTGGTAGTTTAAAAGATACCGATTAGAAAATACACGTCACGAGAGGTATCGTCTCTCCTACTTACTTGTCACACAAGTTGTTATTGTCGTTATTGGAAATTTGTTGTACATCTACCGCTCGCATATGGCTCATAGCAACTATTCAAGACATAGACTCATGTTAGGCCGTTGTGGTAAAAAAATGAAAACACTGCATTGGGTCTGAGCACTCCGAAGAACAGCAATAACAGATTCTGAATGTTCCGCTAACCAGCACCAATGATATTGGTGTGGGTTACGAGTGCGGAACGCCGATGCTCGCAAGCTACGAAATTTGCCGACCCCTCAGGACCTACTTAGATAGGCTAAGACATAGCAAGGTTATTAATGTAAAAAAAACCTGCTGAATGTATAGCCATTTGAGCCGAGGCTGGCCCGATTTAGAGTACAATTTACAAGCATACGACCCTCACTTATCGAGGTTTGAAAATCACCACATAGATCGCGATACGACAGCTTTGCTCTTTGGCTGATGTTGGGGTATCCACTTCATCCAGTTGTCGTCCCAAAATCCAGCATCGTCAGATAGAAAAACTCGGGTCACCAAGGAAAAAGTTATGTATAGTTGTCCCATAGTGGAAACATAAAATAGCGCAAAAGCATACGCTTCGACGTACATTATAATAACGCATAGCTTGGGTTAGATAAATTGTTCGTAGAACTTTAGTTATCATATATATATACATATATATATACACTAGATTCAGCTAATGAAATAGCATCTTCCTGAGTTGCGGACTTGTCATTCGTCCATAAAGGCGATCTCTATGAGATCCAGAGATATTGAAATTTGCGGCATCCGGAAACGTGTCAGCCAATATTTGAATTTATCCTATACAATCATTCAGATGGCGATACCTACCTCGTCTTAAGCACCCCACTTTAGTACATCGCGCTACTTCCGTTAACGGGTCACTGCGATCGAATCGAATCGATGAACGCCAGAGTGCCAGAAGATCTGGCTGTGAGTGCAGTACCAATTATATATATATATATATATATAGGCATAATAAAACGAGAGACAAAAACATTTTGTATATACGTTATGTTATATTTGTGGGGCGATACTAGCATTCAATGTCCTTCTTTGTACGGTTCGTGGCAGCTGCGAGGATCGCGTCGGTTGCCAGAGCGCTGGCGTCCACTGACGACGCTACATTAGACAGTGTGCAGGTTGAAGAGTGACGTTGAGTTTCGCCTTTATCGTACAACCATCGTATCAGCAACATCTCGCTATTTGCCAGGGGAAGTTATTGAGGATTCGGAAAACAACAAATTGTGGGTTTGTTTGCGTCATTTGACGATGGACGCAGGTTTGCTTAGAAACAAACCAGAAACACGTCGCCAATCCTTATTTTATGACATGAAAACTGCATCGCAATTGTATCACAAATATCGGTACATCTGGATTGTATCCTAATTGCGTACGGTGTTGCATACAACGACTGAAATTAAGCTAGAAACATCTTATGCGAACAGTCATTTGCGGTTTATATTAACGATTAATATGACATCAGGACTTGCATAGATTCGAAGTATTTTCGAAGAAACGCCTCAACAGGTATATAACGGAAGGCGCGGAAACGCAAACTTCGTTTCCGGCGTTAAGGGTAACAAAAGTAAACTGAAAGTACAACTCAATTTTTCTATGTAATTCCTGTCCTTAGAGTATGACAAGTTAATACTAAACATATACGCAAGCTGTTCTCATACTAAACAAAGGGCCAACTGCCTTCTGCTTCCCGCTAAGTGACATTGCAGAGGGCGGGCGTTTGTAAGTGTTTTGTATTTCTATTTTTCATTGAATGGATACCGAGACAGGTTTCTGCACTAAAATTAACACTGTATGTATATAGGTCACAACGTCCTATTTCGTTATTGCATATATAGGTGTGCGTGCATTGATGGAACATCCTGTTAATGAAAAAAGCCACACAAATCTGATTTACAGTAAGTAAAGTTACTGTGATTTCAGCGATAGTTGAGCCGTATACCAGTAAACTGTGAGAGTACGGTAATAGGTTTGTGATTACTATTTCAATGGCAAGTAACGTATGAAACCTTTTTACAAAAAGTAATCATTAGTGCGTATCTTGCTATTGGTATCATCGTATGAAAAACTGCATTTATTGAACTGAAAGTTGGCTGTGTCGAGATTTTAAAGGTTATCAATAAATGTTGGATACCTCTCCAATGGAACAGCATCGCAAACTGCGACATTTGATGTACCAGAGAGGAACGTTTACTCACTCCTATTCTCCCAGACCCATTTCGTGTATCGGATACCCCTTTACCGCAATATTAATATCAGACACTTAATACCCATTCATGTAACTGTCATGACTGCCGATCTATACTCCGAACCTTCATCGTTGTATTTACACGCCGATAGAGGGGTTCTCTGAATGTCTCAGTTTGTCAGCTGGACCTCAAAAGCCCATAGCGCTTCCGCCAGCGTTAAGTTAGTCGGCCGTTACTGCTAAAGCAATTGCAGCAGCAGTAGTTGATTCTTCCATAACAATAGTCTTAGTAAACCAACAGCAGCAAGGACAGGCTTAACAATGACAGCAACAATAACAACATCTCGTGTAGCCAGTTGCACCACTGGGGCTTTTGCGAATGATGCTACGCTTGCTAGCAACGTCGTATGGTGGTACTTACTGATGAACGAGCAAATTCGGCCCCAGCCACGCCGTTGGTGTGCAAGATTAGTTTATACATCGCGAGTATCTGACTAACCCGCCAAAAACGATTCGTGTGGTGTGTATTTGAATACAAATAGCTCAAGGATTGTGAATGTCTATTCATAATGGCATTCTAATTTCAATCGTTACTACTGGCTAGTCGCGACTGATGTTTTCATCGTTTTATTTTGTGTACAGTCGTCCTTCATCCCTGATTGATTCGATGTTTTAGCAAATGCGGTTACTCTTATCGACCCTTCGAAAGCAGCCACTGATCTCTACGCCACAGCTTGCTTTGGCTGTTGTATGGGTAGCTCGACCGTAACCGTCTATCATGAACAGTTCGAACGCATCCTTATTGACGGTTTAATTCGTTTTTGTGCCGACAGGCCCGAGCCATACATAGGCCAAGACTACCTAGCGAATGGCGAAAGTCTGCAAGCCTCGACAGGACATCAGGTCATCCGTAGCCCGCGATAGAGGCTCTATTACAGCTCACGTAAATGATGTTGTCCAATCGTCGATAGACTCGAGTCAAACAGCATCAGTGACATCGGTAACGTCTGTGCCTTTCAGTCAGTGTGGTGCTTTGGCATTATAAATTGAACTAGAACTCCTTGAGGCGGAAGGTATCAATCGTAGAAAAAACCAATTAGCTTGAAGACTTTCTTTATAGATACTTCCCTAGTATTAGGAGATGTTATAAGGTTCATACCCTGATTACGCTATTTATACTACCTCGTAATCTAGATAGGAAAGATTGCAGCTATCATCGACGAAGTTATGGTTCCGATGGCCGATTTGGTAACGCGTAGTACGACGGTAAGCTCACAGTCCATCTAGTCGCCTATACATCAGCCCCAGAAGAACATACCCAAATACGTTGGCTGTGGGGGATAGTTAAGCAATGGGCATGGCGCAGGTTGGGCCAATCTACTTTTGACATTGAGGAACGCTGAATTGGGACATCGGCAAACTTTTCTAGTTTCGTTATTGATACGCTGGTATCGCAGTTCGACTTAGTGGATTTTTTGCGACCGACCTCTTCAAGGTAGGGCTCTGTAACACATTTGAATGTTTTACATTAAACTTTTAATAAACTGCAAAAAAACAAAAAATAACAATTCATTTATTTTTTATTACAGTTTCGTTTGTCGTATGGCTATATCGTTTCCGAACTTTAAACGCAAATTATATGGAAGTCACTGCATTCTGCACGCTTTTATTGCATACCAGTTATATATGAAGGCTATCATGGCTATTTGGCAGAGAGTTGTAGGCTACAGTTCAATTTAGTTTAATGGGATATATCGAAGAAGGCCAAAGTAACTTGAAAATTTTCATTTTAGCTTCTGTGTCGCCATAACCTATTCAGATGATCTAGTTACCATACGTCTGTAAATGTATTACGTTTCGATAAGCATCATTATAAATCCTGATTAACCATGGAACTAAGATAATGAAGAACCGTGTTAGTTACACAGACGATTGAGCGCTGTCAGCTTCGCTTTCGCGATACGCACGACTTACCGCAACTTTCCCAACAAAATTCAACCTGTGCCATATTTGGACCATATAGTATAGCTTGACACCGATCAGAAAACCGCCATGGCTATCTTACGCTCAGCGAGTCGTGATATTTCAGTTAATCCGCGTGACACTGCATAAAAATAACATTTTCTCAAAGGATATCCATCTGGCCCAAGGTTTCATTGGTGACTTGATATCTTTGTACGAAATCAAATTAGTTCTCCACATCGCTTTACCTTAGGCCCACATAGCCCCATATTGTTTCGATATATAGGCTAGTTATGAAGATACCTCAGAAGATAGTTCGTACTTTGTAAATCGTTATGAGCTCCTATTGGACTACAGAATAGACGACTCCTCGGCAAAAAATGTTGTTGTTTTCAAGAGAAGAATTAGATGGCTTAGCGGCACACAGAAGCGAATCTTTTTCATTCAAATATAACATTAGTACTCAGCTATCTACATCGTGACATATGGAAGCGCTGTAACTGTTTTTAATAACCTCCACGCTCGTCTATACTTCGGCAAACGCTGTGAGAATACAATTCACAAACAATGCTAGCAACAACTCGAGCTACGACCCAACAAACGACCCATAATCGAATGACGGGCACAGTTATCCCTGCGAGTTCCAGTGGATGAAGCTTGGTGGCATTGACGGAGCAGCGGGCAAAAGATCAATAGATGCTTCTCGAAGAGGATGTCATTTGTGACCTTATGCAATCCGGCATACCGCTGTGTAGGGGCAATGCGGATGAGTTCATCTACACCGAGATATCAATACACAGAGAGAACCAAGATCAACCTCATCAGTCATATTGGAACCACTATCCTTGCAGGCAACCTAATAAACGCCAATACACCGTAATGATTCACCGTTCCTTAGATTCTAATCTGAGTCGGCCAGCTCGCCCCATAGTCACTTACCCGTTAATCCACCTCCGGTCATGTTTGTAAATACGCAGTCTCCAGCGAACCCACAACGAACGCGAACGCAGTCCGCATGCAACTAGAACTCCGACTGGGCAGTTATGTCGGCAAGACAGCCGACCTCCTCACCATACCCACCTCTACCTGAGGATGCATTTACTGCCTTAATGCTGCCCAACTCGCGTGAAACCTAAAACTACGCCTGAATCGCTTAGCAGCGGTCTGGCAACTGCGGCTCTCATGGACTGCCAACCTATCCACTCCTTGGAGATCCCTATGAATGTCGACACGCCAGCTGTCACCGTTGAACATACCTTCGGGACTGGGCAGTGTTCAAGTCAACGGCAGTAGGTAGCAATAGCCATACCCTGTCACCCAAACTGTTCTTCGGTTTCGGTACGGCGAAGCCTACTGCGACGAAGTCAGCAGCGACGATGGAAGAAAGCTTTCTAGTGAAAGCCTCCATAGAACAGAGCCGATACTGTCATCGTTAGCGTTAAGTAATGCGGCAGCCAGCATAGTCCGGAATATTGCTTCAGCACAAAAAGCCCATCAACTTACTACTACACAAGGAATCAATAATCAACGAAGTTTCGGAAGCGGGCAGCCACACGTGTTCTCGGCAGCGACAGAACGCGCTCAAAGCTTGTACAAATAGAGACCGACCCATTCAGCAGCGCCGCTTCCAGGAAGGTTCAAGCAACGCGACTGCCAGATACAGATGCTAACATTTACACTAATTTCAATGATCCGTTAGGGTCTAATGGATTTCTTCTATTAGTGGCAACGCGTCCAGTGTCGTCGGTAGGTCAACAGACCGTCGCCGGCCAAGCTGGAGCACTGGAGTCCAGCTGGTTTCTCAATTTCTAGCAGATCGAGCCGGCAGTAACAGCGACTCCACAAATCCCGCGTCGATGCTTCCAGAGGCCGAATCGAAGCGTTTAATCGGTGCAGAAAGCTCTGTCCGATCGCTGACTCCGGCACTCCAGGGCTAGAATTGCGGGCGTGAATCAGGCGTGACATAGGTGGCGCCCAGCTGTTGTGGAAGCGAAGTTGTCTTCTACCTTCAAAATCGCTATCATAACTCAGCTTTCGAGTTGGAGTGAGGAACTAGTACAGCGCAGCGAACTTCCACCCGTGATCTTTATCTGAAATTAGTTCGCTACTAATTAATATACACACTTTTTCAAATTCAGATGATTAGTTCGAAGTATGAACGCACTTTGATGAAATGCGGTCTACTACATGTTAGTGTATTTCTAATTTGAAATAGTCTATTTCAACAAAATCTATCATGAGGTACAATCGTAAATGTAAACTGGACATGTGTACATTTCAATAGATAATACAACGCAAATTTTCATCACTTACAATAGTCATTGTGAGAGCCTACTTCTCTGTATGGAGCCTATATCTATGGCTGGCGACGTTGAAGCTACCTGAGTTGAAACCTCGCAGCATCACGCCTGAGGTCGTATAGTCAGTTGGTTGTGTTTACCCTTATAGAATGCTTCACTTTAGATGGATATTTTCTGCACAGTGGTACGTTTCGGCGCAAGGTTTTGCAGTGGGGCAAATCAGATCACGTGGTGTTTTTCGACTGTTCCTTTCTACATGTACGCAATCATTTGTACGAAAAATCGGAAGCGACCCAATATGATTCGTCTCATTAACCGAAGTCGGGGTTTTCTTAGCTTTACCTTAGCGGTAATTTATTTTGTTCACGCTTAGTCGAGCACGTTGTATAGATTGTCGATAATTCGGAGCGATCATGTGCGCCTATGACACGCTACTATTATATAACGCACTTCTGTGTACTACTGCCTAGATTAAGGTCGTAAATGTTGAATCCGTCAGACATTTCCACATCGGTTTAATAGGAGGAGAAATCGACACAATTTCCTTTGTGTGCGCTATATAAATTCTTGATGCCTATACAACACTTCAGAACCTAAATACGACATATCCACAAAGTACCGTTGCGGAAGGCGCGTTTAGAAGTATGGTATTATTGAGTCCGGAAAATACGTCTCTATAGTATTGTAGCTACCATTAATGGTCTATTTGTTGTTTGTCTTGCCTTGCTTGTTTGTTTACTAAACGCGAAGGTGCTCATTGCTTTACCAACCTATGGGTTGCCATTTAGCTAGGAGATGGCTTAAGCAGCTTATGCTATGATAAAAATAAACACCGTATGGGACTATAAGAGTAAGTTCACCTCAAGTTAGCTGAATGCTGCAGCTGGACTAATACAGAAATTTCGTATCGGGCGACTGATATAGGCTGTCAGCTGCCGCTTGGATTCTCTGAAGGTTGGGCAATTTCTGGCTGGAGCAAGAATCATCCCATCATTTAAAGGTGCTTCGTTTTTAATTTCGGATTGGAAAGAAAATCGGATAGCGGATACAATCGTCTCACATATGAACACGTGTATGAATAAAGCTGTTTTGTCTACTCTAGCTATATCTACACGCAACTAACCCGCATAAGCATCGGTTTTGAGGAGGTACCAATACAACTTCCTCCTTGAGATTTGCTCATAGACAAAATAAATAAGCTTGTGAAAGTATATTTTTTCCATCTGGAAATTGAATAATGTTACTTGCGCACAGCGTGATGGGTCTTCGTACATCAGTGGTACCCGTTGGTACGTGTGCGCAAGCAGTAATTAAACGGAGCCGTTGTGACTCCTCGTGGCAGACTTATCACAGAATAAGGTTATTTTCTCGCTGTTTTTTTTAAAGCGGTTTTTCTATGACTGATCTAGCTTAATGACCTTTGTGATTTCATGACTTGCAGCCTCTGGCATCTTTCGGTTAGAAATTCACATTGAGGACAGTGTATACACGGGTACAACTCATTCCCAGAATCTCACTGAGTGAGCCGTCGACGTAAAGTTGATTAGCGTCTAGTTAACTGACGCTTGCGTCAATCTTCAGCTTGTAATGATGTGACCCATTTGAGAAGCCAAATCTCCGTGGGCTCGAGTGTTGCGATAGCCCAGCTCCGACGATGAGTAGCGCTGACAGCGCTAACAGAAAGAGCCCGCTTCGCTGAAGTCGCTCTTTCACCAGAAGTAGGTCACTTCGAGAAAGCAGCACCTGAAGTGCTGGATCTGGCTGATATGTGAATGAAGTCCAAACTCCTGAAGCACAAAGAAACAGAAGAAGTGTTAAACTTGGTTGCATGTGAAAACTGGACAAAAAACAAAACTTCTTATAAAATAATAAGAAATGAATTAACATTGAAGCGTATGATAGGCATGTACCCTAGATCCGCGTTTTTATCAGACAAAAACGAGGAACAGTTCACTCTGCTATACTAACCTTGTGTACAAATATTGCCCTGCTTTCCTTGCGCGTCGGCAGCAGTTCGCTGTAATTTCACCTCGCGGGTTATCTGCGGAGAATAAATGGTAGCGTTACTGAAAACGATGTATCTTGTCTGAAACAACAGCGGAATAGCTAAACCAGTATTTGTCTTGATCTCGGATCATCAATCGTATACAATCGAAAGCTCACCAAGTTAATGTAAAATGACTAACTTAATACTACTACCTATATTTACGAACCGAGATCAAGCAGGCACATCACGAAGAAGGTATTCAGTGCGTTGTTATGAATGGCGATGAATCCAGAAGGCTTCAAAATAATAGGTTGAAGTGTATTTGGCGACAAATGGACTATTTTGAAATGCTGTAACGAGCGGCACGGTAACAGGTCGCGCTATGCTCTATAGGCAGTGACAAAGTGGCCTACAGATCTTCAACTATTGGCTTCATAAAGAGCTTGGCTTCTTTTTCTTTCCCAGCTTGCACGTATACTTATGCATGAAGATTTATGTTTAATCTTCGGACAGGCATATGTGGGCTAAATCTGGTTTTGAGATCGCAGTTATTACACAGATCTCACTCCTACCCCTATTGGATAGCCTAATATTTTGTTATCTAAATACCCTGGTCCAAAATATAAATACGTCTATGCAATCTGAAAAGGGCAAACGAGGTAATCGATGTTGCCACGCAGCGTAAGACATTCACCAAACATACCTTACAAGCCATATAAATCTTTTATTTGTCAGCTACTCGGCAGTACACTTCACCGGTTTATCAAGCCACTATTCCTTCGATTTGGTGAATACACGTCAATCCGATTAAACTCTTTCGGTGGCGGTGTACATTTTCCGAGCAAGCTTGCAAACGACCCCCCCTCACGTACGAGCCGCTGTCACCCCACTACTTTTCGACTCGAAGCTCTGATGCCGGTCGCAACCAATTATGACTCGGCGCTTCTTCGAGAAGCAAGCGGAGATGCCGTTGCACTGCTTCGGCTCGTCGTTGATGGACTACTATCTTCCACTGGACTTTTCAATACCTAACGTTTGGCATGACTAATGGTTCTAATCGAATTGTAAGCTGGCAGATGCACACCGACAGGGGCGGCGTGGGAGAGCGACGAGCGTCTTGTTGGGCACGAAGGCTCATCGATCGTGAATCAGTCAGTAGTAGGGGGATTTAGCCGACAGGAAAAAAAAGCGCTTTTATTTTCCGGACTCGACCATCAGCCAGCTGCAGGAATGACTGGCTGTGTTTACACAATACGATCTACTTGAAAACGTCTACCTGGCGTTGCCTGCACGAGGACCGAAGGCTGCATGCAGAATATCCGCGAATTGACGTAGCTCAGATAATTGGCGTTGTCTTTTTTCTGCTTTAAAATAGAATGATGTGGATAAAACGATGTAATATAAAACGTGTTGAGAGCTATTTCGTTGCGTGGTCGTGAATTTTCGAGATCTAACTTTTTTTAAATTTTACTTACTTTCATAAGTTCCCTAAATAAGGTATGGTGCAAGCGGCTGAAAAGCCCAACATCGGCGGCCGAGTCTGGTTAGGAGTTGCACGAAATAGCAATGATAGAGATTAAGATCTTACAATGTATTAATACAATGCAAATACGTTTTTCATACTATACAAGTGTACACCGGCTTGGGTAGCTACCCTTTTGTTTCTTAGAAACTGAACGGTTTCCTTAATGAGTGCCATTTGCACAAGTAATCCGAGCCTTGAAAAAGATCTCGAGGCTACTTGGACAAACTCTACGATTAAGGTTTAAGCATGACACCTCATTTCGATTACAAGGCCAATTTTTCCACTATACACTATATACTATACTATATATAAGTTCTTATGAATGTCTACTCACCTGTGGAGGTATGGCACTCAGATAACACCTAGAAGGCGCCCGAGTCTTTGGTAGCAGGGCAGCGGGCCCTTGAATGACAAGGCATACTTCAGTCAGCACCATTGGAGTCTTGGCCTTTGCTGTTTGCTTTTCATTTTCCCCAGTTTCTTCCGATTTTACAGGCCACAAAAGCATCACCAGCTGAAACGGGGCGCGAGACAGAACGCCTCGACTACCAATCTGAAAATCAATGCGTATAGATTCCATGGAATATTTAAACAACGACCGAAAATCATAGTAATGTTTACCTGTTGTTGTTTAAATACCTAATGGCTTACGCAGACGAAAGTGGCAGAAGAATAATAAAGACAAAGGTGCGGAAGAGTGGACGAGAGCTCGAATATACAGACATATGAGCATCGTTCGAAAACAGCACATTTCAGTTTTTTAGTTTTTGAAGCACAGGTAAATTCTACCCGTGCCTGTGTAGAGGCGTCACATGTTTTTTTTAAACATGTGACGCCTATGAAGAATCTAGGGCAGGTTCGTGATATCCTCATAACTGATCTACGTGATAGGGTTACTTGTAGGTTTATAGACCATGTAATCTCTCATAAAAATCTTCATCTAGAAAAATACTTTTTGATATACCCATAACATTTCTGCAAAAACTTTCCCCCAAAATAGATATTTAGTTCAAGTCTAGTATTTCGTACAAGTTTACGAATTACAAAAGAAAAATGCGTCGCTCTCTTACTAAATTTTCAAAATTCGACTGAAGACATGAATACATTGGTTCTATTTACCCTGCATTTCCCTATTTCTTCAAAAAAAAACGGCGATTTATTTTATTACAAAACAATTTTGAGATAAATGCTTCCGCTCGTGTACAAGTTTTTTTTGTATACTATATTCATCACGGAAGACGTGACGAAATATGCTATAACAACATTTAAATCCAATTTTTAAGACAACCTATAATACATCAATCTAATTCAGAAACATAACAGTAGCGAGTAACTCCTAGTGGTACTAGTAAGCTTTACAAACCATATCGCCGGTGGCAATGGCATGCCAAGACATAGCTTCTGTCAGGACACTACGGTGGAAATTTCCCTTGATCGAAACAGCTACTGTGACGTTCTGTGGACGGTCGGCGGAATGTCCGTTATCAGAAGTATAGCCCCCAGCACCTTTACCCTTTGTACTACGGCTCCTTAGGGGCAGTTCAATATCAGGAAGTAGGGCAGCCAGGCTTTTCCCCTGGTCGACTACCTGCATGCGACAGTAAAAGAATGTGTCGTCCGTTATAGAAGCGTCAATTGAAGTGTATGACAAATTAACTTTGCATCGTGATTGGATCCTCAATGACAAAAACTTTTTTCTTTAGGTTAAATATTTCCTCTAAAATAGGCGCGCCATCTTTGCTAAGCAATCTATGCTAGTACTTGACAATTTAGCATTAGAAAACGACCACAATTGAAGTGTTTTATTATGAATATCGCTATTATTCTAGAACTCGATCGTGAATAAACGAAACTTCGAAAATTTTCAAAATGTTCATTCGATGTTTTTTCAAATTTTACTGTCGTCGTCGTCGTCGTCTTCATACCCACGTACTGGTTGCTTGAGTGCCAAAAATAAACATGCTGTGGGAAAAATGTCGTGGCCAGATGAAACGATATTAGGAGCAAAGGAAAGCACTGACCAACTGAAATGGGCTGTGTTCCAGGTAATTACCTGAACCTTAGGTTGATCAGCTGACGCTGACGTATTCCGGCTGTTTGTATCTCGGTTCTTGTTAGGCAGTACGCAGTAGTGGAGTTGTGCCAGACGCGACATGAACTCGTTCCAATCCAGCTCAACATCGGGATTAGCGAGTGTACGATCTTCTAATCCCGACGACATGGATAACATTGAGAAAGCAAATGCTAACAGACAAAATGTAAATAATAGAAGCGGTGGCTGTAGTGATAGTAGAATTCGGACAAGGGATATTCCTGGACTTATAAGGAGCATCGCGCAGCGGCATGCGACGTCGCGTCTCCGCATTGAGTCTCGCTGAAAGCCCCGCCACGAGCTGAAAAAGCGGCACATCCGACGAGAGAATAGATAAAAGCACAATAACATTTGTTTGATTGACTATGCATCCAACAGAGCTGATAGGCGTATATATATATATATATAGGAAATAGCTAGGAGCTCGTCATTTAAAGTCATCTAAATGTGCTACGTGGGTAGATTGGATCGATTAGCAAATCACAATAGAAACCTATTTTTGTTACCAGTGAAACATATTTGCACAAACAGCAGAAATTAGGTCCAGCTAAATTGTAAATTTTTTTATTAAAAAAGGTCACTTCAAAACACAAATGCTGCCCTGAAAAGCTCGATACGAATATAAACTCAGGAACGCCCAGTTTGCCTGTCACAAATGATCACTCCATATGGCGACAGTAGATCGTTCAGAAGTGGCGTATAGCAAATGGAATAAATCAGACCACATATGCTGTTAGAGCATTCAAAAGAAATTGCCAATTTTTTTTTTTAAGTAAATAGAACATCGTCGTTGCGATGTGCAGAAGTATGCGTGATACGATTTTGATCACGCTTTAGCAGAACATTGTCCGCTACATAGAGACGTTACCGTCATAACGTTCCGAACGCATATCACAGAAAAAAACAAATCAGGTTTGTCAATAAATAACTTCTTACTGAATGCCTATTATTCATTGTATTTAAGCAATTGAATATACGAATGTACACAACGCGTTTATTACATTCGTGATACGATACATGTACATGATAAATATAATAAATTTGCGTTCGTCATCGCTTGGTCAGCTAATGGTGATAGCTCTTAGAGCCGCCATACAGATGAAAGCCGTTCCTTCAGCGGTTACCATACACACGCCAAAAGTAAATCGCTTTAAGACTGATAGATGCTGTTTTAGGTTTATCTCTTGTTACGCTCGAATTTATTGATCTGCATCTTCGTTACGTTCACAGACAGATACACAAAAACCATAGATTGGAGGAGACGCCTACTACACTGATGCAATATATGGGCAGCTTTCTGGAAGCCTTTTACAGCTGTCACCAGTTACCTAACACGTCTCAAAGAAGCAGCAAAACATTTCAACAGTATTTCAACAAGTTTTGATAAGCCGTCGTTCTCATCATTCATAGGCTCTTCAGATACCACGCCAATTGAAACTATTATCGATAATCTAATTAATGATTAAACAATACGTCTCAGAAAAGAAAGAGATACGGTCTCCGATGCTAAAGCCAATACAAGAAGCAATGGAGATGAAAAAACGTATAGGAATGCACTGATCGCCCCAAGGCCACTAATAAAGAGTAATCTATCATCGGTTTTATTAGGCGGCATGGCGAGTCGTACTCCCGTATTAGCATACATTAGTCTGTCTACGAAGGACAGTATTGTCGTTACGAGTACCTTTTCAGCCACTATCCTTAGGCCAAGTCCAAAGCAGTTCGACAGCGTAGAGGAAACGTAGACTCCTTCAATAGCTCCTTGATGGCTCTAACAAAGCAATACAACCCGACCCAAAAAAGCATTGTTTTGTAATACAATATGAATATCATTCAACTATTAGTGAGCCTACTCCTGGTCCACCGTTGAAAGCTACTATGGCAGTTACTCGTCCTTGGTAGTACATTATTTTTGGAAGAAAGAATATCCTTGGTAGTACATTATTTTTGGAAGAAAGAATAATGTTCTTTACGTAAGCCTCGACCCCCTAGAGCGTATTGGATTAGCTGTTCAGGCCAGACTGTGTGGGCATAAATGTCGATGGAAACGGTTTCGACAAACAGTTTCGACTAGTACACCCAAAAATTTCGATATACTCGAAATAAACTTACCTGTCTTGACATAAGCCAATGGGCTGTCAATCAGTACTCCTTATGTAGAACTTCTATAGCCACTGTTTGGCCAGGCGAAATGATAACAATTAAGCTGAGCACTCCGAGAAGAACTTCGCCATCTAGATGACCTAATGTGATTATTGCAGTCCCGATTACTCCCTCGTTTTTCCTTTTTGGAACTATTCGTTATCCGGTTCCACAGTCGGACCACTGCAACTCTATTAGCTTATAGCGGGAACACTGCATTCAATTTCACAACTGCGTCTCCTTTGATGTTGGCAGAAAATACGTGCCTGGTTTCCCACTAATATACCAATCGATTTTTCTCTGACAATGCTGAGGACAGTTAGCCTTCTATCAAGGGGGGCTATTAACAGACCGACAAACAATAGAGCGATTTGGTAAAAGTCTTTACGAAAAAGCTAAGCTGCAGCATCTATACTTAGGACAAGTAAACCCTGACCGGATAAGCATCTTGCGCTTGCTGCTTTGCTACTGTATGAGCTCGCGTTACGTTAACGCCAACTTAAATCCTGAATAGAACGTTGATAATTTGGGTCTTCAAATATTTTCAACGTCGACTAAATCATTTTAGCAGCGGCAATCGTGCAGCCCTACGGTTAGACCTGGCAGGGTCAACAGTACGACGAACTGTTCACAGGTTTTTTTTCACTTGCCATTTATAACCCACCACTATTTCTATTTGCAGGCACACAGCCGCCAAGCAGGGCCACATGCTAGTAGAACAACACGGTTTTAACCGGCGGACGATTTTTCGCTTACTTGTACAGTAAGAACTGGTCCGACGATAGTTCAATCAGCCACCGTAACGTCAATCAGACTGCGCGGTAAACTTGCTGTTATTGCTGGTTGAACTAGCCAGTCTCACTACCGCCGTTTGTGCTGAAAGTGGGTTAAAGCCGCCGTAGGGTTGCGACTGGATTTCCTTCTTTCCCTGGCGTGTCCCCGATGGGAGAGAGTGGGAGTTTCATTTTTCAAAGGGCCGGCGCATACAGATAGGTTTAGACGCACCGACGATGACTGGTCGAGCTGGCATAACTTCGAAAAACTTTCACCAAATAAACAACAACGTCAGCATTTTGAGTCATTGATTTTACTTATGATGTTGATATTGAAGATATGTGAAATTTGTTCCTGACAACCTTAGTACGCTATTCCTCAAATAGAAATATCGTACCCTTACCGCTTGCTAACCTAATCCAAGCAAAACATTGCCACAGACAATCACTTGTTATGTGAATCTACTTGATAGTACGTCGATTACTGAAACGTTTTGCTCCGATGTTTGGCGGATATATAAAGGCGGGAACGCCAAACAAACAAATTTCGTCCAGTTTTACGTTTGCCTTAACTTCAGTTAGCGTTTTCTAATTGTAAAGAAACCACTTACAGAATGCGTCCAGCGTCAATTGCATGGAATCCTGGAGCAAGTAGACCCGTTTTCGAGGCACCGCTTCGGGCTGGTCTCGTTACAAGGTCTCGTCGTCGTTGCTGTTGCTGCTTCCCGTGTGTGCCAGTGTAGTCACAGCTTGGACAATCACATTCAACAGCAGTGAGGGGCCAGCATCGCAGCTAGCGCGTGAGCTCCTGTAGGAAGCGCTCCGCTAACTTCACTGAATACTGCCACGAGCAACGAACGACGTACTTCTACTGTGTACTTTCCGATCATTCTCTGCGTTAGTCAGCCTGTACTGCGGCTGCAGGCAGCCTTATTATGTATTCGTTTGTGACGGAGCCTCGTGGGTTCGTTATCATTTATCGAAGACTATCGACATCAGCTGCTTCTGTCGGGCTATAAGAGCAGTGTCAACAGCCGATCGCTGACCGATACTTCCGCGACTGCTATTTAAAATTCAATCGAGACTCACAGATATACGCAAACGAGTACAGTGAGTGTACTGGTTGACCAAGTACTGCTTCGGTGGGTGACTGATTCATCGGTTCATCCTCCTATTAGCATTGCTACGAGCACCCGATAACGTACTGCTATTCTGTACCTTCCGTCCATTATTTGCATCCATGCATTTTTTTGTCAATTTTACCTTTACCACCCATATTTCTGCCAGTGTTTCGCCGCTACAACTGTGACTAATCTCGATCTCGTCTATATATTGACATGTTAATACTAATGCCGTTCGAATTGTAGTGCTACGTTGGCAACGACTTCTGCAACGAGAGTACTTTACAAATGAAATTGTCATCAACGTTCTCAATCGCACGAACCATCCGATTGCGCTCGACCTTACGATAACGTGTTGGCCGTCGGCGATGACGACGGCGCCGGACTATACAACAAAATAAATAGCCCAAGCAAATCCAAAGTAGTGATTGAAGTCCAAAGCAATGCCCACTGTGTGTCGCAGTGCATTCGAGAGCACAAAATCGAAGAAGTGAAATCAAGAGAAAGAAAACTGCCAGACAACGTCGGTCCCTGCTAATATTCCGCTGTGAGTGCGAGTCTTGTATATAAGATATCCTCGCGATGCGCTGTACTGGCAGCTGATACGATCGCTCTTGCGACTACGCTTTTCTAATTATGGATAGCTGGCTGGCAAAGGGAAGCTCGAGACGTCAACGTTTGGAAGAAAGAGGCCGGAATCTAGGAAAAAATTGGGCTTAAATTGTGGACAATAGTGAGTGTCCGAGTCCTGCCATGGTAATAATGTAACGCATGGGCAGTGAATAACAAGTAAATGTAAAGGCTGCTGGGCCTGTTCGGTCCTGTGAGTCTCAAAGCATAGCGTTTAAAAGAAAATGGGGTCTCATTAAGGTGGACCAAACTGAGGTGTTACTGAAGCCTGTTTGTGTGTTCCATCGCTGGAAAGTTGACTTCTTATTCTGTTACTATTATTGGAATTGCTATGATCGTTTTAAGTATTTGACCGTTCCCGTCGGCAGCAAGCCATTAGTTCTCTACACGCTGGCTATTCGATGTTAACCGACCAAGGTCAAAGTCCGAGAACTGACACACATCATTGACATGAGTATCTTAATCTGAAACGATTACAGGTCGGTCCGAGCCCAAGCGAAGAAAAATTTTTTTACGAAGACCACTACCACAATCTGCGTTTGTATAGTACGGGTTTACGTGGCGCGCTTGGCAGTTCCCTCATCTGGGCCAGGCGAGTCAGTGTACCCGTCTATCTGTGAGTGTGTGACAGAACTCTTTTCCTATTCAGGTCTGAACTTAGTTACCGCACCATGGTGGCCATCGGATCGATGGATCGTGTCAAACTTTTATTATGTTTCATTATTACTGTTATGATAATTATTATGTAACAATAAGTGACCAAGTGAAAACGTCGACCGCGTGTTTCCGTTGTAGTCCTCCAAGTAGTTTTATCGTGAGTCGTCATGTTTCGCTTAACCGTTCCGAAGTCGCTATTGTAGCATTGACGTTTATCTATGCAAGAATGGATTCTCACAGCTAATGCATGCCCATCTTATTAAGCGAATAAAGCTACTGTCCGCGATAGCCGCTATCGAATGAACAACAGCAATTGTGACTACATGCTGTGGGTGGCAGTGTGGTACTCTTATTCCAGTCGTTACGACCCATCGTCTACCAAGCAGAATTCAACTACGGCAAGAGACGTAACTCAGACTGTGCTAGACGGAGCTAGGCTAAAAGGACGAAACAAACAGTGCGCACAACCGAAAAGAAACGTGTAGCAGTAATCGCCGCAGCAACAGCCAAAGCAGAATGAAGCTCTGGCGAGTTTAGTACCGAAGAGTCGTTTTTCCTCATCACCACGGAATTCTTGTGGAAACTCCACAACCGTCGGCCAGAAACGGCCGATGAATTGGCGGCCACCAAATGTTGCTGTCGCCGCAAGTCTTGTGGAACACTGGACCTCGATCATCAAGATCGGAAATGCGGCAGAGTGCTCAGGCTGGGGCTGGACGAGCTCACCAGACGCTAGCAGAGCCTAAAGCGACTCAGCGTGTTTGTGGCCGGACCGTTGTCCGGGGGTCGACCAGCTGTTCGCGTCTCCTGTTTGTAGGAATAATCCCTATACTCCTACTGACCGATCAGGTTGTCCAGGCAAGTGGTAGCGATGTGACAACGCGACTCCATTTCAGCAAAAAATACTTGCCGTACAATGAGACGATAGACCTTCTGTCGAATATTGTCCGAAATCATTCTGCACTAGCAAAGTTATTCAGTATTGGTGAGTACCAGTCGAGTTGACGTGAATATAACTGATAAAGAATGGTCATTGAAAGGAACACATTTTTCAGTGTAGATCGCTAGTTAGTATACTATAATAGTAATGAAATAGTCTAAAACACCAGAAGGGTTTAGAATCTAAACTTGAACTAGGCCCCTTTTACTTGACGATGCCGAAAGCATTCCCGCTCTTCACTCTAGCCGTAGAAACGGCAGACCAATAACAGCTGAGTTGTTGGCTCAGGTGCAATTACCTAAGAAGGCCTCACGCTCAGTTCTGCTTAGTCGCATTACGTTACAAGAAGTCATAGCGCAATTAGGACCAAAGCTATTCGATAACTCGTCGACGGTTATCCTAAGCAATATTTACTTTGGAAATCTGCGTATCTTCTAAACCCATCTCTTCCCTCTACTGCCATACAATATGAAGGAAAAATCTGTTACCCTAGGAACAAACAAACCACAACGATGACAACAATGCTAAAGGTAGTATTTGATTACCATTTCTTCGGGAAGAAAATCTTGCCTTTAGCTTGTTCATGTTCTATCGATCCATTCTGTTCGAAGCAACAAAATGTCTCCCTTGAGAAGCGTTCATAACATTAAGATTAGGCAAAGCGTTTTTTTTTGCTGATGTTCAACGAGAGACGTAGAAATAAATGATCGAGGCACTGCTCGTCTACCGAATACGAGTATGTATAGTGATTATGTCGGTATGTTCGTTCGGACAAACATAAACAAAAAATACATTTTTGTTTACTTTTGTGGGATGCCTCTTCGTCCCACAAGGCGTTACGTTATGAACATGAATCATGTGCGCTAGAGGCACTGACTCCATTTGCTTAACGCTCATTGCGTGCTGCTGTGTTCGGAGTCTTGCTACGCTTATCGGTCTTATCCGGTAACATTGTTAGCCGTCCCGAATACAAGCGTATCACTCTGCGCCCACGAACTGGCGTTGTTTCTTATAGAAGCTAGATCCTGGGATTTCGAACAGGCCGGTTGCAGATATGCGACCACACAGCCATGAGCTCCACATGAATCCGCCGTCGCCACTGTTCACGCTAACATCCCTTCGTGCAATTGTGATTATGCTGGATAGATATTGAAATGTGACTCTGGCATTATCAGTGCACGGCTCAGCCATCATCTTGCAACAGATAAACCCAGATACTGCCACACCGAAACCCAATCTGCATACATACGCAGTTCAATCGTTAGTCCTTTATGCGGATCTACATAACTGCACACAATTCATAACTCTTTACATCAGCTGTATCTGCAACAAGTGCGATAGTTTCGATCGTGATGGCGGTGAGCCGGCAACCCAGTAAACGCCCAGGAGGAAGAGCCTAATACGTAGTTTATATAACGGTGATTACAGCTCCGTCGAGTTATGACTCAGATAAAAGTTCAATACAATTATGCCCACGAGCGTCCGTCGGCACGCGTGCGGGCCTCGTTGGAGATCACAGACGAACGTTGCCTATGAAACGGTGCTAGGCGGCTTTAGCCAACGAAGTTAATTGTAATATCCGACTTGTGAATTAATGGGTGAATTCGGACTTCAGCCTGCGACCTTGTACCTTGACGGAGCAGACTGTTATGGATCCGACGATCAATTGGAGTACATCGGACGGTACCGCATATGTCAACGTAAATATCGATCATGTTTAGAAATCGACTAGTGGCCCGTAGCAATGCTTCTGCCGTGAAGTGAACTGAGCACACAGCAGGCTGCACAGCTGATGAAGTCTCGTCATATAATAAACTACCACACAGGAAGTATAAAGCCAATCCTGCTAATTAGACATGGGTCATAATTCGCTCGTGACGATTGTTGTTGAAAGTAGCGAAGGTTAGAAATTTATGGAGGTTAGTTCCGAGTTGGAAAAAATGTTTGACGCGCTAACTACTGCTTAGAAGGCCTGCTACGACAGAAGCCCTTGAAAAACTGACACTGTTCATGATGATGACAAGGTTCACCGACTCGTATAACCGTTTAACATCTCAAAATGCTGCATTTTTTCAAGCAATAGAGGTCAAATAGACAGGTTCACGCCTTTAGAACACTATAAGCTCTATTCGAATACAGGTATGATGTGTCCCTTAGGCCGCATGCCAATAAATCGAATTGTGTATACATCCGACTATATTTTCGAGGCTCATATGTAGTAATTTCAGTAGAAGTTCTAGATTTTTCTAGGCGGTTTTTATCGACTCTAATAACTTACAAGGAAAATTAAACGTAGCTGCATCATTTCTAGAAAGCTTCAAGGTAGCTTGAAAAAAAAATTTTTTTTGAAGCTACCTTTTAGGCCCGTACGTGCTTTTCATAGAAAAAGCCAAATGAGAAGAGTCTGTGCTAAAAATCAAGTCGCTCCCAATGATCTATGGTCATAAATCCAGTTAGCACCGAAATGATGACAATAAAATCTAAAAATATAGGCGATTTAGGAAAGCAAGAAAATGTCCACTATTGTCGCGTTTTGTTTAGTTACTAAAATTCCGTTAAGGCCAAATAAATGTTTATAACTGTTTACATTATACAAGACGAGGTAACGAGGTCCTGTGCAAGTTCCTGTTATGTTAACGTTCTGTTAGGAATCACGCCGAACTCATGTACATGTAAATTTCCGAGCGTTTTCTGCTGAAAAATCTAATACTAACGTTTGTCTACTAAACCGCTACATCTCGTTCTCCTGAACAATAACGATATCAGAGAATCTTCCCGGATTTTTCGAACGTCATTTTTCTATCGCCTGAACCAACAGCGAACGAACTCAGTCATTCGCAGACGCTAAAAGTTAGCAGTAGACTCGCGTCTTAGATACTCGTCGTTAGTATAGTTTCAGCCTTGATCTGTATTTTCTCTCTTGAGCTGGAAATGGCATAAACGACGAATTATCTATACGTAACATTCTCATAGTAACCACTGCCTGCTATCTTCCTGGGATCTTGGAAACGGCTGAAATGTTTCCTCCTTCAGCTTGACAAGGTGTCGTAGGTGTGGCCTAGTTTACTACACAGCAGTGGTGACAGAACCTATTATGGGCTGCTTTAAATATGTTACCAATCAATCAATACAACCTACTTTTTATTAGACAATGATTCGCGCAGGAAACTACCCACTGTGAACGCGATTTTTCAAACTAGCCGGTATAACTGACTTTACAGATATATCGCTTTCTACTACAAAACATTAGAGTTGAGAATTTGTGTGGGACTTTACTTGAAATTGCATTCTATGATCGTTACGGAGACGCGCGATCCAAAAAGCGTTTTAGTTCTCTGTTATATATGTATTAATTGATAATACAGATCAGTGTTAGTACATGAGACGTCATCAATTATCGCGACCCAAAAAGTCAGCGTTGAAATGTTGGCAATGATGGCTGTTATGCATAAGGGGTAATTTATTTTCCATATATTTAATTGAGCCTAGGCCATTCTTCGGTTCAGCGTGGATTAAAGCAGAGAACTCTGGATCCCTCCGCTGCTTAGTTAGTGTTACGACGTTGAGGGCAAATTCCGCCCAGGTCACTTCGAATATTGCTTGCTGTTACGTTAGGACGCTTTGTAAGCCCCTTAATTAAATAAGCTCTTGTAGTTGAAAATTCAGTGACATATTATTACGACTGAATTATATTACGAATATCGTGTAGGCCAACCAGACATTCAGCTTTTTTAGAATAAAGTAACATCTTTATTGGTAGTCTTCCTAGCCTGATTATAGCTTCGTCTATCGAATCGACGAAGTCCGATAATTTATATCTTAAGTAGAGTTAATAAGAGTAACGACGCGGCTTTGTTAATACGCGCGGCTGTTACTTTTTTTTTTATATAGCGAAGTACATGCAGGATCGTTTGTGTTAGCATACGTAATGAGTTGGCTCCACTTGTCGAAATAAGCGATGAAAGGTGCTCTTTCAACATGTCGACTTGTTTTTGTATCGAGACATACAACCGACCTTCGTCATCTATGTAATGCACATGCAGGAAAATCTGAATTTACACCCGGCCTTATGTTCTTACCCTTCGTTTAGCGATTCGTTGCCTATATCTGTGAAATAGGTTCAGTCGGTCATAAACAATGGGTTTATATACGAATATACAGTAGCCAGCCAAGAATGATTTTGATCACTAAGCAGCTATGGAATAGTCATTATATATAGGAGCTGAGCTACCGTTAAATGATTTGATTGAAATCAGCTCCACGATTTAAATATACAGGCCTTTCTTCTAGATATACCCTTGAACTAATGTGATACTATCTTCGAAAACTGAAGCTAGTTGGTCTCATTAACGTTAATTGACCGCCCCCTGTAACTCTCTCGAGGTGTAGTCTGCGTGTACGCTAAATATAGTAAACATTCAATCGAGGGCTAACAGTATTGTTGCCAATGAAATTAGTAGTTCCTCCTAGTTTCTCACGTCAGCTACGTGTACGATATTGACTGTTACGACGCGTCCCTTTAGATGACTGACTGCTGCAAATCAAAACGGCATAAATCTGTGACCTGTATTAGAAGCACTACGTGAAAACCTACACGGGAAAGAGGCAGCCGTCTTTCAAAATCAAATAGAATCTATGTGGACGGCCGAGTTGATTGGTAAACGTACCCCATTATTCAATAACATGTTGGAAATATTGAAAAACAAGCACATGCAATGCGATATGTTATCAAGGCGGCGCTGGACTATGATCCTAAAAGAGAAAAAGACATTTTTACTAGTTTCAGGTAATGATAATAGATTATCGTAATTACGGCATGCGTAAATCATCATCAAAAATAATTACTTTCTACGTGTATATATTTCTTTATCTTATCCTGAACCCCAATATATTTTTCTAATTGTATTTTATCATCATTTCTGTCTGACTAAATATTTATTTTCCTTACGTGCCTTAATACATGTTCGGAGGTCTGTTGAAGTAATGGTTGTTTTGGATGGCATGGCGCATGTAATGAACCTGCCCTATCAATTTGAAACGAAGAT